CGGCTTGAACAACACAATATTGGAATTAATCAAACAAGTTATACACCACGAGTTCTTATAATATACACGAGATATCACAATTCCGGTTTATCTGGCCGATCCTATATTCCTATTCCTAGATACAATAGCACTTTTACGGTTAAAGTTTTACCGGCCGGTGACTGAAAAATGAGTATATATCGATCCACAACATCATCGACCTCTATAGAACAAAACCATTTTTTTTCCTCAACATGATAAAACCATAAATTACTAGATTAATACTTAATTAGGCGCATTATATTCAAGCCTTGAGTTCAGTCAGCTAACGTGTTGATGCCTACGTACGCGTATGTTACCGTGGCACCCAATATAAAACAAATCAAATGGACTAAGATTATTACTTTTTTTTTATATATAATTGGTGCATATATATACTAGCATGCGTATTGGTCCACCAAACGAAACACATTTAGGACAATTAAGAAAACAAGTTTAAATATATATATGCTCGCGTCATGTCATGAATCATGTGAGTTCATGTTTCTTCATTTTTTTATAAAGCATGATTCATGTTGTAATTTATTTCAACACATTGATTATCGAATCGCTTATAAGGAATAAATGTTTTTTTGCCTTGAATTCGTCCCTGACAATGCTTTCTATAGTAAAATCAGGTAAATGTAAAAATTGAACATCATCTAGTCAATTAGAAAATTTAAAATTACGTGAAAAGTGCCTTTTGTCGGCAAACACACAAAGATGCTTTGGAGAGTAATTGCAAAGTTTAATAATATGATCAAATCTTGTATTTTAAGCACAACACTCTAGTTTAGTTTATTTTAACTAATCGAAAATTTGGATCCATTTTTAATAGTCGTGAAAACACGTCTTACCTAAAAGGCTAAAACCAGAGATGATGCCTCGCTGTTTAATGGTTTGGTTTAGAACTCGGTACGATACGTCCCAGTCCGGTTCGTTCCGGTTTAGGTAGTTGTATGAGAAATTTGTGTGATGAGCGCACAATGCTCTCTCTGTGTCTCAGACTCTCTCTACGGCTTTTCTCTACGTCAATCCTCTTCGAAGATCGTTTTGATCCAAGAGAGAATTCTCCGAGAGATTGTGAGACGCGAGAGAAATTCTTCGATCACAGAGAGAATTCTCTTTGAAGATCGATCGATAGAGAGATATGCAAACCATCTCGAAAGCTTCTTCTGCTATCTCCTTCTTTCGATGTTCTAGGGTTTGTTTGATTCCTTCTCCATTCTTTTGATTTTTTTTTCTTAGGAAAAAAACTAAACTTGTGATGGTTTAATTTTCTGAAATTGTGAAATTTTATTCATGACAAGAGAAAATCTGACTTTTTTGATGATTCATGGTTAATTCTTGATGATCGTTTTGATGATTTCATTTTCATGCCTCTAAGATATTTTATTGAGGATTATAATTTTAGTTTTAAACAGAACTGGGTAGATATTGAGAAAGCTTGCCTAGGTTGCGTTAAGTATAAGTAAAATTAGTGATCCCTTCATTGGATGTTGTGAAGCTGTAAACAAATTGCATTCATTTATGTACTTAAGCTTGTGCAAAATGAAATAAATGTGTAACAACATCTCTCTGTATATTTTATTGCTTTCAGAAGCTATCAAGCCAGCCATGTGTGAGACAGCTTAACCTCAGAAAGGGTCTTGTGTGCAGAGTTATGAAGCTGGTCTCTTCACCTCTTCGAACTTTGCGTGGTGCTGGTAAATCTATTCGAGTGTCACAGTTCTGCAGTGTCTCCAATGTCTCTTCATTGCAAATTGAACTGGTGTGTGCTGTGGGAATCTCCTAAACCATAGTTTGGACCATAGATTTGTTTCTTTTGCTGAATTTTCATGCCACAAGCGCATTTAGTAGGTCATCATGTAATGAAAATGATTCTCAGATATATTTTTTTTTTCAGGTGCCTTGCCTTAAGGATAACTATGCTTATATCTTGCATGACGAGGATACTGGTACAGTTGGGGTGGTTGACCCTTCTGAAGCTGAACCTGTTATCGATTCGTTGAAGAGGAGTGGTCGAAATCTAACATATATATTGAATACACATCATCATTATGATCACACTGGTGGGAATTTGGAATTAAAAGACAGGTACGGGGCAAAGGTAGGAAGATTTAACTTCTCTTTATGTACTCGTTGTGCAGTGATAACATTTTTATAAATAAAAGATGTTGGGATAATCAAAGGTTACATCTTTGAAATGCAGGTGATTGGCTCAGCTATGGATAAAGACAGGATTCCTGGAATTGATATAGCATTGAAGGATGGTGACAAATGGATGTTTGCTGGCCATGAAGTCCATGTTATGGATACTCCTGGCCACACAAAAGGTTGTTTATAATTTTCATATTAACTTTTCAATCTTTGAATGTTATAGTACATACCCTGCATGTTCTTGCATTCCAATTAAGCCTATGCTTAGCTAAAAACTCCCACTTTCAAGTAGTTCGAGATTCGATTATTTCAGCCTATGTTTAGTGTCTTCATTATATCTAAATAACGTATGAGATTAAGCTGAGACTGGAGATTTGGTTTAGTAAGGGATAATAGACTGCGTTGAAAGAGATACTGTATACCCCTTATGTGGTCATATCTCTTAACTCGACTCAGTAGGTAGAGTTGTATCTCTTCGTTCAAAAAAAGTCAATTGGACATCTAAACGTACAGGAGTTTGAATAGTTTTTCAACAGACTTGTGGATTATGAGGAATTTTGTTGAGCAAAGGGGGTCTGGAAAAGTTGGGGTTAAGTTTGTACCTGCATTGTATTGAGGAAACCTGAGAGTTCTATAAATTATATAACCAGAGTCTTGTTTGTCTCTTCTTCAAATTAGATATGCATATGGCCAACATATATCTGAGGTTTTGATGGTTTCTGTTGTGCAAATGAAAACCATCTACGTTATATACCTCTTAAGCCTTGTTGTCCCATGTTTCACTCTTTGTCTCTTATCATCTTAATTCTAATTGCAGGCCATATCAGCTTATACTTTCCAGGATCACGAGCGATCTTCACCGGGGACACGTTGTTTAGCTTATCATGTGGTAAACTCTTCGAAGGCACTCCTAAGCAGGTAAACAGCACAGATGCCTCTCTATCTTTCTGCTTAAGTACATTTCCTTAGGAACGAAACTCTCAGAATCAAATCATATAGTTTTTTAAAAATGTTCTGCAGATGCTTGCTTCTCTCCAAAAGATCATATCTTTACCAGATGACACAAGCATATACTGTGGTCATGAATATACACTGGTCTGTTATATTTTGCTATTCTAGTGTTGCTAAAAAGCTTTTTACTTAAAGAGATGGTCTCAAATGACTATAATTAATTTGATTTGAATGTGCAGAGTAATTCCAAGTTTGCGTTGTCTCTAGAGCCAAACAACGAAGTACTCCAGTCTTATGCAGCTCATGTTGCAGAGCTCCGTAGCAAGAAATTACCTACGGTAAAAAAAAGATTCATCACCAATGATCCTTATGCACTGCTCAATTTTGCTGGTTAACTTAGTGTTGATTCTTTGCCAAACTTCAGATTCCAACAACACTAAAGATGGAGAAAGCTTGTAACCCCTTCCTCCGCAGTTCAAATACAGATATACGTCGGGCTTTACGCATTCCAGAGACCGCAGATGAAGCAGAAGCTTTAGGTATCATCCGAAAAGCAAAGGATGATTTCTAACCTTAGGCTTTTTCTGAGGTAAACCTTTGGTTTGCATTTGTAGTCCACAAATGAGTGTGCACCGTTTGACTTGGACCTTTTAAAAAAAAAAGTACAAAAACAAAACCAAAGAAAAACTTAGTTTTTCTTATTAACTTTGTTGTAAAACTTCTAATTTTTCTGCTCAAATTTTAAACAAGTTGTGTTCAACACCGCAGTTAGATTTCGGCTGAATTCAAGGAATTACCAAACTCGTACTTCGATCGTTATTGTTATAAGAAATTTAGGTGGAGTGTATATAATTTGTAACTTGTTATTAAAATAGTTTTTGTTAATACCGTTGTAATCTTCGTAACTAAATCTGCAGTAACCACACTAGAAAAAAGGATTAACAACTGAGATTTATTTGGCTAGTCTATTTTTAAATTCTCCAAAGCCAAAACAAGAGTTCTATTTTTTTACCTTGTTGATTGACTTGACGATAGTTGATGATTAGCTAGTAGGATTTGATCGTCGAGGAAGAGAATCAAGTTGGTCATTGTCACTAATAACAACTTTAATAAATAACCTAACCTACTTTTCAAATTCGAATTTTCGAACAGAATACATTTTTCTTTAGTTATAGGACCACTTATTTCAAAATAAATACTATTCGCCAAGAATAAAATCCAAGGGTAAAATCATATTTCCTTTTTTCAAGAAATCCAAGCAGCATATAAACTTGTGTGCCATTTTTTAAAGAAAACCCAACAGTTAAAGAAAGAGTACCGACTTCAATCCAAAATAGTGCCGACTTCAATGTAAAACCAAAGGTGATAATGTTGATGATATACGTACATCAAAACTTTAGGTTTTAACAAAAAGCCAATGAACTCCAATAACCAATATATTCGCATTGAAAAAGTCTCTGTCTCTGCTTTTCTTCTTTTTTAATTTTCTTTTTCATGTAATATTGAATTAGTCACATAGATTATATAAAAAGGGTAATTTATATGTGGCTATAAACTCCAACAACCAATCTATCTCTCCTTTTGAACAAGTCTTGTGTCTTTTTGCTTTTCTTCTTTTCGTAAACGACGATTAGATATTTTTAGAGAAGTGTATGTAGAGTATTAAAATAGTCTCACGCACATAGAGAGATAAAAAGACCGTAATTAACGTACTAGTTGCCCCCCACTAAAGATTATAATACCAATTACGACAAATATCTTGATCAACTTGGTCCAACACCAAAACACATCGGAAACGTCCTTTGCGTTAACCCAAAACTTCAAAAGTAACAATAATAAAGAAGAAAAGAAAAAAACAATAGTAATAACTTTTTTAGGATTAGAAATTATTCTAATTACATAGAATAGATCCCTTTTTCTATGCTCTCTCCCGCAATTTCATCAACGAACCATAGCCATACGACGTCGTTGAGCCTCCGTAGGCACTTTCACATCCGTCGCTAAACCGATAATCTCGAAAAACCGAACAATGTACCACGAAATGTCGATTTGCCACCATTCAAGTCCTTGTCTAGCCGATGACTCGAACGCATGATGATTGTTGTGCCAACTCTCTCCAAATGAAAATACCGATAACCACCTTTCAAAAACAAAACAAAAGATATAAATATAATTCAACCACATTATTGCGTTTTTGGAACATGAGCTGTCTCCAATTCATGTGTACTTTTGTATTTTAGGGAAAGTGGTCATAGAAGATATTATACCATTCAAGTACACAAACCAAAAATGTTAGAATCAATATTTACATACCAAACATTACGAGAAGTGTCATTGGTCTTCCAAGTTCGAGTGCCCCAAATATGGCAGAGTGAGTTTATGAGGCAAGTCACGTGCACTTCCAACGCTGCTCCTACCCCCTGAGAATCACACCAACCATATATTAATTGCAAATTGATTCTAAAATTTATAACCAATATACGTTTTTAAAAGATATCAATTACCATTCCCCAAGTGACGAAGGACATGCCACCAAGATAGAAGAGAATGAAGCCCAATCCTAAAATGTGAAACAGCACTGTTTTCTGTAGAAACCTATAAAACCATTGCCTCTTCAAATCCTCCACATTTGCTCTTCTTCCACACTACATTAATTCATCGAGATTTAGATATTTTGGTTACAAATAAAACAATTTACTAACAAAATAGACTATTTACACACAAAAAAAAAAGGAAAACGAAATCACCTTTTGAACAAGATAGGCAGAGTCATAGATCCATAGAAGATGACTAAACCAAAAACCTTCCTTGGGACTATGTGGATCACGTTCTGAATCCGTGAACTGGTGATGATAACGATGAGTACTCACCCAATCAATCGGATCTCCCTATTTTAAAAAAATTATTATAAGATCTATATAAAATAAAGTACAACAAGAAATTAAGATCTACTATTATTTTTGTCCCAAAAAAAAAAAAAAGATCTACTATTATTCAATATCATAAAAAAAAAAAAAGGTTATGAACCTGAATAGCGAGAAGGGCACAATAGGCTAAGAGATACTCAAGCCATTTAGGGACTTTGAAACTCCGGTGAGCCAAGTTCCGATGATAGGAGACGGTGATACCAAGACCACCGATGGTGTAAAACAAAAACGTAACCCAAAGAGCCGACCAAGTGAAATAAAACGGAGCCAAGAGAGCAAGAGAATGAACAGTGAAAGAAGCTGAGAATTTCACATAATCTAATCTCCTCCACCTTCTATCCCAAAACACCCATCTCCTCTTCTTCTTCTCCTCCTCCGGTGGCGTTGATGGATTTTTCTGGTGGTTCTCCTCCACCGTTGATGTCACCGACATTTCCGATCTCTCTTTCTCTTCTTTTTAGGTTCTCTCTCTTTTGTTAATGGAGGAGAATAAAAGTGATGCTTCTCTTCTTATTTATAGTATCATGAATAAAATATAAATTAATTTACCGCAACAAAATATCATAAGGATCGGTAAATAATAAATATCATGATATTTGTTGTTGCAGATGGGCACGTAAGGGTTGAGGTGTATCTACATGCAATAGTAAAACTTTTTTTGTAACCAGTAACAAAAAAAAAAGAAGGTTATATTTAGATGCCAACGTAAAGAGGAAAAGTGTCACTGGGCTCGAAATTTATTTGACTTATTCTACTGTTTGATATACATGCTTTATGGATGTACGTGATTACAGGCAAAAATCACGTTCGAGTAGCTGGAAACTGTTATCAAATTCCAGAGTTTTTTTTTCTGTTTCCTTTAAATAAAAATTTGGAATTACCTCACTGGCTTTGTACCTAAGCATATACTGTTTTTAGTCCTATCTTATCAAATAATTTATGGAAAATATATACAAACTAAGGACCCAAGTGTCAATATACATCAACTCCTAATATTAATACATACATTTATTTATTTTACATTATATACAATACAACGAATAAATCTTTGTTTTTTTTTTTCTAACATCAATCTAATAAAATTTTCTTTCATTTCATAGAAAGAAATCAAGTAGTACCATAAATCATTGACCAGAAAATGGAATAGTATATAAATTTGACTATCCAGATCATAAATAGATGTGATTTTAATAACTTTCCTTTTAATATACAAATTCACATATATAATGCAAAAATAAAAGATCTCTAGAAAAAGCAAATATTTTTATATTCTTATTTTAAATTTTAAAGTTTGACCCCCCCAAAAAAAACAGATCTAACATACTCTATTTTGTGGCTTAAAGTGTTCGATCCAATTTATTAAGATGTAAAAGAAAAAAATTGATTAGCATATAGAAACAAACAATATATATATAAATCAATTTATTTATTTGTGTTTTAGTAGATCTTTATGATTCCTTTCCGGTGGGGTACGGATTGTCTAAACAAGATTTGTAGACCGAAGAAAAATATATATCATCTTTATTTTGGTAAATTAGAATTTAAATGAACAGAAATATTTATAAATAAATATAAACTGCATTTATTTCTCTAAAGTTCTTGTATTTCTTTTTTTTGTTTTTTGGAAAAAAGATTTCTTGTATTTCTTGTCTATTATTTCTAAATTTTTGGGTTAATGAAATATTATTGATTACGCTAGGTATATTACATTCGTATATACTGTATTTGTGATTTTAATAATGAATAGTCAACTATTGGTTTTTTTTTTTGTCGTCTCATTTTATTATAACAAAAACAAACATACAACTATTGGTTATAATAGAATAAAATCGAAGCCAGATAGTATTTAGTATTTAATTTGTAGTACTTTTTGTAGTCATAGTACAAAAAAAAAAACCTAATAATTTTAGGGTTGCAAGATTGATCATTGATCATCGATGGTTCGATGCATACACGTCTCTATTAGTCTACTCGAAATTAATATGACTATGAAATAATATATTTAATTATTCAGTGTATGATATGATGATATCTTCTTCTGTACCCTATACTGATATCGCTCTCAAATCTCAAATATACACGCTTCCAACTCTTTATTTAAAAAATTTTTTGATGAGAGATATTTTTTATCAATCTTGGGGCCTTATTGCCCACACAAATTTTAGGCTTTTTAGTTTTTAGCAGTGTTCAAGAAAGCGCTAGGTGCTAAGCGGGCGGTGACACAGTGCCTAGCACTTAGAACGCCTAATCGGGGCCTAGGCAATTTTTAGGCGGTTTAGACGTTTATAACATAAAATATTGTAAGTATGATATTATATATAAAAGTTATACAAAATATCTATATAAAACTAAAAATTATGAAATTATAAACAAAAACTAGATAAAATATTTACTTATATTTATATTAAACAATATATGAATATTTATAACTATATATATAAAAATAAAACTCTAATTTTTAAAAAAACACATTAAATAAGATTTATGTAATTTTAGGCGGTTAAAGCGGTTATCTAAGCGTCGCATGAGAGCCTAGCGACTAGTCGAGGCCTAGGCGACCGCCTAGACCGCTTTTTAGAACACTGGTTTTTAGTAACTAAACAATTTTTTTTATTTTATTTTTTTTAACTAAAACAAAATTTGAAACCATACCTCTAATGATATAAATTATATGTTAAATCAAAAGACAAATATAAGATCGTAAACTTTCACATGTACTAAGATCCGTTAAGTAGACATAAGCATGTGCTCGAACTTGTAATCTCGTATAGACAATTCAAACAATCTTGTTGTGACTGTAAGTGATCAGCACACTATATAATAGTTTGTTATATATAAAATAAAAATTTTAAACAATTCAATAAATCATCACATTTGAATAAATGTCCCAGAAATTCCTAGATCCTCGGTTCCAGATCTTGAAAAAGAAAAACTTTAGTTATTCAAAACACTATAGTGGCGATATATGAGAGAGCCTCGCGAACTCCGGAAACGTAAGACGACAAAAATATGAAACTTAACGTAAGATGAGTACAAGAGTTGATAGTGCCCTACAAGAATAGTAGACATAGTGAAGTTACTTTCATTATAGCTAAGCAACTTCATATCATAACGAAAAAAACAGGGTAAAGATCAGAACAGATTTTCATTATATAATACAAGGGAAAAATACAGGGATGGAATACATTTTTGGATGCGTTTTCGAAATACAAAACCAGCGGAAAACAAAAAAATCTCTGGAAGCTAAAGCCCAATACACGGAAAACACAAGAAAATATACTAAAGTCAAGAAGCGAAACTCTCGAAATCACCAGAAAAGTCGGAGGAGAACAATAATCGTGGAGTTAAGAGCTCAAAGGTCGCGGCCAAGAGGATCTACAACCGCAAAGGAAGTAGAGCCAAGGATAGAGGATACCGCGAAGAACATATCCCAATTAAAAACAATTATCCCGAACATAAGAAGCAAAGCAATCAGAACAAATAATCTAAATAATAACAAAATAGTTTTTAAATTTAAAAAGCGAAATTAATTGATCACTACCAAAAATTCTCACTAATTTGAATAACAAAATGTAGGTTTAAAATTAGAAGAGTTATAAATTCATTTCTTATACTACCAAAAGTCCAAAACTCTCATTAATTTGGAAAATAAAATTTGGGACACATACTTGATAGAACGGATATTCCGTCTCCAAATGGATACACCTAATTATAGCATCAATATATATTGTTGATAATAAGAATTTTTTTCCCAATATGTATTGTACCCACTTACCATAGTAGTTTCTAAATCAAATCATAGGTTAGCATCAAAGGTATGAATTGCGTTAGTTAGAAATTTGTTAGGTTGTGGGTAAGTGAAAAAGCGTAAAGTGAGAAAGGGGTAAGTGAGAAAGGTAGTTGCGCTTTGTTAATAACGATTAACTAGCATTTAACCCAATGACCTATTCATACGTAATGTTAACACTTAACATAAAACTTATTAATATCTGAACTCTGAACCGTCAACCATATTAATTTTTCATTTTTTTGGATACTAGGATACATTTTGGAGCAGGAGGATAATCATCATTGTATCTTTACATTTCTAACTATTTTATGACCTTTTTTTGGGGGGACAAACTACTTTTGTGACGTTTAAAATTGTAAGAAAATAAAAAAAAATTACTATAAAATGAAAAATTATCAGAAAATCACATTAGTAATTCATGTTTTGAGAGACTAGTTGGTTCTGATGTTTTAATGAGAAAGAGTTTTGTGTTTGGTCTTTTGAGTCCAACCAAAATTGGAAAAGAGTCATAATGTTGTCACGTACGTAGTTTTCTTTTCTGAAAACGGACTAAATACACAGTTTTGAGTTAGTAGTATTCTTAAAAGTATTCGTGACATGATTTGAAAGTATTAGTTATCAGAACTTCTACTATTATTATAAGATCTGGATCCTTTTTATAACACTTATATTCTAAAACAAAAATGATCGTAACATGTGTGCAGAGATAGAAAAATAGTAAATGATGCTAATGGTCCCTGATCGCCATTTGAGTAGTAGCTTGTCAGAAGTCACTGACTACTAGTGATCAATATACTTTCTCAATATAACATAATCCTCCCTAACTCTCAAACTTTCACATTCATCACAAAGTAATTGATTTACTTAACTACATTAGGTGGTTACAACTTCTACTTAATCTCATCAAATGTTTCCGGACAGATCAATATTTTGAGGAATATAGAAAAAATACATTGAGACTTAACCATTTAAAACTGTAGAAACACTACCTAACTAATAACATCAACGTCTAAAAGGGTCCAAAAAATCTTCTTTTTATAACTTGTGATTTTAAACGATTACTTAGTTCGGTAAGTTTAGCTTATGAAATTCGACAGACTCATTAGTGTCGGTTTAAACATTTTATAGGCCTTAGGATTTTTTTTAAATAGACCCATTAACATGTAAAGTATAAAATTAATTTTTTAAAAATAAACTTTTATAATTTTTTAATGTTCTGGTTATAGGAAAAACAAATTTTATGGACTTCTTTTACCTATAAATATAATTTTTTGGATTCCTTTTACCTATAATATTTTTTGATCTTTTTACCTACAATTTTTTCTTTTCTTAAGAATGTTTTTGTAAAAAAAAAGTATTTTGGCCTGCTGACTCCTATAGTTAAGCCGGCTCTGGACTCAACGAATTCACCCATACGATAAATATAAAGAATATGACTAGAGAGAGTTAGAAGAAAACATAAGAAAAGAAAAGAGAAGAATATAGAAAAAAAAGAAAACTAAAAATTGGAGGAAAATTTTCTACTATGTATTTGTAGTTAGAGACTGTGACTGGTATGCAATGTAGAAGAATTTTTTCTTCTTCTAGGTCTACATATTTTTTTATTATCGAAGCAATTTTTTTGTTTTAGAAGAAGTTTTTCTCCTACTAAAATGAGAAAGGAAATTTTTTTCTCAATTTTTCTCAATCAATTTTTTCTCCTACTTGATTGGTTAGTTAAGTAGAAAAGAGAATAATTATTAATTTTTCTACCCTCAACTTCTCTTCTATAAGTATTACCAGTCAAACCCAAAAAACCACCTCTATTAAAAACCAGTAATATCAAAGTACGAGGAAATGTGTGAAACCAGACACTTGAACCAAGTGACTTTAATGCTATCGCAGATGAAATTGATTGCAAATTAATATGATAAGGAATATAGGAGTATACTCTAATATTGATTTTTCTAGGTACATGATAAGTTAATATATCAATCACTTCAAAACGTTTTTCAGATTATTAATTGTGAAATCGACCACCGGTAACATTCCTTTCCAACTAGGAAAAGGACAATGCTTCGCAGATACATGTGGTACCACTACCAATTATTTATTATTATTATTTATTTATTTTATTGGGAAAATGATTTCATTTTTTTTATATCTGTTCAAAATAATATATTTTTTCTAAACAGATAATATCTCATTTTAATATTAGTTATTTAATTTCTACGTTATGAAAAACTGATATTTCATATTTGTCTTTTAAATGATACATTTACAGAACGACAAAAAAAAATGATACAATTACAGAAAAGAAAAAATTATACATCTTGCTTTGATTCGATCATAAAAAATCACAATTCTTGCTGACTCTTAAATTTGATTTATTTTTTGCTATCATAAAAGTTCAATAAAAATAGGGCAATTCTCACAAATAACAAAAAAAAAAAACAAAAATTGTTACCAAAAGTTAGTATAGGGGATTTAAAAAAAAAAGAGATTTACAATAAATTCATTGTAGTTAATATAGGGGATTTTCAAAAGATCATACATTGAATTTATTAGGTCCATAGAACTATTTTGGTGTTGAATAGACATTTTACATACCAAAATCCAACAAAAGCAGAGAGTACGTAGCTCCAAGGCTTGGGTTTGATGGGCTTTAGGCCCATACATTTTTTAAGGAAAAAGCCTTGGCCTGATGGTAACAAGTTGACATTAAATAATTCTTTGTTTATCTCTTCTCTGCAATCTCATCGTCACACTCACGGAAATGGCGGAACACGGAAAACGACGCGTTTTAAGAGCATATTACCTACTCATCATGATGATGATCTGTTGTAAGAATCGAATTCTCTCCTTCCCTCATCTCCTAGATCTCTCTCTTCTCTCTTCCCTCTTCCTCTCATTTCCTTCTCCAAGAACTCAAATTTCCCTCTTTACTTTGTCCTAAAGCCTTAAACTTTAACCGGAAAATCTTACATTTTTTCTCCTGGATCTCGCTCTCTCTCTGTTTGCAGAGTCACACTACAGCTGATTTAGATCTATTTTGTAAGTGGGTCGTACAAAGTCGTCTCCTTTGATTCTGGGTTATGATTAAAAACGTCTCCTTTTTCTATGGTTGCTTCACTGTTTTTCTTCCATGGAGGAAGTTACTAGCTTGAATTCACCAACTTACTAGTCTTATGTGTGATAATCTTTTGCAGGATTGTTGATTTGGTGATAAGTAACTATAAATGGATAAGGAGAAATCTCCGGCACCTCCTTGTGGAGGTCTTCCTCCTCCATCTCCATCAGGTCGATGCTCTGCATTCTCAGAAGCTGGTCCCATTGGTCATGGATCAGATGCTAATCGAATGAGTCATGATATTAGCCGTATGCTTGATAACCCACCGAAGAAGATTGGACATCGTCGAGCTCATTCTGAGATACTTACTCTTCCTGATGATTTGAGCTTTGATAGTGATCTTGGTGTGGTTGGTAATGCTGCTGATGGAGCTTCTTTCTCTGATGAGACTGAAGAAGACTTGCTCTCTATGTATCTTGATATGGATAAGTTTAATTCTTCTGCTACATCTTCTGCTCAAGCTGGTGAGCCATCAGGAACTGCTTGGAAAAATGAGTCCATGATGCAGACAGACTCAACTTCTAATCCTCAGAATACGCTTAATAGTTTTGGCGAAAGACCAAGAATCAGGCATCAACATAGCCAATCTATGGATGGTTCAATGAATATCAATGAGATGCTTATGTCGGGGAATGAAGATGATTCTGCCATTGATGCTAAGAAGTCCATGTCTGCTACTAAACTTGCTGAGCTTGCTCTCATTGATCCGAAACGTGCTAAGAGGTAATTAGCTTTCGTCTTTTCTTCTGTGAATCTCTGGTTTCTTTAATGATGTTTATAGTTTGGATGGAGACGATGAATGTTTTGTGCTTTTGGTCTCAATCTTTAGCCACCAGTCGTTTAGTTGCTTCAACTGTTTCTACATGACTTCTGGAATGGCCTAGACTCACAAAACATTAATGAAACTGTGGCTTGATTCCGAGTTGACTTTTCAAACATAAGCGTTTGTGTTTGTACAATCAAACTTTTGTTATGAGTGGAGCAAGTGTATAATTTGTTTTTGTGTCATACAATAGGATATGGGCAAACAGGCAGTCCGCAGCAAGATCAAAAGAAAGGAAGACGAGATACATATTTGAGCTTGAGAGAAAAGTACAGACTTTGCAAACAGAGGCTACAACTCTCTCAGCCCAGCTGACTCTCTTACAGGTTGGTTTTGACTTGCTCTTTCTTCATGCTGATTTAAATTAAATCTAGCATTATAATGTTCGCTCACGTATTGTGATATTTTATTCCTGTTTGTTCAGAGAGACACAAATGGCTTGACTGTTGAAAACAATGAGCTGAAGCTGCGGTTACAAACAATGGAGCAGCAGGTTCACTTGCAGGATGGTTAGTTTATTTTATCGCAAACAATATCTCTCTGTGCGAAGACTGCTATTTGGTTCATATGATCAATTCTATCTTATCTCTTAAACAGAACTAAACGAAGCACTTAAGGAGGAAATCCAGCACCTGAAGGTGTTAACTGGCCAAGTTGCTCCATCAACGCTGAACTATGGGTCGTTTGGATCAAACCAGCAATTCTATTCCAACAATCAGTCAATGCAAACAATCTTAGCTGCAAAACAGTTCCAGCAACTTCAGATTCATTCACAGAAGCAGCAACAACAACAGCAACAACAACACCAGCAACAGCAGCAGTATCAGTTTCAACAGCAACAGATGCAACAGCTTATGCAGCAGCGGATTCAACAGCAGGAACAACAAAATGGAGTAAGACTCAAGCCTTCTCAACCCCAGAAAGAGAGCTGAGGAATATGAATATGTCCACTTAAGTGAGAGGTACTCCTCCTGAACCATTCCTTTCTTATTTATATATTGTTGTACATCCATCAATTGCAGTCTCTTGGATTTTAGGGTTTAGCTAACACAGCTTAACGGGTTGCCTTGGCCTACAGGGTATTGGCGTTTAGGTGCTAAGAAGAAAGCCTTTTGGAAGAAAACATTTGGATAGCCCAAAGAAACAGAGTTCCTTGCAATGCAATGCACTGCAATTATTAGTTGTTTGGATTTGGTTATTTGGTATAGAGACTGGGTCTCGAAATCATAGTATGTAAAAAAATATAATCACGTTAATTTGTTATAATCTTATAACAATTGTGTTTAAGATACAAACCCATTTGTGTTATGATATTTGTTCACTATTGTTTTTGGTAAATATCCAAATCATTTTCAGAGAATTAAATACTACTGACTTTATCCTCTAAAAGAAGGAAGGAAAGCCACAAGATTAGTCCACACAAAGGCCAACAAACTTGTATTGATCTTAAAGAACATTAATGTCTTCTCCAATATGCAATACAGACCGCAAATAACATTTCAGCCGACGAAATTGTTGTGAAACAATGTCCACAAGATTTTACGGCTAACACTGTATACAGAGTCAGAAAAAAACATTAATTAAGATCACTTTTCAATAACTTTAAAATACAAGTGAAACAGACAAAGAAGAAGAGAAACAACGAGAGCCGCAGAAGTTGAAGAAATGAGGACCTACAAGGCATTGATGTAAGAAGCAAGGATGTGGTTCCTTTTGATACCCAAAATCTGATAAAACCTTCTTATCTTCCTTCTTCTCTTCTCCAATCACTCACAGAAACAAAACTGCTTTTGTCTCTCAAGTCTTTTGTCTTATAAAAAGGTTTTGTTCTTGAACAAGAGAAGAAATCAAGAGGCTAATTTTCCTGTTTTGTTGATTCCTCTGATATTCAGATTCTCACTTCTCAGGAAAACCCTAAAGGAAAATTCTGTTTTTGAGAAATATGAAGATACAATGTGATGTGTGTGAGAAAGCTCCGGCGACGCTTATATGTTGTGCCGATGAAGCTGCTCTCTGCGCTAAATGTGACGTTGAGGTTCATGCTGCTAATAAGCTAGCTAGTAAACATCAACGCCTTTTTCTTGACTCTCTCTCAACTAAATTCCCTCCCTGCGACATCTGCCTTGTAAGAATTTCTCCTCTTCTCTCTTTTGTCTCTCTGTTTATGTCTCTATTTGTATCTGAAGAGATCTTTGTGTGTTTTGAGGAGATCTTGTGATTGAGCTGTTCTTGGTAGATTCTTTAAGTGTAATGATCGAGAAGTTTCTTAGCTTTGTAACAAAGATTTAAGTTTATAGATCTAAGTTAAAGGTTTTAGTGGGATTTCAAGAGATTTGTTAGTTTTTGGATGTTTTTAGTTTGCAAAGGTTGGATTTTCAGATCCAACTTTGGTAGATATTCTTAAGGGGATCTCAAGAAACACATGTTCAAGCTCAAGGTTGCTTATGTAGTAAATCTTTGTTGACTTGCAGGAGAAGGCAGCTTTCATATTCTGTGTAGAGGATAGAGCTCTGCTCTGCAGAGACTGCGACGAGGCGACCCATGCACCAAATACTCGCTCTGCTAATCACCAGCGTTTCTTAGCCACTGGAATCCGAGTTGCTCTTAGTTCCACTTGTTGCAGTCAAGAAGTGGAGAAGAATCACTTCGACCCATCTAATCAGCAGAGTCTCTCTAAACCGCCAACTCAGCAACCCGCTGCTCCATCTCCTTTGTGGGCTACCGATGAATTCTTCCGCTACTCTGATCTCGATTGCAGTAATAAGGTGAGAACTGCTTTACCAAATTGATGAATACTAAATGTCTTGGTTTGTAACTTTTTTGTAACATGTATATAACTCACTTGTTGTACATTAGCAGAAAGAGCAACTCGACCTCGGGGAGCTGGATTGGCTTGCAGAGATGGGTCTGTTTGGTGACCAGCCTGATCAAGAGGCTCTACCGGCAGCCGAAGTTCCCGAGCTTTCCTTTTCACATCTGGCTCATGTTCATTCCTACAATAGACCTATGAAGTCCAATGTTCCCAACAAGAAGCAGAGACTTGAGTACCGGTATGATGATGATGAAGAGCACTTCCTAGTCCCTGACCTAGGCTAAACTATGGATGAACTATTGAGCTTTGTAATAAATAGCACTTAGTTCGCATATGTATCTACACGGGCTCATCTATTGTTTTCGCCTTGTTTTCTCCATGATCTGATTCGAACCAGTAATAGGTTTGTGTATCACTGTATACAGTTTAAAACTTGGAAAAACCTTATGATTTTATTAGCGAGTGATGCCTTGAATTGCAACATAAGTCTTTTTAAATCATTACATTAGGAGAAGAGAAACAAAAACAGAGCGGAATGCCGAATTTGTGTCTCTTCTCGATTTCAACCATTCGAAAACAAGAATACAAAAAGCGAAGAAAGCCGCGAAGACAGATTACGTGGTAGAAAGAAGCTTGAGTTGTTTTTGTTTCTATTTCTTTTCAAGAAAGCTGCGAACTTCAGCATCTGAGGGAAGAGCTGGAATGGCTCCTTTCTTGGTCGTGGTGATTGCTCCACAAGCATTTGCGAATCTCAGCACTTTTCTCAATCTCTCTTCGTCCTGTTAAATAAACCCGACATGTCATTAGATATTGAAGTTTGAACCTATATATCATCTTGAAGATAAAGAAGGATTCATCCAATGGATGCACATTGATTATTTGGATGCTTCTTTTGAAAGTTATACCTCGAGAACGGATTGATCATCCACAATCTGGTTTAGAAGAGCGCCGACAAAGGAATCTCCAGCTCCGGTTGTATCCACAGCGTTCACATGGAAAGGGTCAACAGATCCTTTGAAAGTCTACACAGTTTAGTAAATAAAGTATATAAGAAGAGAGACCTATTTTGGTAGAAGGTCACAGAGTAACTGCCGTAAAGAAGTAAGAACAAATCGTTTTCATGTTCATGTGATTCGGCAAATGAGAAAAGCAAAAGTAACTTCCTTTCTTGACAAGAACATTTGTCATGTTTGATAAACCAAGAACCTTAGAAATCACGACTTTTTGCTACCCTTGATTGATTAAAGAAGTACTAAACTTTTGGAGGGTCCACGACAAATATTAAATTTCTTATTCAGTAGGTGAGATCTACCAAACCTACTAATAATTTAATCAACGTAAAAGAATTGATTCCGGCAGCAGTATTGAAATACCCTGTTCTGATTATTCTTTTTTAATATGTTTCTCGAATCCTATTTTAAAAAGATGTTAACATAAAAGCAATCTTGAAATAATAGTATATAGCACACTAGTTTTGCCTTCTGGCACTACCTAATGGACACAACACACAAAGCATAACCAAGAGACAATTATGTTGATGATAGTGATAATAATGATGAATGATGATGGTAAATGCATAAAGATGTTCTAGTGTATTTGTTACCTTGGTGTAATACCGACAGCCCTTTTCACCGAGAGTAACAAGCAAGAGCTTCAAGTTGGGATGCCACAAGGACAATGCGGTCTCATCATCAATCTTGTTGCTTCCAGTTAGAAACTCAAGCTCAACATCGCTCACCTTGATGATCTCAGCTTTGTCCCAGATGCTCATGATCTGTGTCTTGGCTTCTTCCTTTGATGGCCACAAAGGTTCCCTGAGGTTTGGATCATAGGAAAGAAGAGCTCCGGCTTCTTTCGCCACTTCCATGGCCTTCAAATGAGCTGACCTACACGGCTCCACTATCAAACTTATTGATCCATAGTGAAACACTTTCGCCTACACAAAAACACACCACATTGGTCACAAAATCGTCAAACTAACATAAGAAAACAAAAGCCAATTTGGTACCAAAAAGTAACACAACTTGGATCATAAGGAATATAATTATCAAGGGACCCAAATGTGGTTATGATTCTTTATGTTTTGAATATTAACTACGACAAGGGTCAATCATTATCAAACTATTCAAGAAAACCAAAAGATCCTCGCCATGAAATTAGCTGTAAAGGTTAATTTATAAACAAATTTACACAAAAATATTAAACCTGACATCATTTCACACCATTGCTATAAAAAGCAAACTTTATTTACACAAAAATATTCAACCTGACATCATTTCACACCATTGCTATAAAAAACCAAACTTTACACGAATATGTGCACATTTACTTTAAATCACATCAATGAACCCAAAAGTACTACAGACTATCAATATAGATCAAAAAGAACACAGATTAAGCTCACTACAAAACCACTTAAGGAAACATTTCATTAGAATCGACCTAGATGGTGATGGTTAACTAATTTGCTTGTTCACGGCCAAAAGGTTATAGCTTTTATTTTGAAGTTGTTTTGGGTAAAATATGAGTAACCAAAAAATCAAGAAATTGGAGAAATCACGTGGTATCACGTGGATCTAAATAAGACCCGCGAAAATAAAAATAAAAATCTTAAGAGAAAGAAAAGTCACCGCCAGTGAGTGAGATCATCTTCTACGTTTCTAAATTCAATAACGCGATTCCCAATAACACTCCTAATCAAATTTTGTTTCTGCGTTTCCCAGAAAATTCAAACTAAAAATCCTCTAGATCTCGTGAAGATCTGGGTTTTTCTACAATCGTAAAACATCTAGATATCAGAGAGGAGAGATTTAAACGTACGGATCTGATGAGGTCGAGATTGAGTTCATCAGGACGGAGAAGCATATCGGCGCTAGGATTCCGGTAAAACATAAACTCACGATCTCCATCAGCACGTAACGTTACGAAAGCTAGAGCAGTTCTAGCTCCTGTATCGAAGTTAATCCCCTGATCATCGACACCGTTCTTCCTCAGAATCCCAGCCAACATATGACCGAACTCGTCGTCTCCAAGTTTTCCGACGAAGGCGGATCGTCCACCGAGACGAGAAACGGCGATTGCGACGTTTGCGGGAGCACCGCCTGGAGCTTTGAGGAATCCAGGAGCTTCGGCGAGTGAGACGCCGGATTCGGTTGGGACGAAATCGATTAGCATCTCGCCGAAGCTAACGATCAGTCCTTTATCACCGTTGGATGCCATATTAGATCAGAGATCTGTGAATAGTTGGATCAAATCGGAGAATCGAGAAAAATGGAGAGTAAGGGAGAGAATATAAAAAATGAAGCAAGGAAGAAGAATGGTTTATATAGACAACGATGGGACTGGTGAACAAAGGCTACTAGTTGTATTTCGTTAAATTAAGATAATTTTTAAAAATCCATAATCCACAAAATATCAAAATATATATCTTTAAAAAAAACATGAGTTTCTGTTGCCAAGTAAAATAAAAAGGAGAAATATACAAATGAGTTTCTAATAATATCAAGATATATATCTTTAAAAAAAAAGCCTTGAGTTTCTGTTGCTCAATAAATAAAAAAGAAATATACAAATGAGTTTCTAATAATATCAAAATATATATCTTAAAAAAAAGCCATGAGTTCCTGTTGCCAAATAAAATAAAAAGAAATATATAAATGAGTTTCTAATAAAATGCAAAAAATCTTGTTACCTTTTCAACATTTTGCCCGAGTATTTGATATTTCTGTAGTTTTCTATGATTTTGTTTTTTCTCTGTATCCTTTAGCGATCAAATTAAGAAAAATGGTATATCAGTAGACAAAAATAACTCAATATGTTGCGTAAAAAATAAACTTACTACAAATTTCTTGGTGTCAGGTTAAGAGGATAATGACAAAACACCAACAAGATACTCTCACGTGTTCAACAAATTATTTATTCTCTCGGTGGGTTTTTATTTTATTTATTCAAGCGTTTTACTTTTAAGTTTTAACTGTATAGTATTTACTATTTACCATGAATTTTGTTGGTGATTGTTTATGGGTTTTGGTAAGAAAATAATGAAATAAATGTGTCATCTGACATAAAAATAAAATAAAGTCAAGATTCATATTTATATTTTACCAACAGTTGAAAAAAAAACAATTAAAAAGCACGTTAATTAAATAAGTAATTGAAGCGTCACTGTGGGTGTTGACAAGTTGAACTATTTAATTATATAATCAAACAGGTTACCTTTAGAAAACCTGTGGATTCCTCTATTCAGTTTCCATAAAACCAGCAACGGATCACGAAACGGCTAATGTCAATAGACATTTTCTCTCTTTAATTTCGACTACTTCTCCTACAACGAATATTAATTGTAGGAACAAATCTCAAGATTAGCTTAAAAATATGATTCATGTTTTGTATGGTTATAGACTTATAGTATATCTTAACAAAGGAAAAAAAAACATTTTCACATAATTAATCGAGTTGCTTGTTACAAAATATTAGCACAGAGCCAAACATTGTTAGGACCATTTGGTGATCATCATAAATTGTTTTACATCACACACTAAGCTACAAAAGAAGAGGCTGCAAAGTAAGCGAGGTCTGTTCCCGTTGTTGTTGGTCTGTTGATTTCATTGTTGTAGTTGCTCTGGTGGTGCTTATGTGGTCATGGAGGATTAAGAGTTTGAGTGTAGCTGATTCACGCAGCCAAGTTGCTACCACCGAACCACTTGATGTGAACCGTCCCATGTTGCATTTTGACAGGTGAAATGGTGCGTCCATTCCTCTCAAAAGGACTTCAACCGCTCGTTTTAGTGCTCCGTCTCCAACCACTTTGCTGTGTTTCCCCCAGCCAGTCAATATACTGCCACAATATAAAAAATTAGTACAACATATCACAAGTTTTGAACTAACCCGGGATCACGAAAGATATGCAAAACAAGACCACACCACATAAATAATGAGCCTCTTTAAAGACACTATAATCGTAATGTATGACTAATAACTTAAACCTATCACAAGAAAACATAACATCCAGGACATGCTGTATATCAGATTTCGAAAAAGAGGAGATTGGACTACATTCCTGGGGCTCTGATGGAGTTTTAGGAAGCAACCATAATTTGATAAGTGTTGGGTATTATAGGCCGGTTTAAGTTGATAGTTGAATCCGAAGAGCTCTTTGTAGCTTACCTCAAGACTTTAGGTAACTCATGACCTTCATAGACAATGGAGCGTATGTTTAGTAGCCACGCATGGACCATTGCACGTGCAGCTCCAGAAGACATAAGGTGTAAGTCCAAGCAAGAATCAGACCACACGTTCTCCCAAACTTGCCTAGATCTTCCCTCAAGTGCTACCAGTTCTGCACCTCGTTTCTATACAAAAGGTTCCCAAAAGTAAGCCTTTGTACTAATAGTAAACCGGTTACAAAACTTGGCCTCTACAATATCAGTGTTATTTTACCTGACCAAAGTGCCAAAGCATGTCGGTTAGAGCATTGTAGAAGGCAGAAGCAGTTGAACCGTCCATTTCATTTACTTTGTCAAATAAGCTCTGCGCTTGGAGCCATACATTCTCTCTTTGACCCATGAGAAGTCCATGAACAACACCATATACCTTATTATCAAACAGCCTGAGCTCCTCTAGCAGCATTGATGCATCTTCAAATGAGTTACACCGACTACATTGATATAAACATGTCAACAAAATAAGAATCCTCACCAAAATGCAGCCAAACAGCATTACCACATAGAGCTAATCTAAGATAACCCTAACAATTGGGTGATATCTTTCACTCGCTAACTTCAAAAGAGAATCCAAAAGAGAAACAAACCTGCAAGCATTCAGAATCGCTGAAAAGGTAACAACATTTGGTTTAATTTCCAGCTGATGCATTTTGCGGAAAACTTCCAATATACATGAGAGCTCCTGCATACCCTCCTTACAATCTTTCGTCGTTCGGTTATTACTCTCACTTGTTAACTGCCCAAATAACTGTATTACCCGATTACCCTCTGTTTCAGCCAATTCACTCAGAGCAGAAGAAGAGAAAGACAAAGATCCAATTTCTAAGTCATTGCCTGCACCATTGCTATAATCAGATGATCTCTCCATAGTTGCAGAACGACCAAAGGCGTCAATTATGGAATTATAAGTTACAACATTAGGACTAATTCCTTCCTTTGTCATCTCATCGATCAAAGAAACAGCAGAACCCACCAACCCATTCTTGCACAATGCATCAATCAATGCACTGTACAAAACAACATCAGCTCTTAATCCGGCGCTCTTAAACTCCCTAAATATCTCCATTGCCTCTTTATACAAACCTCCTTTCGAGTACCCATCGATCAACGTTGAATAAGTCAGTAAGTTAGGCAACACATGCTCTCGCTTCATCTCAGCGAAAACTTTTTTCACTTCATCATATTTCCCTTGTTTCCCATATCCTCCAAGAAGAGCATTATAAGTCACAACATCCTTCTTAATCCCAACAGATGCCATTTCTCTCAGAATATCCAAAGCTTCTTCAGATCTACCAACTTTAGTATAGATCGAAAGCAATGTATTGTAAGAAACTCTATCCAATGCAATATTAAGATATCTCATCTCACCAAACAAGTTAAGAGCTTCATCGAATCTTCCGGCCTTTGCAAACCCATCAATAACTGTGCTATAACTTACAACATTAGGCATGATTCTCTTAGCTGGCATCTGAGCGAGGATTTCGAAAGCAAGGTCCATCTGCCCACCTTTGCAAATTGCATCCAAAAGTGTATTATAAGAAAAGACATCTTGCTCAATCCTTCTATTCGACATCTCATCAAACAGATTCCTTGCTGCTTCCCACAACCCTCCTCTACTGCAAACAGCAAGCAAAGAGTTGAAAGTTATTCTATCTGGCTGCACACCGTTCCTCTGCATCTCATCGAAAAACTTGGCTACTTGCTTAAACTCCATCCCGCCTTTACCGCAAGCGTCAATCACAGCATTGTAGGTAACCAAATTCGGCCTCAAGCCATACTCTTTCATGGAGTTGAAGACACTAATGGCTTCCTCATGGAGCCCACTTCTCCCATAAGCACTTATCAGAGCCGAGAAGGCGTAAACCGTGTTTCCATATCCACCAGCAAAGGCAGTTTCGAAAATCCTCTTAGCAATGGTTACTTTGCCATATCTACCAAGAGTACTTATCATCGCACTAGCTAACTTCCCCTGCTCGTTCTTTCTCCTCTCTCGTTTAACTGCAAACTCATAAAAGCCAACAGCTTTATCGCACTCATTACGATTCCCTAACTCACGGATAATATAGGTACAGTCGTCAGAGCCACACAGCTTTGACTCGAAGCTCAACAATAGACTATGAAACATCTCATCGTCTCCAGAGAAATCGATAGCGTTTTGAAGTGCATCTTCAGCAGCAGAGCTATGTCGCGTGGCCATTGTATTCTTAGGTCGCCCGAAATGCATCTTGGAGACGAATCTAGTCGATCGTCGACCCGAGAAATCCGATGAAAGATCGGATTTTGGGGTTTGGAGAGGCGAAAAGTTAGGAGTCTGAGATAGTTGAGCTGGAGCTACAGTAGCTACAGATGAAGGCGGAGGAGCTGAGCCACGAGGAGACGAAGAAACACCATACGGACGGTGATTGTAGTTTGGGTTTTGCCTGGTCTGACGATGGTTATTGGTGGTGGTGGAGACGAATCGGGTTGATTGACGACCGGAGAAATCTGATTTGGGGGTTTGCAAAGGAGAGAAATTTGGAGTAGTCTGTGATAGATGAGCTGAAGAAACAGAGGCGACGGTGGAAACAGAGGCTGATGAAGAGGGAGGAGCTGAGGTAACGGCGCGACCGGGACGAGGACGCTGAGGAAGCCATGGACGGTGGTTGTTGGTGGTGGTGACCCAGTGAGGCGGCGTTGACGCCATTGAAAGGAAGAGTTTTGGTGATTACGGAATCGAAAGAGCTACATAAGGATAGGGTTTTTCATGCTTCTTTGGAATTCGTAAAGACTCAAAACTTTTTGGATAGGTCTTTTGGAGATATGAGCCGATAGAGAGAGATAGAGAGAAGCTGAATTGGACTCTCCTCTGCTTCCCAAAAAAAATAATTTTTAATTATTTGCTTCCGAAATTGATTAATTCATCAAAAGTCATGGTTACTTTCATTTGTTTCTTTCTTTCTTATTTTATTTTGCAATAATTGTCACATATTTGTTTTCCAAATGTGTATATGTTCTGTTAAATATTTTGTGTAGATTTTCCTTTTCTAAATATTCCATTCCTATAAATCATTTTATCAGATTTCCTGAGAGGGAGATCTGGGAAAAGATATGGTATTGGTTAAGCTTTATGCGACCAACTCTCACCAAATTATGTAATCATCCACCTACCTATAGACGAGTAGAAGAACATTTGGATGTTGCACGAGTCATTGTCTCCCACCTAATATAGCAAAAAAGTAAATGTTGAAACAATCTAAAAACTCTGAGAGTATCTTTGTCTTGTTTCTATTTGAATTTAAGAATCAGAATTTTCCTAACTCCAAATGAATCCTAATGTTCCTGATGTCAATATATTAAACGCTTGCGTCACTAATTGATCATATATCTGAATTACTGTCACACAAAACTTCTCAACAGATTTCAGCTTGACATATCTGGTCCAACAATAGCTTACATGTTGTGTAAGAATATCAACAGTAAAGTGACTGCCATAGAGATGTATATTATTCGTCTCTCATCCAATGAAACCATTATAAAGCTCTTTCACAAGACATGAATACAATTGAAATTACAAACAAAAGGAACCGAGAACACATCACAACAAGCAAAACTCATGGGATCATTCAACTGTTATATTTCAGTAAAACTAAAACCAGACAAATGCTATCGAAATGAAACCATAAATGTCATTAGGTTAGATTTCAGTATTAGAGAAACACCAAGATCCTTATCAAGAAGCATAGCCAGAAATAGCAATAAACAACTACATATAACTGAGGTGTGATTAATTCAAGACAATCATAAGACATTACAAAGCACTTTCACAGGATAGCACTACAATTGAAATATTCGTAAGAACAGCTCAAATCAGCGAAATTCAAACCAAGAGGAACTGAGAACACATCAGAGAACAAACTCATGGGATCAATCCTTTAAATGGTGAACACATCCTAACAAAGCTATCGAAATGAAACCATAAATCGAAATCAGTGTTTTATAAATATCGCACCAACAGTAAAAGGCAGCATGAAACACCAAGATTCAAGAAGCAGAGCACGATATAGCAATGGTCAAACTACATAACTAAGGTGCGACAGATTCAAGTCGATTAGACAATGATAATCAAAAGGAGTGAAATTGAAACTGCGTACAAAAGATGGGTTCTAATCTGTTGAAGCAAAACACAGTTTTCTCACTATTAAACTTCCACAACATTTAGTTCTTAGCTGCAAATTGTTAACTAAACAACATTGAATAAACCTCATGAGAAAATACCAAACAACTGAAAACACTTGCCTTTAAAGAGAAGGAACAAAAATCCCTAATTTGTGATACTCTTCTTGCTACCACCACCACTCAACATCTCCTCAGGAATATTCTTGAGATGCTTCCTCTGCTTAGACTTAGCAATTTTCTTCAAAGTCTTAGGATTTGTAATCTTCTGCAACTTAGTACCAGTTCTCAAAACATTCTCCTTCTTCCTCTTCTCTCTCTCTTCCTTCTTCTTCCTCTTCTCAACCTTATTACTCCTAATCTCTTCCTTAAGCTCATTCATTCTCTCCTTATACGCTCTCTTGATCTCCCTCTGCCTCTTCATCTCCTCCAGATCTGGTTTCCTGTTCTTCACAAACCTCCCCGAAGATCTGTGAGTTCGCGGCTGTTTCCAATTCCGTCCCGAGACTTTCCCGGCGATTACACCGTCGTAGGTCGGTCTCTCAACCGCTACAGCCATAGGTTTGTCTGGATTCTCAGAGGAAGCAACGGCGCTGCGTTTCGCGGAAGGAGGAGCACCATCGATGTCCATAGAAGCTTCATCGGCGATTGCTTCGGCGGCGGCTTGTTCTTGAAATTCGCGTTTACGTTTGTAGGTTTTGCCGCCGAATCCTTCGTCAAGGCACCGGAAATCTACGGTGCAAGCCATTTTTCCTTCTTCGTGTGGCTGTGAGGTTTTGAACGAATTTTAGGGTTTCTCGAGTATTTATATGAGTGGATGGAGACAGGGTAACAATTCCGGTTTTTAGCTTCCCACTCCAATTCAATAATCGAACCGAACCGAACCGGAATTTGATGATTTGACGTGATTTAATTACTCTGGTTAAGTTGATGCAATCCCAACACTGAAACTTTATCTTCAAAATTGCTGAAAACTAAATCTAATCTTTTAGGTTGTGAATAAATCCACATTGCAATACAAAAGATATAAATTATTGATTCAAGCTATTAACATATGTAGCTATAGAATGATAAACCGATTAATTTTAAAAGTACAGATATATTTATAGAAATTTGTAAATACGAAATTAGATATATTAAATCATTCTACAGTTCAACTAGCAAAAAAGTAAAAAAAAAAGTAAATTCCACCTTTCCGCAGCTAAAAAATTAAATCAAATTCTAATTTGTTCTTATTTAATCTGTATTTAATTTATATTCCAAAGTTGTTTCTGTTTTTTTAATAATAAATCAACATTAACACCAATCAAATTAAATTAAACTAATTCAGAAAATAAGGTTATTGGACAAACATCCAACCTCTAACTCAACAATAAGAAAAAAAAAGAAAAAGAAAAAGAAAACCCCAAAATACCCTGAAAACAAATTTCTTTGTTACTTGTGACTCAAGCAACGTTATGACGACTTGATGAAGGACGAGAGCTGCTCTCACCAGAACCGGTCGAAAAAGAGAGAGCAAAACAAAGTTTTCCACTTCCATCTCGAAAGGACCAGATTTCAATCACGTGATTGACTTCAAAGATTTTGGTGGCAATCACATTGTTCCAACCCTTATTGATCACATATTTCCAAACCCCGTCTCCATTACCTTTCTACGTAGATAAGTATACTTCCTTAAATCAACGGCATGCACTCATGCTTATGCGACTTAGAATCCACCAAAACCACTTTGAAATCTTCCTTTTTAGTCTTCAAAAAATGTTCATCTACGATTATGGTCTCATCCTTTGTCAAAAAATATGTATTTTTAACTGGCTGAGATGCATTGAGAGACACGATTGGGTTGTTTTGAGATCAGCTTCAAACAGCTGCTTCCTCTTTATGATCAGCTTTGGATCGTATCCATTCTCTTTTCTCATCACTTTCACAAGCCAGTCTGGTATCGAATCGCATGTTTCGGGACTCGGGATGTCGACAATGATTCTCTTTTTTTCTTTGTAAACTATTTAAGCTGATTCTTCCAACATATCTAGCTTCCAAAACTTACAAATATCAGAATTTTCCATTGTGCGACCAGAACTACAAGAATTAAGGAAGAGGTTTAATAACAAGCTTAATAGAGAGAGAGAATATTGTGACTTTCTTAGATAACAGAATTTTAATCATGTTCTTACTTGGATTAGTTATATATATATATTAAAAAATAATAATAAGTTAAACCTTAAGACGATTACAGAATCTTGAATCTTCTAATGATAATTTTTTATTCTTAGTTCTCAATGTTTTTTATTTTTATTTTTAATAATTACGTGAATTCTAACCCAAACATTAAACTGCCATTAGTTTTTCATGGTTCTTATCGACTGTTACTATTTTAATGAACCACCATTCAAAGTCATAGATTTTCCTAAAAAATTCTGGCATCTCATTCTCATCCATATATTATTATTACCTGTTTTAGCTTTGAATTTAACTATAAATGGAATATTTGAAACACAAAAATGGAAACAAAATTAAGAAACACCTTTGTTTCTCAATATGGCCAAAATGCTAATAAAACACAAAAAAAAAATTCCGTTGTTGTTATTATTAGTGCTCTTTGCATTCCAAATGTCAAGTGCAATGCCAATCACAGACGTACACAATTTTTGCAAGGAAACGTTTGAAGTAGATTTCTGCCTGAAATACATTGGGTCGGACCAACGTATGGTAGCCGCACGCGACTTCAGTGACATGTTTTTAATTACGGTAACTTTAGATAATTATTAATGTAACAATTTTGATTACTTTGTATTAATATTATTTTTAACTAGGATGATAAGTTTTTTTTTGGTAAAATCAATAATTTATTTAGATTGATATTAAAAATGAATATTTATAACCATGAAGCAAAGTAATTGTTAAAAATTAATATCCGTTAAGAATGAAACAAATCACAAATATAAAATATATAGATAAATAGACATAAATATATACATCTATTTAGAAAGTCAAATATCGATGTATATGACAGATATCTAACATTTAAAAGTTTGACTATATTACCAAAAAAAGGCAAGATATTTGTTAAATGTTAGTAAAATTAGGGATAATAATAGATTAGTAGAAATTGTTACCTCACCACTTCTTGTATTATTCATATTCTACAAAAGAAATATTGTTTTTGGTTTCTGATTGAGACCTTCTTATTAGATATCTGAGACCCAAATTCAAGTGACCAATGCAATTACACATATCAACAATATCCGCCAAAGTTTAAATGATCCGCTTGGGAAGAATCGGATCGGTTTATGCGAGGAAAAATACGAGGTCGCGGCCACTAGTTTTCACAAGGCTTGGGAAATTGGACAGAAAAAGTCAAATTCATCAACGGACCGTATGGAGATAACCCGAAGCACGCAAGCTGGCTTTGATGCTGTGTGTGAGTGCGAAGACGAATGGTCAAAGCATGGTCCGAGACAGGAGTCTCCTCTCACTTTCTATTACCATAATGTTCTAAAACTATGTCAAATTACTCGTCTTATTATCAGCAAGCTTGAGGCTTAAGTTGTATTGGAATTTGATTTACGTACTTAGGATATTAATTGGTTTTAGCTTATTCACTCACACTTTAAACAAACTCGATTTTTCTCTGTTTCTAGTTTATAAACCCGGTTTTTGTAACTATCTGTAATATTTATTGGTTAAATGAATAAAACCTATTTGATGTTTTTGATATATAATTTATCATCATTGCGAGAAAAACATGACGTTTTAAACGAGTTTCGACGCAATTTGGGGTATACACCTGAATGAGATTTTCAAGCAAAAACCAAGTCGGGAGATATGAAAATGCTAAAAATGTACATTTGAATTTATATAAAACCGTTTTTTTCGAAAAGAAAAAAAAAATCCATCGGTTTGCTAAGGGGGTGATTGGAACAAGGCTTTGAAGACTTCACAGTATTGTTTTTGCCAATTAGGCTTTTTTAACTTTATTTTTTCTTAAAGTTTTCAAAGCCTCTTTTTTTTTTCTTCTTCTTTATTTCCCTTCCTTTTCTAAAGCCTCGAAAACATGGCTTTGAACCAAATATTAATTAAAAGCCTTTTTTTTTCTCCCCCATGATTCTTAAAAACTCTTTGCAAGTTTATATATATATTTTTCACAATTTCTTTTTAAGAAATTAATTACTACCATTTTTCTATCTTTCTTTTAAGATCCATTTAACTAATAATCATTTTATTTTCATCATCACCATTAATGTTAGTATAAGAGAGTTTTGATTAGTATATTTTTAAAAATCATATACATTCATATATGCCATTCAATTATTTCATTAATTGCTTCATCCTTAATAGCTTTCTTGAATTTTAATTACTCAAAATTATACAACTATTCAACCAAAAAAACATTCAAAACAATTATTATCCATAATAATAGTTCAAGAATCATTCAAAATAAGTATTTAAATTATTTATATCTTTTAATTTATTTTTATCAAAATTTTATTCCGACTATTTTACATGAATTTAACATTATTTAAATTTATTATTAATATAAAATAATAATAATAAATAATAAGTCACAGCTTCTACAGCTTTGTTCTACCAATCGAATTTTAACAGCCAAAGTTTCTACAGTCAAAGTCTTTACAGCCAAATTCTCTGCAGCTCAAAATTTTTAAGTCAAAGCCTCTAAAGCCAAAACTAACAGCTGTTACCAATCGGCCCCTAAATTAGCAGAAATTCGAAAGCAAAAAAAAAACTGTCTATGCTGTCTTTTGGAGATGCATTATGCAAATATAGAGTTTTCTAATTTATTAAAGAATCGCATCCCTACGTTATCATTACTGTTTTTAGCTTCAAATATAGATAAAAAGTAAAATGAAATTGAAGCACACAGAAAAAAAAGAAAAAAAAAAAGAAAAGGAAAAGTCTCGTTTAGCAATTAGCATTATTAAGATAGGAAATTACTATTATTTATTTGGAAACTCATTAGCTTTTACTTTATAAATATGTTGGTTACGATAAAAGTTTTAATCATCCAATCAATAATATAAGTTTTTCTAGAATTCTTTTCTCAAACATTCTTATTCTGAAAGCAATTATCTGTTCTCGTTTCTTAATCACAAAAGTCTAACAAATAAACAAATTTTGTTTCTCAAAATGGCCACAATGCTAATAAACCACATGTGTTTCCTAACGTCGTTGTTATTGATCGCGTTTCCAGTAGCAAACGCTATTCCAGCCAGAGACATTGACAAGCTATGCAAAGAGACTACTGATGTGCCCTTCTGCCTCCAATACATTGGGTCGGATCCACGAATACCAGCCGCACGTGACCTCAGTGACGTTCTTTTAATCGCGGTACGTAGTGTTATGAATGTTATATACATATATTGCTAACCAATTCTATTCCATCGATAAAATTCATCTAAGCAGTAATCCAAAGAAAAATAGAAAATCTTTGAAAAATTGTGGCTTATTCGAATGTACTTAATCTTGTTTCTGTTGTAAACTTGATCAGATAACGCAGTCAAAAATGCAAGTGGATGATGCAACCACTCATATTGACAGAGTCCGTCGAAAGTTCAGTGGTCCGAATGGGAAGAGACGGATCGAGGTTTGCAAGACGAATTACGGAATAGCTTCGGCTAGGTTTCACACTGCTTGGGAACTTGGACTTCAAAAATCGTTTTGGGACGTGGAAAAACTGGCAAGGATTGGCACCAACGCTGTGATCGACTGCGAAAACGTATGGAGAAGGGATGGTCCGATACAAACGTCTCCTCTCACTTTCTATAACATGAATGTTTTCAAGCTATCTGGAATCATTCTTCTTATTTTCGACAAGCTTGTGTGATCTGATTGTACCGGAATATCATGGTCACGACCCAAGTTACGTGTAGTAAAAGTTGGGAGATAATAGATTCGTGGGACAATCGTAACCTCATTATTTCTTGGAGGGCATCTAAAATAGTAAAAGAAAGGATAGAAATTAAGATTATTGAAGAATTGTGGTTTACTATCTTTACAAAAATATATTAGTTCCGGTTGATTATTTCCGCAAAGGAATCCAAAACAGCCTCAAGCCTCCTTCAGTATAACAATAACATGTTTCTAAACAAGCAATACATCCAATCTGCCTAGCTATCATACATGTATTGGCCCGTAAATAAGCAATACATCCACTTTCATTGTGGTCTGCTTCACACAAGTTTCGTTTATCTAGTTCCTTTTTCATGTTTTAAAAAAAATGATATTGGTGGTGGAGGAGAAAAATATGGTGTTCGTATGCTTATGGCGTTTGTAAGTGGACGGAGAATGTGTCCCGGTACGGTGTTGGATTAACAAACAAGATTGTGACATTGACGTTAGGATCATTGATTCAATGCTTTGATTGGGGAAAAGTCAACGGTGACAAGAGGTTGATATGAGTGAGGGTCCGGGAATGGTAATGCGTACGATGGTGCTGTTACGAGCTTTGAATCAGCTTCGACCCATTATGAATAAGCCTCTGCCACACTCAAATGGTTTAGTTATACTTGTTAGTGATAATTGACTTTGGTCGTATGTTACATATATTGACTAGATAACAACCCGCACGATGTGCGGGATGAAGTGATTCAAGTAAAATTATTATGATTAAAATTATTATCCGGGATCTAATACCCGTTTGTGTAAAACGAAAAATGTTACAATTTTTTTTTTGTTTTATTCAAATTTGGGACTATTTCATATAAGAATATGTTTTACCCGTGAAATATTTGAATCTTGAATAAAGCTTCAACGTTATAAAAAGTATTGACGAAATATTACCATTTATGGCAATATGTCTTTCCGTATGTTTTAAAGATTTCGAGATCTTGTAGTATAAAAAGATTTTTTTTTTTTAATAAGTATAAGAAATCCAAAATTTAGCAAAGATGAGATTTGATAGTTTCCAAGCTAAGATTTTGTAGTGTTCTAAATCTACGATTCTTAGATTATGAATGGATTATTTACGAAATGGTTATAATGTGGCCAGATTTTGGTTTATATACAAATGTGGTTATAATGTTTTTCTTCGAAAAGTTAGAATTCCTCCAAAAAATAGGATTTTAAGTATTCGTAACATATATAGAAAGGAGATTATCTTATTTATCTAAGTAAAAAATTTATGAAAGATGTAAAGATTTTGTAGTTTTGAATTCGATATTCTTGAACCAAATGTATATATTTTATTATTTAAATATAAACATAAATATAAATATAAATAAAAAGATTGTTTACCCATCTTCTAAAGAAAATTTATATAAATGTATATATAAAAAATATAAATATAAAAATACAGTAATATAAGATAAACAAAAAGTGTATGTTTTTAATTATTAATGGGATATATGGATGTATGAGACTAATGGCAAATTCTGTAAATAGTCTAATAAATCTTGGGTAATTATCTAAATAGAAACCAAATCATTGTGAGAGCGACACATCAGCGTGGCAATCTTGTTAATAACACATCAGCGTGGCAATCTTGTTAATAACACATGATGGTAAGGTTTTTTTTAAAAAATGTTTCTCTATTAATATATAGGGGATATGTGTCAATGTTTATTAATGGGTGTGTGTTAGAGAAGTTGTGTTGTTTCGCTTGTCAGTTTCTAGACGCAAGGAACGGTTACCACTGTAAGATGTTATATAAGTGTGTGTAATGTCTCAGTAAACTAATAACAAGTTTCGGTTGCATAAATAAAAGTTTCTGTTTCGTTCTTGTTTCTTTTAAAGGAGAGATAATTCTCTATCTCTTACTCTGCTTCTTCCTCACAAGTTTTATTAGAGCACCCCTAATGGAGGTTTCTAAACATTGGTTTCTAGAATATGACCCGCGGTACACCGCGGGTTAATTATTTGATTTTTAATTTTATCTTTTTATAAACTGATGAATTTGTTGTGTATAATATTTTTTGTTGTACACCGCGGGTCACATGCGTTGTATATAAAAAATAAAAATTTTAAGTTGTATTTGTTTTGTTTACTGTTTAAGATTGTATAATTAAATTTTGATTTGTTAATTTTAGGATTTCACCCGTGATATATTGTCCCGTATTAATATCGACCCAAACCCGTCCCACCATATACTCTTGTCTTGTGGAATTAAACATCATTTTGTTATTTTTTAATAACACTTTTATTAAAAAGCATATAATTCGAGTTAATTTAAAAGTTTACTTTCAAATAGTTTCCATAATATATATATTTTTAAAATTAGTATGTGTTTTTGGACCAACCCGTAAAAATAATTCATAATTGTATCTTAAAATACTAAATAATTGTATTTTAATTTGTTAATTTTAGGATCTCACCCGTGGTATACTGTCCCGTTTTAGATAATTGTAGAAATTAAGAAAATATCTGAATGACTCAATTTCGGGTCAGAATAAAAAAAACGACCTGATTAAATGTGCAATTTGTTCTTAAAAAAATGTTAATGTAGATTACACACAAATTTTTTTTCTTCATCGATCGAGTAATATATGTATGTTTTAAAAATCTTGAGGAGGGTGCTCTTATATATCAAACCTAACAACTGTACAAGTTGTAACAACAGTGGATAAAATCTACAAGACCGAACCTGAGACCGAATCATAAGAAAATGATTCCAATAGATAATAGATAGCATCTAGTCTAAGACATAAGCTAGTGTTTAGTTTTTTATTTGTTTGACTCGTTCATTATAACCGTTTGTGCGGTACATACACCATAAATTCGTTGGGAAAGACAATACGAACAGCACAACGAGGTCGGCATCGGGCACCCGCAGGGCAAGGTTCCCTCCCAAAGTATTCTTTAAGTCGATAAGGTTTCTCAATCTTTTGTACGTTAATTTTATTTAACACCTATTTACGTTATTAATCCAAACATTACACTGCCACTAATATTTTTAATGCCATTAAATAATGTTACTATTTTTATGTGCTACCATTCAAATATTTAAGGAATCTCATCCATAGACTATTATTACCGTTTTAGCTTTTTCAATCTAATTATAAATAAAATCGTCGAAAAACAAAAAACTAAGATACCACCTTTGGTTCTCAATATGGCGACGATGCTCAACAAACACATAAATTTTCTTTCACTGTTATTATTAGCGCTCTTTGCATTCCCAAAATCAAATGCATTGCCAATCAAAGACGTATACAGTCTTTGCAAGGAGTCAGGTGTAGTAGATTTCTGCCTCGAACAAATTGGGTCGAACAAATATATAGTAGACGCACGCGACTTCAATGACGTGTTTCTAATCGCGGTACGTCAAAATCAGACCTGTGCTTACCTCATAGAATTAAAAGCGATTGCCTAATGCCACCAAAATAATAAGCATTAGAAAGCCAAATTTTATTCAAAAATTAGATATATGTATATAGTTTAATATTATGTATTAGAGCTTTTTGTTTGAGAAATGCATAAAATTAATAAATAAAAATTCACAAGGAAATTAAATGGTTAACGATCTTGTTTATACTTTTCGAATTGTTTTATATATTTTTTTTAATTTTAAAAACGAAGGCCACATTAATCGAAATTACCTAAGGCCTCTGTGAAACCTAAGCACAATACTGGTTATAATGTAACAATTATAGTTAGTTTTTTTCTTAATTATGCATAAATTCATGTGGTAGAAACTAGGATTGAGAAGTATTTTAGTAATATTAATGATTTAATTTAGATTTAATAAAAGAAAACTGAATAACTGTAACCACGAAGCAAATTAATTGTTAAAACTAACATCCGTTAAGAACAGAACAAATCACAAATATTGGATTTGAAAACGCAAATTAAATATTTGCTCTACTTAGGTCCATGCATACTTAACATATAAATACATAGATAAATAGACATAAATTAATTACATTACAAGATCGTTTTCATTAAATTAATTATTATAAATCAAGAAAATATCTACACAAACTTTTGATATAAAGCTGATTTGTTTTAATTTAATTTTAGTAATTTCTATTTTTATCTTTTTTTCTTGGAGATAAAAGAAGATTAGATATATTGTCAAATATCTAGATTTTTTGAACTTTAAAGTTTGACTATATATAGCTTCAAAGATGGTCACATTTATTACAAAAGAGAGGCAAAATATTTGGTTCTATATATGTAAATAAAGTTACTTATGGATAATAACGGATTAAACTTAGGGATGATAATGGATTAGTAAAAAATTGTAACCTCAACATTTCATGTATCACTAAATGGCATCCAAAGTACTAAAATACTAAAGAAAATTGTAGTTTATAAATAGGGAGACTCACAAAAATGCCCCTTTTTCAATACCCCTTTTCAAAAATGCCCCCTTTGACTGTCCATTTTTAAAAATACCCCTTTTTATGTACAAAATGACTAAATTACTCTTCTTTTAATAAAAGTTATCACAAATATATAAGGAAATATAACAAAATTAGGTCCACAAAATACAAAATATTTTTTGGCGGGAAAAGTGATCCCGCAATTTTTCCCGCCAAAATACTTGTAAAAACTTGTAAAACCTTTAAAATACCTTGTAAAATGTTCCCGTAAAAATTTTTCCCGCCAAAAAAGAAAAGTGATTCCGCAATTTTTTTGACGTTAAATTTTTGGCGGGAAAAATTTACAAGGTATTTTAAAGGTTTTTTACAGGGTATTTATAAGGTTTTACAATGTATTTTAAAAGGTTTTACAACGTATTTATAAGGTATTTATAAGATATTATAAGATTTTACAAGCTATTTTATAAGGTTTTACAAGTTATAAGGTTTTACAAGTTTTTTATAAGGTTTTACAAGTTATAAATATCTTATAAAACCTTATAAGTACCTTGTAAAACCTTTTAAAATACATTGTAAAACCTTACAAAACACTTGTAAATACTCTGTAAAACCTTTAAAATACCTTGTAAATTTTTTCCCGCCAAAAATTTTCCCGCCAAAAAAATTTCGTCAAAAAAATTGCGGAATCACTTTTCCCGCAAAAAATTTTTTTGGCGGAAAAAATTTTTACGGGAAAATTTTACAAGGTATTTTAAAGGTTTTTACAAGTGTTTTGGCGGGAAAATTGCGGGATCACTTTTTCCGCCAAAAAATATTTTATATTTTGTGGACCTAATTTTGTTTCAAATAAGGGTAAAATGGTCATTAAAAATTAAAAGAGGGCAAACTTAAAAATGGACTCTCAAAGAGAACATTCTTGAAAAGGGGTATTGAAAAAGAGGCATTTTTAACAATTTCTCTTATTAATATTCTACAATAATATATATATACATACAGTAGTTTTTTTAAAAAAAAATTTATGACTCATACCTTGTTATCAGATATCTAAATTCCAAATATGGGTGGACATAGGAGTCCACGAATCAAGAAGTGATCATTTCCGCAAAGTGTATAGTGATCCAATTAGGAAGCCTTGGCTCGCTGTATGCGAGAAAAAATACGAGATCGCGTCCAATAATGTTAACAAGGCTTGGGAAGTTGGTCAGAAAAAGTCAAAGTCATTAACAGACCGTACGCAAATGTCCCAACTCACGGAAGCTGGCTTTGAGGCTGTGCTCGATTGCGACGACGAATGGACAAAGGATATAAATCATTCACAAGTGTCTCCTTTTGTTTTCTGGTACCATGATGTTCGAAACCTAATTAAAATTATTCGTGTTATTATTAGAAGGCTTAACGCTTAGTTGTATCGTTACTTGGGACATTATTTGTTTAGCGTATTCACTAATTAACGAACTGGATTTTTCTCTGCTTCTTGATTTATTTCTGTAATATTAATTGGTTAAATGAATAAGATTTTCTTTTTTGAAGTAATCCAAAGAAGATAGAAAAATCATTGAGAAATTGTAGCTTATTCGAATGTACTCTATTTTCTATCTGATTGGAAACTTTATCAGATAACGCAGCCAAATTTGCAAGTGGACGACACAACCATTCATATTGACAGAGTCCGTCAAAAGGAGTCTGAATGGGAAGAGACGGATGGAGGTTTGCAAGACAAATTATTACTATTTGTGTATTACAAAAATATACCAAACCAAAACTCAACTGACCTGACCAAGGCAAACCACCTCTTATGATCAACAGAGTTTGTCACGCAGTTATGAACTGAATTTTCTGAAATATTTATTGGTTCAATGATAAAAAAATTTCCGCTTTTTTGATAATTTAGGATCATAAGTGCGTTTAAAACATGACGCTTTAAGTTTCGAAGCAATTAGGGGATAAAGACGAATGAGAATTGCAAACAAGAAACCAAGTCAGGAGATAAATTGATGCTAACGACTGTTCTAGTGTAATTTTAGATGAGACCTGAGACCAAGGCCAGATTACCGTGAAGCGCTGCTTTGGTTCCGGCTTTCCAACAACCTTTGCCAAACCATTTTTCCACAATGCACAAGAGTCAAAGATGCCACAAGGTAAAGAAGAGGAATGCCGATTACACAACCTTCCGATGCAAAATTCACCAATGTCTAGCAAGAATAGAGAAAACAAAAACAAAAGATCACTGTTAGCCTGTCCTAACCAGTAAAGGATATAGACAATACATGTGATATTGAAAAAGCTGAGATCTTACCAACATTCCAGCAGCAAGGTGTATGACTGGAACCATTACTTGATCTACTTTGTTCCCTTTTGCATACCCTTCGAAAGCAATGACCATCGAGAATGTGTGGATCGTAACAAATGCAAGAGCAATGATTGCTGTAAGACATGGATGTAAAATTACAACATGAGTACTAGTGCACTAGACAAAAATCAAACCACTAGGTGACAAAGCGTAATAATCTATGTTGTGCAAACAAGACTTGGGTTCAGTTGACTCACCAGAGATGAGAAAAAATGGCACCTTCGAACATCTTTCGACATAGAATGTGGCCGGACCAAACGCTGGAGTTAAGAGGCTCAAACAAAAGAAGACAGCATGTGCCACACCATGACCTAAGCCACCAGCTGCATGCAATTGACTGGAATAGTCTTAGATCATGTCAAAGAGTAAGAAATGGGATGCATAACAGGTGCTGGAAGGGTTCTAGGTTCCATGTTAGTTTCAACTATATCGTTATCTAACTTATTCTACAGCATTCTCCTTCTTCCAAAAACCAGAAACAAATGCCTAAATATGGTTCACTCGAGCTTCTGACAAGCTTTAAGACCAAGGCAGACAAATCTAAATCCTATTTCAAGATCAAGGATTCAAGATACTTGCAACCCATTTACTTCATGTTTCTTTATCAGACAGCAACATTCCACAGGTGTGTTTTCCTACCTGATAATAAAGACTTAACACAAAAGCCGCATACAATCTTTGAATAAACTAAAGATCATCTTCGAAAAATAAATCGGAAAGCGTACCTAGAGCAATCTGCAGCTTATCAGTGAGAAACAGGCGGGGCCTTGAGATACGATCCGCAAAGGAATCCAAGACATCCTCAAGCCTCCTTCAGTATAACAACACAGATAACATGTTTCAAAACAAGCTATACACAGCCAATTCGCCTATCTATCATACATAGATTGACCCGTAAAGGAACAAACATCAAATTAACAAAGGATAAACAACTCAGATAGATTCCGGTTATGCCATGTAACATGAACAACAATAGGAAGAAGAACAAACTTACTTGTAAACCTTCCAGAACAGAAAGCGAAGGCCTTCCTGGATACAGACAGAGGTGAGAACAAGTAAAGCATAAGGCCACCACACATTGGCTTTGAGAGGAAGAAATGGTCTCCATAATCCCGACAAGATGATCAGACTCACAAGCCACAGCAACGTACTGCATTACATTTACCAAGCAAATCAATCAATCTCCCAAAAACCCTAATTTTTCCCAGGTAAAAATCGTGGCGAAATACTCAAACACTAGACAAAAGCAGACCCAGCATTCGGAATCGAATCACATGGATAGCTTTTTGGGGGAAACAACAAAAACCTAATCCTTAATAAGAAGAGCGATTGTGAAAGAGAAAGAAAGAACCTGGAGAGAACAGTGAGGATGAGAAAGGGCTTTCTGGAGATGACAGAGACGAAAAGTGAAAGAGACGGTCCCAAAGCCACCAGCGCATAGCCGATCCCCGCCGCGACCGTCATGCCGCACCGGCGTTGTCGCTACTAGTCGCTCAGAGACTTCCAAATGGTCAAACTCTCTCTACTCCAAACGTTGAAAGAACTCTTGAATCGATCAATTGACAAAAAAAGAATGGTTCTTTTTTTTTTTGGTGTGGTTGTGTAACAAAAATCTGACTTTTCACTTCCTTCATTGAAAATATTGGAATTTTAACACCAGAAAATAAATTAATTACTAGAAATCGATAATAATTAATTATCTGCAATCTTCCTAACTTGCTCTAATCTTATATACATAGGCAAGTTTTCATCCTCAACATACAAGATTTAGTTGCAATCCTCGAAGCTCTAACAGTTTTCTTGGATGCAAAGAGAGAAACTAATCAAAAAATGGTTTTTTTTTCTTTCAAAATACAAAAGTCTTGGACTTTGGATCATGGTTCTTTGCTTCGGTTAGATTTCTTCAACTTGGAAGATGGGCTTGATGTATCTTTGAATGCAGCAGGACAAAGCTTAGTGACACTGCAGGCTTCGCAGCGCGGTCTTAATGGTGTGCATATCGTTTGTCCAAACCCCACCTGTGTAAGATTTTAGAAAAGACAAGAATCCAGATCAGGAGGGCAGCTACGTTATTCAATATTTGCATGGATTTGTATGTGTCTTAAGGTAGAAGAATTGATGAGAATGACGCACCAAAAGCGGGTTAATGGCAACCCATTCTTCCTTTGGAAGCCATTGTTGCAAAGCTACTCTTGTTTCCTCTGGAGATGTAGTTTTCTAGCAAGTAGTCACAGATTGCGAATGGGTGACAAAGATCAGGCAAACAGAAGTGGAGACAATCTGCTAGGTATGTCACAATACAATTTCTGATTGAAGCCAATTTAAAAGCACCTGTTTGGTTCCTGGACGAGACACCCAACCAAGTCGATTGCAAATGCGATGCACATGTGTATCTACACATATACCTTGGACATCATTCCATGCTATATGCAGAATCTGCCATATGATAACAGAAGAAAACTTTGACAAGCTTTTTGAAAACATTTCACCTAACTCACAAGATATAAGTAATAATCTAGTCGATTTTTACCAGATGGGCCATCTTGGGACCAATCCCTGGAAGAGACAGCAGGTCGTCCAAAGAGCTTGGAATGTCTCCGGTATATTTCACTAGGCAAATTCTAGCTATTTTCTTCATATATGTAGCCTTCCTTGTATAAAATCCAACCTGAAAGTAAAGGCAAACTGTTAATTTCGTAACCAAGATTTTACTAAGAATAGGCCCTTTTCTATATAGTCTCTCATTCCTTTCCTTATTTCCCACCTTTTTTTTGAGAAATTGGCATAAAAATTAGCACACTAAGGGGCTCATTTCAGAGGCAATGATGTGAAGAAGTAAGACGACACTTGGATAACATACCGGATAGATCAATTCTCTTATGGTTGATTCATCAGCTTTGTCAACGGCTTCGGGCGTAAGAAGGCCGTTTTGATGAAGACGATGTATTGCCGCTGCATGTTGAAAGCGTCTGAATAGTAAGTATGCATGTACGTACAATCATGAAACTTGTAAATGCAGATGATTTGAGTGTAAACTAGAAGTGAAATAACTGTCTCTTCAATAGCACAAAACTCACCGTTATTAACTTGATCTTTTGTCTGACTTGAGAGAAGTGCGCCTAGCAAGACAGCAAATCTTCTTTCCTAGGTATAGCAAAAATGATCAGTATTGAAACAAGAACAATCCATCCTTATGCTTTGAAGCATAAGCTTGATCTTGTGTACTATGAAAACAACTAAGAGAAAAAAAGGGTGCTTTCTTGAGCAAACGATAAGAATGCTTTCCTAAGCTATTCACTAGCAATAGGTACATCAAAATTAACCAGAGACTTGAGGACAAATGCGTTTTATACGGTAAACAGAAAACCTAAAGCCCAAAGAGCTAGAAACTCAGTGTATCTCATAGCATACTTCCACACAAAAACTAAACACTAAATTGAGGAAAATAATTATACCGTAGGAGGTAGAAAGCTTCCGGCCTTATCACATCCCATAGAATCAACTGGTGCATCTTCAGAAGATCTCATTTGACGAATACCCTCGAGCACTTCTACCCAGTTTTCAGGCGGATTTCCTGGATTACAAACATAACCAGTTACAGTGTGTGAAGAAATCTGTAAAGTAAAAACTGCACCAAGCCTATCATTAAGGGCCTCGCTGCATGATAACATACCTTCTGTTTTGACTGAAGTCACAGTGATGCTAGTTTCCGTTGACCTCCCTGCAAAAACAAGATAATGAGTTTCTCTTGACTGTTTAATGAATCTTCTTGATGATAGAATATCTTCTACCAACTACTATTCAGATTAAATATGTAAAGACATTCAATGACAAGTACACATCATACAAGTTTACAACTAGTTTAGAAAGTAGTCAGGTTCTTTTGCTATTTCTTTCTACCTGATGATTGATATTAAGTTTAATGAATGGTTAGGAATGTGAAGTTCCGAGTTTATATAATGAGACTTACTAGATGAAGGAGATCCAATATTCCTTTTGTACGCAAATTCTTCTATATCGGGTAAACCACATAGCTGCTGCATCATTAAATATGAAAAGAACAAAGACATTACATTAAGCAACACATAAGACTCTAAATAGTAAACACTAACACAGGGTCGTATATGGTCATGGAACAAATGGAAACACTAATCAAGGTTTTCTCTCATTTGCTGAAGCATAATCATAGCATAGCCAGGGCAACAAATAGGATCAGTAACAACCTCATCAGGTTAGGTCAGATTAACTTAAAACTAAAGACATTAGGATGATGGGGACAAAATCTGAACCAAGTAAAACTCACTCCCAAGAAAGTATCACACTTGAGATCAAGGAGGTGCAATCTCCAGAACCCAATCCTACAAAATTGTAAACACTCAATTTCGTTTCCAAGATAGGGAAAAAGGAGGAAACTTACTTTGTGGGTATTGACTCCTTTGCCGGGATTTATCTCCAGAGGCTCCAAAGCTTCCTGCTTTAGCCTTTTCTTCCGGGTATACACTCGAGTCACCGACCCAGAAGCTCCATTGGCTGGTTCTAGTGCAACATTACTAGTCACGATAATAACAACAACAGCAATAAAAACTTTCCATGGAATTTGAACAGAGAGAGCGAGAGAGAGAGAAAAGAACCTAAGTTGGAATCGGAGAGAGGATGTTGGGTTTTTGAGGAGGTGGGTTTAGAGGAAGAAGATACAGCTCCGTGAATTTGGCGATTCATGGTTCTAATTCGATATAACCAAGCGGCGTTGTGAAGCGTCGAAGAAGCGGCTCCTCCGTTAACCATAATCATAAAATTGCAACATTTTTGTTTTACTTTTATTTATTAGGGAAAACGACCTGTGTCCCCCTAGGAAGTTTCACATAGTATCACAACTACACAGAATTCGGACCTCGATTGCTGTCCACACAAATTCAAAGTTACACTCATGTGTCCCCCCAAATCAAAAGTTCGAGTCCTCCATCTCCAGAATTTTGAATTTCGTGGTTTATACCTGGTTTACTGTACCCAAACCACCATTAACCGCGTAACAAAGAAAATAAACCGGATTTACCCATAAACCAACCCGATTACAACCCGATAATTTAAAACCCCCAATTCTCAAAATCCCCAATTCTCAAAATCCCTAATTCGAAGAACCCTAAAAACTCAGAAAACTCAAATTGGAGATTTCGACTGATGGATTCAAATGAGTTGGAGCCGCCGTCGTCTGATGTTGTCGTTCATCACCAGCCTTCCGAGTCTGTTCCGCAAGCAGAAGAAGGAGAAGGAAATCCGATACCAGAACCAGACATTGAACCCGACGATGAAGACCCACTAGAGCGAGACCAGTTTGAAATCGAGAAGGCATGTACGGAGTTTAGAGACGAGCCTTCGATTATTCACGACGAGTATCCGGATAGTGACAGTGATGAAGATGACGAAGGTGCTCGAGAGAGAAAGCGTGACAACATCAGCCGTGGAGATGGGAATCTGTACTATCACCAGACATTCTTCAACAGCATTGGGTTTAAGGAAGCTGTACTCGACCATGCCTTGAAGACAGGATGCAACATTGCACAATGCAGGTATGATAAAGATAAGGTTGCCTTTAAGTGTGATGGGGATGGATGTATCTGGCGGATCTATTGTTCTATCACTAAGAAATGTCGAAAGTGGAGGGTTAACGTGTTCAAGGATGTTCATACATGTAATCCGAATGGAGATTGTGAGATGCTGAAGGTTCCTGTCATTGCTAGGTTGTTTTTAAATAAAATTAGAGAGGAACCTGAGTACTTTTTGCCTAAGAAGATTGAACAAACCATTAAAGAAAAGTGGAAGATCACTGTATCTAGGCCTCAATGTCAAGCTGCAAGGAGAAAAGCATTGAGTTGGATTGAGAGAGAATATGATGAGCAGTTTGCAAGGCTCCAAGATTATGCGGCAGAGATACGAGAATCAAATCCAGAATCGACTGTTGCAGTTGAAACTGTGACTAATGATGCAGGACAAGAGGAGTTCAACAGGTTCTATGTATGCTTCCATGCGATCAAGAAAACTTGGATAGAGTCTTGTAGGCCATTGATAGGAGTAGATGGAACTTTTATAAAAGGGAAAGTTAAGGGGCAGTTGCTGGTTGCTTTAGGTAGAGATGCAAACAATCGGATATATCCAATAGCATGGGGATGTGTACAAGTAGAAAACATAGATAATTGGGTGTGGTTTGTTCAAAAGCTGAAGTTTGACTTGGGACTGATGGATGGTGATGGTTATATCATTGTTTCTGATCGCCAAAAGGTATTAACCATTCTGATTTTGAGTTTAGTTATTCATGTTATTGTTGTGGCTACACAAAGCACTTACTAACCTTTTGTTTGTATTTTGCAGGGTCTAATCCGAGCTGTGGAGCTAGAGCTGCCAAAGGCTGAACATAGAATGTGTGTCAGACACATCTATGGAAACTTGAAGAAAAACCATGGCAAAGATAAAGAGATGAAGATGTATGTTTGGGATTTGGCATGGAGCTACAATGAGAGTGCTTATGAAGCAAACCTGACAAGACTTTACAACTATAATGTGGCTGTCTGGCGTGATGTTGTCAAGTCAAAACCAAGAACTTGGTGTAGGGCGTTTTACAAGCAAGGAAACTTCTGTGAAGATGTTGAGAATAACTCAACTGAGTCATTCAACAACTCAATTGTGAAAGCTAGGGACAAACCGTTTGTGCCAATGCTTGAGACCATCAGGAGACTTGCAATGGTCAGGATTGCCACAAGAGCTGCTGAATCTCATGAGCACAAAGGGAGATGCACACCATATGTTAGTAAGTTTCTTGCCAAAGAATTTGAGAAAGCTTCGGAGATGACTATAAGAAGAAGCACTAATGACATGTATGAAGCTACCAGAGGATTAGATACTCATAGGATAAGCTTGACTGAGAGGACATGCACTTGTCAGAAATGGCAAATCTGTGGCATTCCTTGTGAGCATGTTTATGGAGTCCTGCTAGACAAAAAGCTTGAAGTTGAGGACTATGTGTGTCACTGGTTTAGGACACCGATGTGGAAGAAGAATTACACAGACGGCATATTTCCACAGAGAGGACCAGCTTATTGGCCATCAACAGAGCACCCTAATGTGCATGTACCACCACCACCACCACAGCCTGGGAGAAAGAAAGGAAAGGAGAGTAAGAAGGATAAGAAGAGGAAAAAGGGAAAGTATGAATCTCCTACCAAGAAGGCACCAAAACAGATGAAAAGGGTAATGCACTGTCGTGTTTGTGGTGCAGCTGGCCACAACTCAAGGTTTCACAGGAAGAAGAAGTCTTCTGCACAGGTTAGCAACATAATTTTGTGTTTCACCTGTTAGAATTTGCTCTGTTTTATAGTTAGTTACTGACCCTTGTTTTGTTTTATTGTCTTAGACCTTTGAAGGAGTGTTGTCTGCAGGTCCTGCCATTCAAGGCACTCAAGGCAGTCAAGTGGAACCATCTCAAGGAGTTGTGATGTCTCAAGGATGAATGATTAGAAGGATTAGAGAATTAGGTGTTGGATGGGTCTAGTTTTTGTTTTCCATCTGATTTAACGGCTATGTAACTTTTGTTTTCCATCTATCTAATTAAGACTTAGCGGCTATGTAACTTTGGTTTGAATTCTCAGACATGATTGAACCAGTTTAAGCATTTAAGGAATCCATTTTGGTCTCAGTTTTGGCTATTTTCTCTTTGTTTAGTCATAATGAAGCACAAGAACTAGATACAAATAACAAGCACAACAACAGGCACAAGACTCCAAATTTTGTTTTCATTACACAAACATAATCATGCTTGATACAAACAGACAACAAGCACAACAATTCAAATATGAGAAAACAACAACAAGAACAGAGACCAAACTAGATACCAACAACAACAAGCCAATACACTCATCTCAACCTATCATTTTACTCAAACCAAGCATGATCATACAACCTACAATGACAGCAATCAACATTTTCTTCATGCTTGATTTGGAATCCAAGAGTTCTTCTTCTACCCTCTCCAAAATCTCTTTCTCTAGCTTCATTTGCATCCTCTCAAAAACTATCTTCTGGTGATCCATAGTCTCTGTTGTAATCTGGGACATGCTTTGTTCAAGTGCAGACGTTCTTACAGTCAATCTCTCTATCTCATCCAACAATGCTTCGTCAACCCACTTGAAAGTGTGGTTATCATCGATAAGCTACAGAGAACAGAGAAATAAAATCAAAATTTGTTACAAACAACCCAAATATCTATCACATTACCTTATGTGATGCAGCGTAAGCACAACGATAGTAACGACGGTATGGATTTGCAGCTGACTTTGAAATGATTGCCGAGATACTAGCTCCACACCAACAGATCTTCGGCACACCCATAATTCTTCTTCTCTGTCCGCCATTTGATGCTCCACTCGTAGCTCCGGATGAATTGCTCATATTCGAGCTCAGAATTATGTTTAAGATTGAAATCGAAGATGATGAAAAGGAAAAATCGAAACTAGGGTTCTTAGATTTCTAAATTTGGGGATTCTGGGATTTGTTTCGGGTTGTATAACTAGGGGTTTTAAATTATCGGGTTGTAATCGGGTTGGTTTATGGGTAAATCCGGTTTATTTTCTTTGTTACACGGTTAATGGTGGTTTGGGTACAGTAAACCAGGTATAAACCACGAAATTCAAAATTTTGGAGATAGAGGACTCGAACTTTTGATTTGGGGGGACACATGAGTGTAACTTTGAATCTGTGTGGACAGCGATCGAGGTCCGAATTCTGTGTAGTTGTGATACTATGTAAAACTTCCTAGGGGGACACAGGTCGTTTTCCCTATTTATTATGTCAGAAGAATTATTAATTTGAAAATAAATCACATTATTTTGCCGAGAAAGAAGCAAATTATAAAAATCGACTTTTTCCTTCTCGATAGACTATATCACTATAGTCAAGACCAAATTTATGAAGAAAAAAAAAAAATTGTGACGTCTTTGCATGACGTCTCAAACGATCGCATCTGTTGAGTACTAAGATATTGTCAAGGGAAAAGAAGAATAATCACACAGCAAAGGAGCCATCTAAAGGCAACAGAACTTTGTCAAAACAGTCCAACACCATCCACATTGATGTTCTCAGTGAATGAAAGATCACAGAATGCAATCCAACTGTTGAAGAGGAACAGAACCTTAAAGACTCCTACAAACTACAAAGATCACAGAATGCAATCTAACTTTTGAAGAGGAACAGAACTTTAAAGACTCCTACAAACAGAAGAATTATTAATTTGAGAATAAATCACATTCTTTTGCCGAGAAAGAAGCAAATTAGAAAATCGACTTTTTCATATAAAAAAAAAACGAAACAGATTTGGATGTTAAGAAAATAAAAAGAAAAATAAAGTTGTAATTAATTCATAATTTAACCAAAATAAAAATATATATATAGGTGTAATACAAAAAAATAAAATAAAAATAAACGGTCGACAGAAAAAACAAACAGTAATAAGAAACATACATATAATATCTTTCTTGACCATTTAGAGCACGTCGAACTTATGCATGGGTTTTGAGGACTTAATATAACTTGAGATTTTGTAACAATAAACAAATATGCATCAATTTTTGAAATAAGAACTAGAACAAATAACAACTATTTGATTTTTAAATACATATTTTCAAACATAATTCAATCCAAAAGATATATGAATCAAGGGTCACTATAACTGATCAATATTTAATTATTTTTGTTTGATATTTGCACTAGCCTCAAAAACAACAATAAAGTTTAATATTATGAGATGATAATCCAAAATTATAATGAAAAATCTTATGAATTGATTATGTCGCCGATTAAGTAAAAATTTTAAGTTTTTAATGAAAATTGAAAAGGAGGATAGATGGTGTCTAAAAATGATTATAACCATCCTACTGACAAAAGTCATCCAATAACCAAAAAATGTTCACAAAACCAATGGAAAGATAAGGACTCTAATCAGATCTTAAGAGCCAAATGAGCTATCCTAAAGAATTTCAACTTAGAAAGTTTACAAATGCTTGCATAAATTTCAATATGGTCTAGAAAAAATGTAATTGTATCTACCCTTAAATGCTCTCATTTCTTTGATTGTAACTAGCTCTTTGGATAGTTTTCCTCTCGAAATTGTAGTAGAAAACAAAGAAAGGATAAGATGGAAAGCCTGATGTAGGGGAGGGGGATCTTAGATAGTTTTGGGATCCGTACTAATATACTAAAGATGGGAGCCGTCTTTCAAATAATAGCCTGCAAGATTGTTAGGAACGGCTTTTCATGTATAACATCATCAGGAACGTCTTTTTGATCATGTACAGCATCGTCAGGAACCACATTGTCATGACCGTCATCATCTGGACCCACTGCAACGTCAATACCGACATGATCAGAAAGAACTAAGGCAAAACACATATCACCTTGGCCAGAATGGAATGACCACAGATCAATGTGATTCTTTCCACTAAAATTGGTTTTCTCCGATACACGATTCCAACCCTGGACAATAACAAAACCCCACTTTCCTTTGGTTTTCCGTTTCTTCAAATAGACTTCAGTTTTTTTACAGAGGCGATCCACCAAAGATACTCGCAAAACTTTATGGGCTTGAACATCATTCACCAACGATTTATTTTTATTTTAAAATTTAATGATTATTTATTATATATAAAAGTTTACAAATCATATCATTCTCTAAGACATTTATATTTTAATAAACTGAAGATTTAATATGTATTAAAGCGGCATGTTAATGATATTTTAAAATTTTATAAATATTTTTATTAAGTAACATTATACCACGGGACAATTTTTGGTTTTATACAATCTTTTCTAAATGAGACTGATTTAATATGTCTAATATTGGTGGTATTAAAAAAAATAAGGATTTAATCTGTATTGAAGCGGCGGATTAATGATATTTTAATCTTTTTATTATTGTTGATTCAAAAATCCGTCACGCCAAACCCGTCCGGCCAAAAAACTCATTTATTTTATTAATGTTGATCTTATTTATGATATGATTCTGAATCATTGACTAAATATTATAATCGATGTAGAACGTTGAACACACATTTTCGTCAATTGGATAATATATGTCCGTTTTTAAAATTTCGAATCACAGTATCTGCAGAAAAAAAAATTGATTTTTATTTTATTTTTTGTATTATATGATGATTCAAAACAGTTAAAAACAAATCAAACAAAGATGATAGGAGAATCATAATTCTAAATCTTAATCAAATCTTCTAAATATCTAAATTATTAAATATGAAATATCCGGTGTATGAGTTGGGTTAAATATAACCCGACCCAACAAATTTTTTGTGAAGGAATTTAAAAAACGGGTCGGATATCCGATTAACCCATAAGTATTTTTACCCACCGTCACCAAAGTGTTGCAAAAATACTAGTATAGATTAACTTGATGTTATCAAATACGAGAACAACAAATAGAAGAAAGCAAAACCTCTTCTTATATTTCCTAAATCTTATACTAGCACTCAGTAACATCAAGTTTTCTCGTAATGGATTTCTTTCTCTTCTTCTGTCAGCTGATTGTGAGAACTCAGATAAATGAAACAACCCTCTTATACAAGCATAGAACTCAATGAGAACATATACTTCAGCTCTATGATTGATCCAAAACATGTACATATAAATACTATCTATATTTACTATCTAACAGATACACAATCCAAGAACAAAATTGTCGCAAATGCAGATGATTGTTTGGCAAGTATACTCTATGATGCTATATCCTCGGGTTATTAAATAAAATCGTAACTGACATTCTCAGTGTTTGTACTGTATATAAACCAAATTGACATAAACAGTTACAAAGACATTTAGTTTCAGTAGCTATAGTCAGAGGGAAATCAAAGGACCATAGTGCTAAGAGTTATAGCTTAGTTTAGACGATCACTGGCTAGATGGTATCTAGAAATAGCATCACATAGCCATCCAATAAGCGAAAAATGTTACAACTACTCAAAACGAGTGGAAAGATAAGACCATCTCAAAAGGGGTATCCAAGAGGGTTCTATCCCAAATATCTTAGTATTGAAACACCAAAATTAAATCAATAAACACAATATGATGATAACTCAAGAGCCAAACTAGATATGTTACAAAATCTCAAGTTATGAAGTCTTAAAATAATCCATAAGCTTCACGTCCTCGACATGGTCTAGAAAGATGTGAACTCTCGGTAGGTAACCCTTAAATGCTCCCATTCCTTGGATTTCAACTACTCTGTTGGTATTCCTCTCTAAGCTGTAGTATAAAACATAGAAAGGGTCGGATGGATGAACCGGCATGAACACAATTTCATTTGTACTACCAGTCACTCCTACAAAGTTTAACAATTTCTCTGCAAGTACACACTGCCACAGATGAGACAATTCGTAAACATACTTGGACCATTCGTGTTTTTCAGGGTCTTTGAGAACCCACATCTCAAAACGTCTACGTCTTTCACAAATATATGAACTCCGTTCCGACGTAACTAAAGCCAATTTACCGTTGTAGTTAACCAGAGTTGCTACACGCACTCTAGTGAAAGGTTCCATAACTTTAATGAAGTTGAACTTCTCAGACCTAACATCAAAGCAAACTATCATAGAAATACTTGAAGATATGTTGACCGAAGCTTGATAATACAAAACACCATTAATGCATATCCCATCAGAGGTAGGATGATGGGGTATGCAACATTCGATCATTCTCCATGACGGTTTCTTAGTTCCTAATGTTAGAACTTGATGCTCGTTCGAAATCCCATCTTTTTGAGTCATTGACAATACCTTGAATCGCTTTCCGAGCGGATCATACCCAAAATAGCTTGTTATATATATCCTCTTCCTTGTCTTTGGTTTAGGTAAAGTCAAGGTTTGTCCGGTGCTAGTGTTACATATCACCGACACCAACTTGAACGTCTGCTCATCTCTAATAAAGGAAAGGCCATGGATAGGACTAAAAACATGACATGTACCACCAAAGGGAATTTTCATATGATAAGTGGCAGCTAAAGAAGACGAGCTCTCATCTGGATTTTGAGGCTGAGGTGTCGAGAAGAAGATCAACTCACTGTCTTTCTCGCAGGCAAACAATAGCTTCGGTCGAGCAGAAGATTTGGTCAGGAACAACTCCGTGAAATAGGGAAGTCCAAGTATGGAAGCCCAGTGCTTCGATACGCAACGACATGTCGCTATAGATTTTGCCGATAATCTCCAGAGTATATCGATCATGAGATCAGTTGGGATCGGATCTGAATTTTCTACAGCATTGATTAGGTTTGAAGATCGTGACTGGTTTCTAAGAGTGGTTTGAAGATCCTCTGAGACGTTCAGCCGCCGCGATTTCATGGCTGCTTTAACTGAACTCGATCTGAAAAATTAAAGGATAAAAAGAAAGAACTGATCTGTATATAGTTAAAAGAAAAAAGGAAAAAGGAAATTGCAAAGTAACGTTCATAAAACTGTAATTACGCCAACCTCTTGTAGTTCCTGTGGTATAAGAAGGCACTCTCAAGTTAGATGCTCGTGTGTCGTGTCGTGCAAGGTATATTGAGAGAAAGAAAGAGAGAGATGAAGATGAAGAAGAAGTTAAAGACAAAAATCTTAAATACAGAGGTAGGCCTTGGCATTCGGTTTCGGTTCGGTTGCGTTTGGTTTCGGTTAGTTTGGATATGGTAATATAATAACCATTCGGATATTTTAGGAATTTTGGTTCGGTTCGGTTCGGTTTGGTTTGGATATTTAAATAGATAAACCGTAACTAACCAAACTTTTATCACGTTCGGTTTGGTTTGGGTTTTTACCCAAAATAACCTAAATTTACCGAATATAACCGAAACTAACCGAAATTAACCGAAAAAATATAAAAATAAAATACAAAAAAAGAAAAATGTTAGAAAGAAAAATAAAATTTGATTCAATTTTGTAAAAGAGTATTTAACTTTGACAAATATAACAAACAATATTTGGATATTTTGATTATTTAAAGTATTTGATTGTTTTGATTGTAAAAATAATTAATATTTGAGTTTATAATTATAGTTTTAGATATTATTTTTGGGTATCTTATAGGTTTTTGGATATTTCGGTTAACCGTTTGGTTATCGGTTCGGTTCGGTTTCTGTTAGTTTGGATAGGAGATTTTACTAACCATTCGGTTATTTTAAAAACTTCGGTTCGGATATGGTTCGGTTTTTTTCGGTTCGGTTCGGTCGATTATTTGGTTAGCGGTTTTTTTTCCCAGGACTATACAGAGGTCACCTTACCGACCGAATCCGATATATGGGCCCTAAATTTGAGTTACATGGGCCTTAATATTCTAACTAAGCATACATTCGAATCCTGACCCATGTTGATATTACGAAAAATTTTTCTTCTTTTCTGTGCAATACTCTTTTTTTTTTTTTTTTTGGGAAAACGATCTATTTCTCCCTCGGAATTCATATAATAACAGTTCCACCCGAGCTTTCACTCTCGGTCTATTTCGACCCAAAAACAAAGTTTTAAACCTATTTCAACACATAATTGAACTTCAAAATCGAATTACACACACGCATGGTCAATATCGGTTTACTGTTTTCAATCCAATTTTAACCACCAAAACACAAAACTGAACCAAAGTTAAACCGATAAAAGCTAATCACGGATCTTCTTCTTCTCTAATCGTTTGATCTCCATAGTTCAATCTCCCATCTCTGTCTTTATCGATCACTTTGAACACATCTTTAATCACTGTCCTAGATCAAATTCAATTATATGTGATTAAAGTTTTTTAATCACAGACACAGACCTTGACCAAGTTCAATTAAGGTTCTTCTTCTTCAAAATTCAATAAATTCCCTGAAGCAACTAGACCCAAATCCTCAAAATATCTCGTATACAGCTGATTGTCTCCTCCGTCATGATGTCTCTCTATCACCATCATCGATCTCCACCGTTAAACCCACAAAGCCTCTCTCTCAAATTGGATTCAACCAATCTCATCACCGATCGTTAACTTATGGACCCAGATTCACAATTCAATTATGGACCCAAATTCACGATTCAGAGAACTATGTTCATTAGTATCATAAGAATGTCAAAATTAGCAATTTAATGGAGAAATTAAAAATGAAGTTGAAATGGAGAATTGAAAACAGTGGCAATGGGAGTCATATAGAGTCATATTTAACCGTGCGGCTAATCGTACGGTTAAATAACGGTTTTGATACGTTTCCGGTATATTAACGGTTACGGTTAGTATATTTTTTTTAACCGTAACTAATCTAGTTTTACGGTGAATGGTTATGGTTTTTAACCGTTTTATACAGTTACGGTTGAAAAACGGTCCAGTTTCGATCCAAAATACGGTTACGGTTAGCTTTTGGTCATGCTTACTAGGCATGACCAAAAGCTAACCGTAACCATATGTTGTACCGTAACCGGACCGTTTCTCAACCGTAACCGTATAAAACGGTTAAAAACCGTAACCGTTAACCTTAAAAATAATTAGTTACAGTTAAAAAATATATTAACCGTAACCGTTAATTAACGGTAAACATATGAAAACCGTTATTTAACCATATGGTTAACCGCATAGTTAAAACTTTAAAAATATAATTGTAACTCCATATAATGCAAAAACAATTATCGAATGTTCAGATTAAGATTTTCAAAAAAGTAAATGATACCGCATATAAAAAAATATACGTTATAAAAAATGGTCTTTTTCTCAAACAAATATGTTATACTGTTATTTTGCTCGAAATGAAGAAAATTTGGTTTGTAACATACTTTTTGATTTTATGAAAAGTATTATAATAAGTTAGGTAACTCGTAAGATTTCGCCTCCGATATTAACCGTATTGTAGTCATCAAATAACTATAACCGTAATTATCCGTAACCGTTGTAACCGTAACCGTATTTAACCGTAACCGTTATAACCGTATTTAACCGTAACCGTTATAACCGTATTTAATCGTAACCGTATTTAACCGTAACCGTTTTAATTTGTTTTTGTTTTTGTCCAAAAAAAACTGTTTATGTTATAGTGTACCGCTTTTCATAAAGTTTTTGTGATTGGTAACTGTCAAAGCTGTACAGCTTTAAAATGGGTTACCATTCAAAGCCATAATGTTTTGTGGAAACTATATTATCGGTAAGTGGTCATGATTTTTTTTAACAATCGCATTTAATGTTTTCTTAAAACTACATTATATATATATATATATATATATTTTTTTTTTTTTGAATAACCGCGGGTCTCCCAAAGGCTTCCTAGGCCCAAAGACTAATCTCACGAGGCTGGCAGTTCCCCTATGTAAACCTGCCAGTGGCCGTGCCTCGAACCCTGGTGGCGGAAGTCACAGCTGTGACCCCTTTACCACTAGGCCACAAGGCCCGGTTTACATTATATAGTAAGTGGTCTCATAAACTCATGAACGTTTTTTAACAATTATATACATTTTTTTATGGAAACTAGATTATTTGTAAGTAATCATGAACTAGAAATTATCTCAACAAAACCAAATCGAAAGATGTTAGAATCCAAAAGAAAGCTATTACTTATCATTTTTATAACTTTATGACTATTTGATGCAGAACCAAACATCACTTGACGTCATGATATTTTTCGTACAAAAAAAAACAAATTTAGCCATACAGTATTTTCAATTATAAAAATTCTCATTTGTTAATTTCACTAAATTTGTCTTTGCTAATATACGCTAAATATAATAATTACAATACATATTAGTATAAATAGTAGAAAACGTGATTGTTTACATTCGATATCACACTTATAAAACTTCTTCTTTCAAATGATCAGTTTTAGACTAGAGTCATTCAGTTTCCTCATCTATTTCCAACCAAGGCTCTACAAAAGCTACACTCAAACGGGTCGTATGTGACTTAATCTTTTTTTTCGATATGATTTTTTTTTCATCTTCTGTCAAAATTTTTAAATTCTCCAATTGTTTGCAAGGAGGAGAAGACATGAGTGATGACTCTCTACGTCACATTTATAGAGTTGCTTACATCGGATTATGAGTTTTGGATCGGACGCATCCATTTTTCTCATCGCGATTCTGGCAGCTACATGGGTCCAATCTCCGACTCAGTGATGACCGAAGGAGGTGAGTTTCTTTGTGAATCTTCTTGGTAATCCATGATTGACGATCATTTATTGCTCTTCTTTTTGTGATGTTTTTTTTTTTTTGTTTTCACAAAAAACTCTATGAAGAAGTGAAAGTATGAGCGAGTATGAAAAAAGAGAGAGAATAAACGTTTATATATAGTTATCAAATATATTTTAAATTTTAATTTGATAAAAGGAGGTTTTTTTTTTTTTTAAGTCTCGTAAATTTGGTTTTATCTATTGAAAAAATAAATAAAAATCTTTTACTTTTTTATTAACATCAAATCTATTTTATTTATATTTGCTTCATTCTCTAAATAACCTACAAGGTTTATATTGAGATTGTATTTCATGTATTTAAGACACTTTTGTCTTTCTCACTCATACGTGAGTACACACATCTGTATCGTTTTTCTTATTTTCTTTATAATATTATTCACCTCTCTCATTTTTTTTTTTGCACTAAAGTGTTAACTTTATTCATAAAACCATATCATAGAAGGCCAAAACAGAACTATGGATATAGAACAGATCAATTAAACTCAACCGTTACTAGAATCTTCAAGAATTTCTAATTGAGATCTAGTGAAACGGGTAAAAGAGAATAAGAAATCTGATTAATCCAATTCAGATTTGTTGACTTAAACCCATCGAAGCTCCAAATAGAAAAGTAACAGCTAAAGGCAATTCAAATATGCGACGGAAATTGCTTTGATTCTTCAACTTCAACTGCAAATCACTTAGAAGTTTTCAGTAAACCGCATGCTTAAAGGACAAATTGGGAAGTCACCACAATCACAGAACCGTGAAAGAGATTGAAAAACAGAATAGGAAATCGAACTGCATCGAAACTAAGCTAAAAGCCAGCCATCACCGCTAAAAAAGCCGGACGATGCTAGAAGATAAGCCGACCAATCACCCCTGTAAAAGCCAGTAGATGTCGGACATAAGCCGGATTACATACCGGACGGCGAAAACACAAACCACTTTTATCTCTCTAAAAGATACTAGAGAGAGAAGAGAATTCACCTCTCTCATTTAAAATGCTTTATATTTCTTAAAACAAATTGAATGAAACTTTCAATTATATTGAAAAGAGACATACAATTTTTTTCACTCATGCCTTCTCTTCCTTTGAAGTCGCAAAGCCCAACCGCCTTTTCTATAGAGAAATCATTCGTCAAAGCAAAGTCATCTTCTAAGAAAGTCCTGGACTTGCGGGTCATGATGAGCTTCGTAGGTGTTTTTTGCGCTTTAAGTATCTCTCCATTCTCTTCTGTAGCTTCAATAGGTACCACCTTTGAAGATATTTTGCTGGATTTTCTCAACTTCAGATGGCAAACTCTTGTTTTCTGATAGGTTGTTGGTTCTTGCTGGTCTCGGTTTTCTTGTTGCTAATGTTGTTGCTGCTACTGCTGATTGTTCAGTTCAGTTCTGGGATCCTTGTTGGTTTCGAATTTGATCCAGGACCGTTGAACATGAGCTTCCTCTTACACCCTTCTTTCAAATCTAGCTTTCTTGTTTGGATTTGTGCCCTCATTGATCTTGGAGAGGTACCTGATGTTTTGGATCCTAGCGACTTTTTTCTCCGTGGAGACATGGAGAAATGCTTCAAGATATCCTCTGGTGTCCAATCAAACTTCTGCTCAAATGGCCAGAAAAGTGGCTCCACAGCAATCTTCTTCTTTGAGTCCCCAGTCTCTGCAGTCTTCTTTAAAAAAGATGTTGCAGTAGTATTAGTAAGACCAGATGGTATGGCAGTTGAGTTAACCGGTGAAGGATACTTCTCTGTTTCTACTGAGAAGCTAACTTTCTTTTCTTCAGGACTCTGCAAAGTCAAATCAGGATTCACTAATCTATTGGAACTAGACGGATTTGCAGAACCAATTCCACAAGATTTCCCAGCTGAGTTGCAAACTTTTCCATCTTTTCGAAAGGTTCTCTAAAGAACCCTTCGCGTTCTTTTGAACTTGTCTGATGCTGATGATGCTTCTCTTTGGTTGAGCTGGTAGAACCCTTCGCGTTCTTTAATCTATCTTTTCACGCCTTGGTTGAGGCGAAACACCTGCAGATTTGGTCCTCTTTGTGTTTTTCGCTTTAACATCTGGAAGAGCCTTTTCTTTCCCTGAGATTAACATTTGGATAACAAGTCAGGAGATGATAAATGATGCTAACAACCGTTCTAGTGTTATTTTAGAGGAGACCTGAGACTGAGGCCAGATTACCGTGAGGAGCTGCTTTGGTTCCGGCTTTCTAACAACCTTTGCATACAATTTTTCCACAATGCAGAAGCGTCAAAGATGCCACAAGGTAAAGAAGAGGAATGCCGATTACACAACTTTCCGATGCAAAATTCACCAATGTCTGGTAACCACCAACAAAAACAAAAACAAAAGATTACATTTAAAAGAAGAAAAAATAGAAATGGTTTACCCTATCATCATTAGCTAAGGATAGACATCAGACAGTAAAGGTAGAATTGAAAATCTGAGATCTTACCAACGATCCAGCAGCAAGGTGTATGACTGGAACTATTACTTGATCTACTTTGTTCCCTTTTGCATACCCTTCGAAAGCAATGACCATCGAGAAGGTGTGGATCGTAACAAATGCAAAAGCAATGATTGCTGTAAAACATGGTTGTAAGATTAGAACTTAAGTACTAGTGTACTAGACAAAATCAAATCACTAGCGACTCAATCAAGAAGACACAAAGCTTAATAATCTACACCAGGGACTTCAGAAAAGATGTGCTTTGTACAGTAAACAGAAAACCTCAAGTGCAAGGAGCTAGAGGAGACTCAGTGTATCTCATAGCATATCTCCACACAAAAACCAATCAGTGATTTGAGGAAGATAACTATACCGTAGGAGGAAGAAAGCTTCCGGCTTTATCACATCCCATGGAATCAACTCGTGCGTCTTCATAAGATCTCATTTGACGAATACCCTCGAGCACTTTTACCCAGTTTTCAGGCGCTTTTCCTAGAACACAACATAAGCAGTTACTGCGTGTCAAAAAATCTGTAATGCTAAAACCTGGATAACAATATCATTCAGGGACTTGCTGCATGATACCTGCTGTCTTGACTGAAGTCATAGTGATGCTACTTTCCGTTGACCTCCCTGAAAAAACTAGGGTAAGAGTTTCTCTTGGCCAAGAATGTGAAAGTTCTGAGTTTATTATAAGGAGACTTACTAGATGAAGGAGATCCAATATTCTTTTTGTAAGCAAAATCTTCTATATCGGGTAAACCACATAGCTGCTGCATCATTAAATTCGAAAAGACCAAAGACGTCACATTAAGCAAACACATAAGAGTCTAATTACTAACACAAGGTGGTCATATATGGTCATGGAACAGATGGAAACACTGATCAAGGTTTATCTCATTTACTGAAGCATTCATCATAGCAAAGCCAAGGCAACAAAATCACAAACACTCCGGTTAGTAACAACCCCAAAGGATTGGGTCAGATTAATTTCAAGCTTTTAGATCACTGAGACAAATCTAAACAAAGTAAAACACACTCCCAAGAATTTACTGAAGCATTCATCATAGCAAAAGCCAAGGCAACAAAATAAAAAACACTCCAGTCAGTAACAAACTCATAGGATTGGGTCAGATTAACTTCAAGCTCAAAGACATTTAGAACACTGAGACAAATCTGAACAAAGTAAAACACACTCCCAAGAATTTATCACACTTGAGATCAAGGATATGCAATCTCCAGAACCCAATCCTACAAAATGCTAAACCCACAATTTCGTTTTTGAAATAGGGAGAAAGGAGGATATTGGAGGAACCGGAGATCGACCGAGATCGACGGTCGAGATGATAATACATTCTCTTATATAGAGGAAACTTACTTTGTGGGTATTGACTCCTTTGCCGGAATCTTTCTCCAGAGGCTCCAAAGTTTCCTGCTTTAGCCTTTTCCTCCGGGTATACACTCGAGTCTCCGAACCACAAGCTCCATTGGCTGGTTCTGATGCAACGTACTAGTTACGCACGATGATAACAACAACAGCAACACAAAATTTATAGGGAATTCGAACAGAAAGAGAGAGAGAGAGAAAGAGAACCTTGGTCTGAATCCGAGAGATGGTGTTGGGCTTTCAAGGAGATGGGTGTAGAAGAAGATACAGCTCCGTGAATTTGGCGATTCATGGTTGGAATTCGAGAACACCAAACGGCGTTGTGAACTGTGAAGGGCTAAAGAAGAATTGAAAATGTTCGTGTCATGTCATGTGAGTCTTTTGAAATTATGAATCAAAGTTGATTTTTTTTTTTCTCCCAAAAAATGAAACTAAGCCGTATTTTTGTTAAAATATACAGTATTTGGTAACTAATTAACAATTTATTTTACTAATAAGAAGATTATTAGTTTTTAGTGAACTATTTTTTATTTTAATTTTTTGGTAGAAAGTTTTTAGTGAAGTATTACAGAAAAGAAAAGTCGACAAAAGAATAATAAGATTAATTTGACAAAAAAAAAAAATTAATAATAAGAAAAATAATAATGTATTTACTAAAAACAAAATTAGTATTTTTTTTTTGGAAAAATCATACAACGGTCATAAAATTATAAACGTCATTAAACGGAAAAAAATAAAGCGAGATTATATGAATTATGAAATATATATATAGATCGCAGGCTCATTTTATCTCTCTCTCGCTCTACTTTCAATTTAATTTTCTTCTGTACCAAGCTTCGTCCAAGAACCCTAGAAACATGGATGAGACACCAAAGAACACTACTCCAGAATCTTCTTCTTCTGCGCCGCCAAAGTGGCTGATGAAACTCATCGGAGAAGTTAATGGAAACGAGCGCCCGAAGCTTTTCATGTCAAAGAATTTAACGAAGAATGATGTTAGCGAGAGACAAGCTTGTCTTTTGATTCCGTCGAAGCAAGTAAACGATTCCAGTTTTTTGACTGAGACAGAAAGAAGTACATTGTTGGATACAGCTCAAGTGGGTCTGCAACTATCTTTGGTTGGTTCTGGCACACAAACGAAAGAAGTGGTTTTGAAGAGAAGGAGAACCAAAGGAGTGTGGGGGTTTGTCCTGCTTAAATGGAACCATGTCTCTAAAGAACACAAACTTAAAGCAACGGACCCTATAAGTCTATGGTCTTTCCGTAATGGGGAAGGAAACTTGTTTCTTGCTTTAGTTCACCGTTCTGACGATGCCACGGGTACTGCCATTCCTGATGCTTCCATACGTGAAGATGTTGTACAGGGCCGGTCCTAAGCTTTTAGTGGCCTAAAGCACAATTTAAAATGTGATATTCTTATATTTTAAATATTATGAACAAAAAATATAGTAAAGTATTAAAAAGACTTATAAGTTTTTTTATTAAATATAGTCAATGTTTTTCATTAAATATTTTAATAAAGTAAAATAATCTTTTTAAAATTTCACTTATTAGTTGTTAGTTTGGTTTCGGAAATTAAAAAAAAAACACTTAATAATTACAAAATTAGATGAGAAAGTACAAAAAAAATATGAAAAAGAATGCCAGGAAAAAAAAAAAAAACAAATAATGTGGACGGGAAGGCTTGAACCTGGGACGTTGGATCTAAAAATGGGCATCTTACCACTAGACGAATTTGATAATTTTAACAATGTGGCCTTTCAAATCTAACTTATATATTGTGGCCTAAAGCAGGTGCTTCACCTGCTTTATGAACGGGCCGGGCCTGATGCTGTACGTGAGGATGATGTGGCCGACAATATTCCTCATGATCCCATTGACTCTCAAAGTCTCAATCTTTATTCGACGAGACTCACGAGTTCAACCACCTGGACTTTGATCACGACGACAGTCAAGGCTATCTTCCTGATGAAGACGAAGACTGTGGACATTGGTTACAATGATGATGGCTCAATTCGTGATCCGGTCACTAACACTTTTGGTATTAGGTTTGTATAGTTCTGAGTTTGAGTCTAGCCCGATTTGTTTTTATCAAGACTTGCTTATGATGTACTTACTGTGTGTTCATCAATTCAGATGAATAAAACAAATATTATGAGAACATATATTTCAGCACTTTGATTGATCCAAAACATGTACATATATGCATATAAGTGCGACCTGTATATTTACTATCCAACAGATATACAATCCAGGAACAAAATTGTGGCCAATGCAGATGTTGGTTTGGCAGTATACACTATTTAAGCCGTATGATGCTATATCCTCTGGTTATGATCAAATCTGTAAAAGCCTTTTCTTTTCATAGAGAATCGTCGAACAAGAAACCATCAGTGTTGAAGTCTGAATCTATGCCTTCTCTTCCCTTGAACTCGCAAAGCCCAACCGCCTTTTCTATAGAGAAATCATTCATCAAAGCAAAGTCATCTTCTAAGAAAGTCCTGGACTTGCGGGTCATGATGAGCTTCTTAGGTGTTTTTTGCTCTTTAAGTATATCTCCAGTCTCTTCTGTAGCTTCAATAGGTACCACCTTTGAAGATACTTTGCTGGATTTTCTCAACCTTGATGGCAAACTCTTGTTCCTCTTCACACTGTTCCTGATAGGTTGTTGGTTCTTGCTGATCTCAGCTTTCTTGTTGCTACTGTTGTTGCTGCTATTGCTGATTGTTCTTTTCAGTTCTGGGATCCTTGTTCCAGGACCGTTGAACATGAGCTTTCTCTTACACCCTTCTTTGAGATCTAGCTTTCTTGTTTGGAGTTGTGCCCTCATTGATCTTGGAGAGGTACCTGCAATCTTGGACTTCTTTCTCCGAGGAGACATGGAGAAATGCTTCAAGATATCCTCTGGTGTCCAATCAAACTTCTGCTCAAATGGCCAGAAAAGTGGCTCCACAGCAATCTTGTTGTTCTTTGAGTCCCCAGTCTCTGCAGTCTTCTTTAAAGAAGATGTCCCAGTAGTTTTAGTAAGACCAGATGGCACGGCAGTTGAGTTAACCGGTGAAGGAGACTTCTCTGTTTCTACTGAGAAGCTAACTTTCTTTTCTTCAGGACTCTGTGAAGTCAAATCAGGACTCACTAATATATTGGAACTAGATGACTCTTCACATGATTTCCGAGGACAAGTCTTGTTGTTGCTCTCTGGTGTACGCGAAGACGGCTTTGCAGAACCGATTCCACGAGATTTCCCAGCAGAGTTGCAAAATTTTCCATCTTTTCGAACGTTCTCTAAAGAACCTTTCATGTTCTTTGAACTTGTCTGATGCTGATGATGATTCTCTTTGGTTGAGCTGGTGGATTCTTGATTTAAAGACAGAGAAGAGTTAGCCACACTGGACAACCACGAGACGATCTTTTCGTCTACTGAGAAATGAAACGAGACAGACAATCTACGTTCCTCTAAAAGAGAGGTAGGAGACGCACAATCTGAAGACAACCAAATGGAGTCACTGTCATCAAAACATCTCATCTTCATAAACTGTTTACCGGATTCATCGATCTTTTCACGCCTTGGTTGAGGCGAAACACCTGCAGATTTGGTCCTCTTAGTGTCTTTTGTTGTAACATCTGGAAGAGACTTTTTCCCCTGAGGTAGCCTCATGGATTCATAGTTAGCACCGGTTGATTTCGATCGAGGAAGAAGAAGTTTTGGATCACTTGGTGTGTTCTTCTTTTTCCTAATGGAGAAAGTTGATGTAACCCTCTTCACAAAACCTTTAGATCCGTCTTTCCCACCACCTGTAGAAGCCATATATTGTACTTTCAGTTTATAGCTCCTTCAATCTTGAGAACAAAGTTTTGTTTGCTTTAAAACCAAAAAAAATTAATCACAACATTAGCATGTGATTAGAGATAACCAGAAACGGCAAATGCAGGACAAATTCTTGTCACAATTCTCTGAACAAGAAAGCTAGAAAATGTCAACTACTTGAAAATGATATATGAAATTAAAAATTCTTTAACATTCTTGATTAGTTGATGTAATACAAATGATGTATCCATTAAAAAATTAATTGAAAATTTGTGACACACCAAGCACTAAGTTTTTTTTTTCTTCTTCTGATGATGATTAGAAAGAGTCAATAAGCTTTGACCATTTAACAACAGAATCTTCTCGATAAAACTCATAAAAGCTCGAATTCAAACTTAAATACCGAGCGAGACTAGAAGAATCTATAAATAAAACAGCTCTTGTTAAGAACCAAAACTAGCTTTCAAGAATTACTCTCAAAGCATGAAATGACAATAAGAAACCTTTTGCGATTGAACGGCGAAATATATCCATTTGATGATGTTGAGAGTGAGAATCGAAGACGAAGAGGTGCAAGTCCGACACCCTGCATTAAGGAAATGCAATTACTCGCAGTGTTTTTTTTTTTATTTTATTTGTTAATTTTGACATCATTAAAGTTAATTATTTAGTATTTTAAAAATAATATTTTAAAAAATCTAGCCATCTTTAATTATTTAAGAAGAATGCCTACATTAATATGAGAATCCTACAAAAGTTTTTAAAAACCTTCAAGAAAAAACTATTGTATAGGGATAAATGCAAAAAAAAAGGTTAAAGGATCAATTTCAAATTTAAAAACTACCTCCATCATTTTTAAAAGTATATTTTGATTTTAATTATATCACGATTTTTTCGTATGTTCAGTAAAATCGAACAAATAATCTATTTCCCAAAAATTTATATACAATCTTAAAAAAAAGAAAAAATTGTTAGTCCCTGAAATAAAATCGTGAAAGTTTTTAAAACTGTTGGAAAAGCTAATCTTCTTAAACAAAGATAGTAAAATACTCGTATACGTAACTTTGGGCCCTTTTGTAAATGGGCTTAAGTCCCTTTCAAAAATCTGATTATATTTTGGTTTATTGCAACAAAAATGGGAAAACCAGTAGCGATCTGAGCTGACCAACCACAGTCGCGTCAGAGCTAAAACCACCATTTGAAGAAGACGACGATTCGGAGAAGCGAGAGAGAAAGCGAAGATGGGTGGAGGAATGGAAACGAACAAGAACAAGTTCATCGAGGATTGGGGATCTGCTAGAGAGAATCTCGAGCACAATTTCCGCTGGACTCGCCGTAACTTCGCTCTCATCGGAATCTTCGGCATCGCTCTCCCGATCATTGTTTACAAGGGAATCGTCAAAGATTTCGTGAGTTCAATCTCTCTTCCTATCTCATTCTGGATTCGTTTTGCATTTCGATTCGATTTAGATATCTGTTTTGTGCCCTAATTTTTCATGTGTCGTATGGATTTGGATCGTTTGATACATTTGAAATTGGGGTTTAATTTAGCTGTCGCCTTTGTTGTAGATACATTTGAATTAGATCAGTTCTTATTCCTGAAACGATTGGATTCGGAACTGCAATTCACCTCCATACTAGTATTCTTAGATTGATTATAATCTCATTATTTTTGAGACCGACCTAGGAAAGTCTCAGAATTGGAGTTAGGATAGAAGAAATTGAGTTTTTTTTTTTTTGTTATCCTCAAGTCTTGAAGTGTTTTAGCTTGTAAAAATTGGTTCTTTGCTTGTAAAAAATGGTTTTATCTGCTTGTCTTTCTATTGTTCTGAGTTTGAGTCTGAGGTAATTTGGTTATGAAAAGTTTTCTATGGTTTACTTTCAACGTTCTTAATCTCTCAGCAGTTCATTGCTACAATCCTTGAGGATTCTTCCTCCATATTAGTTTATACTCTGTACTTGAATATGGATTCGTGTTAGGGCAATGTTTATGTGATTGATGCTCTATGGCATTCCTTGTTAGTGGAATTTGTCTATGACGATTTAGATGGAAAGGAATTTTACTTCCCACAAAATTGAGTCATATACTGTGTAGTTCTTGTCAAGCTAACGGATTTCTAAATTCGAATTTTGACAGCATATGCAAGATGAAGATGCAGGCAGACCACACAGAAAGTTCCTCTGAGGTTGTTTGCAAGAACACTCTCTGCAATAAGTCTCAGCAATGTGAAATTTCAAGACGAGGATGTTAAAACCCGCTTTTGCTTTTGCATTTTAATCAACATCTGAACTGAAGGGTATAATTTATTTTTTGGAAAAGTTTGTTGTAATGACTATACTTGTTTGCAAATAAACAAAACTCAGTTTTCCCTTGAGTTTGGCATGCTTATTGTGTGTGTTGATTCTTATGCATTAAACATTTGTTCCGAAGGCACAAAATAAAAGGAAGCAGTGAACCAAATCAAGGTCCGAAACAAAATAAATGGTTATTCTGAAAGCAAACCTTTCCACTTGGATATGAGTCAAATGGCTTATGTGGGTAGGTCATAGCCTAATAGAAGAAGTAATGTCTCATTGTGAACTTGAAGCAAAAATACTCCCTCACTAGTCACTATGAAAATGAAACAATGTCTTTAACATTAAGTTTTGATATATGGATCGTCGAATAGATGTATAAGTTTAACCTTTTGGTTACAGATATAGTCATTTTCCTAAGAAATAATTAACAAAAAAAAGCAATTATGAACACGTTAGAAGAAAATATGGCGGGAGGAGGAAACAGAAAGGAAAGGCAACAAATTTAACGGATTATTTAAAAACTCCAACGAACAGAGTGTCTAAACCAAATATAGAAAGATTTCTCCAATCCATCCAATATTTGTTTCCCTCTCAATCTCCTCTCCTCTCTTTTAGGACATTCCCTCTTTCTTCAAACTTACAACAAATTAACAAATAGAAAACGGAACACAAAGAGAACAGAAGAAGAGAGAAGCCTCCCCCAAAAAAAAACCCCCACAAAAAAACCAAAAAAAAAAAAACAAGAGAAAGAACTCGAGCACAAAAGCTTCTCTCTTCCTTCCCATGGGGTGCATTTGAATTAATCTCCTCCTTGAAATCGCTTGATTGATTGTTACTAATCGATTGATCGATTCAAACCGTTGGATATTATTCCAAAACAACCCAAAAAGAATCCCATGGGAAGTTGTGTTTCGTCGCCATTGAAAGGCTCTCCTTTTGGAAAGAGACCGGTAAGAAGGCGACACAGTAGTAATAGCAGAACATCCTCTGTTCCTCGTTTCGATTCTTCAACTAATCTTTCCCGGAGATTGATTTTCCAGCCACCAAGCCGCGTTCTTCCCGAGCCTATCGGAGATGGAATCCACCTCAAGTATGATTTGGGGAAAGAATTAGGCCGTGGTGAATTTGGTGTCACTCATGAATGTATCGAGATCAGTACCCGAGAAAGGTCATTCTCTGTTTTTTTTATATGTTGATAAATGTTTTTATTCTTTTCTCTTCTTCTCGGTTTGATTTTCGTGTAACCGGGCATGCAGGTTTGCGTGTAAGAGGATATCGAAGGAGAAGCTAAGGACGGAGATAGATGTGGAGGATGTGAGAAGAGAGGTTGAGATCATGAGATGTTTACCAAAACATCCAAATATTGTTAGCTTTAAGGAAGCTTTTGAGGACAAAGACGCGGTCTATCTTGTCATGGAGATTTGTGAAGGAGGTGAACTTTTTGACCGCATTGTCTCTAGAGGGCATTACACTGAACGCGCCGCTGCATCTGTCGCTAAAACCATTCTTGAAGTTGTCAAGGTGAAAAACAAAATTTGTAATCTCTTTTTTTTGTCGGTTTTTCGCTTTCTTGTTTGGTTCTTTATGTTTGTGGTTTGTGAAGGTGTGTCATGAACATGGAGTGATTCATCGTGATCTTAAACCCGAGAACTTCCTCTTCTCGAATGGAACTGAGACTGCACAACTCAAAGCGATTGATTTTGGTCTCTCCATTTTCTTCAAACCTGGTACTAATTATCACAACTCTATTATAACATCAAAAGGTTTGAATCTTGATGCCATTTTCTTGAAAAAATCATCAAATGTATATTGCAGCCCAGCGGTTCAATGAGATTGTGGGAAGTCCTTACTACATGGCTCCAGAGGTCTTGAGACGAAATTACGGTCCTGAGATCGATGTTTGGAGTGCCGGTGTTATACTCTATATCTTGCTTTGTGGTGTTCCTCCCTTTTGGGCAGAAACCGAGGAAGGAATCGCGCACGCTATTGTGAGAGGGAACATCGATTTCGAGAGAGATCCATGGCCAAAAGTCTCACGTGAAGCCAAGGAACTCGTTAAGAACATGCTTGATGCAAATCCTTATAGCCGGCTCACAGTCCAAGAAGTGCTTGGTATATTAATAATAACGATTGATTATCGACAAATAAACAACATAAATGATCGAAAATCTATGTTTTACAGAACATCCATGGATCCGGAACGCTGAGAGAGCACCAAATGTGAATCTTGGAGATAACGTCAGGACCAAGATTCAACAGTTCTTGTTGATGAACAGGTTCAAGAAGAAAGTCCTCAGGGTATATAAGTTTCTTGATTCCCCAAATTTTATAACTTTATTTTCCCCTCAATAAGACTTGTTACTGATACGGAAATCGGACAATCTTTCAGATTGTAGCGGACAATCTACCAAACGAGGAGATAGCAGCCATAGTACAGATGTTTCAAACGATGGACACTGATAAGAATGGTCACTTGACTTTTGAGGAGCTAAGAGATGGACTGAAAAAGATTGGACAAGTAGTTCCCGATGGCGATGTGAAGATGCTAATGGATGCAGCGGACACAGATGGAAATGGAATGTTGAGCTGTGAGGAATTTGTGACACTCTCAATACATTTGAAGAGAATGGGATGTGATGAGCATTTGCAGGAAGCATTCAAGTATTTTGACAAGAACAGGAACGGATTTATCGAGCTAGATGAGCTCAAGGAAGCTCTTTGCGATGATAAGCTAGGCCACGGTAACGGAAACGACCAGTGGATCAAAGATATCTTCTTTGACGTCGACCTCAACAAGGTAAATGAACAAAACTAGAGCCAAAAAAAAGACTGAGATTCTGAGACCGGATTGCTGTGTACTTTGGCAAGGTTATGTGAAATTCTTAACATATTTTTGTGGTGACAGGATGGACGAATAAGCTTTGATGAGTTTAAGGCGATGATGAAATCAGGGACGGACTGGAAAATGGCTTCGAGGCAGTACTCGAGGGCGTTGTTGAATGCTCTAAGCATCAAAATGTTCAAAGAAGATTTTGGGGACAATGGTCCTAAAGCACATTCCATGGAGTTCCCTATAGCAAGGAAGAGGGCTAAGCTACTTGATGCTCCAAAGAACAAATCAATGGAGCTTCAGGTCTCCAAAACCTATAAACCCTCAGGTCTAAGAAACTAAAGAAGAGAAAAAATGAACAAGAAAAAAACTCTTTGATTCTTTTTAATGTGTTTGTTTTTGGTGCTACAAAAAGTGTGTTTTAATGGGCTTAAAGTTGTTCATCTTTTTCCTTAAAAGTCGTTGAACACAACGGAAGATAAGAAAAAAGGAGCACAGACACATTCATTTAATTTATATCAAGTTGTAGCATTTAACAATGGCGTCACATGTAGTGTAATTTTTTTCCAAGCTGTGCACAGTAGAAACTCTTGTATCAAATTTTAAACACCTAAAGGATTCAATATTAAATACTTTCTTAAGATGTAACTTGAATTCAATATTACAAACATAAAAGAGATGGTCAAGTAAAGCCAAACAAAGCAAGTACCATTTGCTCTTTTTTCTTTAAAACCAGACACATGAGGTCACTGGATATTGGTTTCACAGAGAATGCCACAGCAGAGCCGGCAACAGAAGTCTTGTTACAATGTGTGTAGAGACAGACAATCACATGCATATTCTTTTACACTATACATAAGCGGGAAACTTATCACAGACCCGATGATCCAAACCCACATACACGCATAAGAGAAGAATTAGAGTTCCACTATGTGCATGCAGTTTGGGTTTTTCTTCGATCGTGTGCATTCTCCAATTGCATACGAACGATTCGGGTTTTGTACCTTGGCGAGGACATGAGAAACATTCTTATAAGTTGTCATCTGGGTTTCTGCTGGATCCACCAGTTCTGGAACTTCCTTTGCCTTTACCTCTTGTTTTGCTACTGCAACCTGTTGATTTGGAGCTTGTTGATTTGCTGCTGCAAGCCGCATGTGAGTCTACATCAGCAAGACCGTTCTCCAGAGCTTTCACCAAATTCTCAAAGTAGTTTTTCGTCACGCTGTAAGAATACAAAAATACAGAAGCATGGGTTTAGCTTTCTGAAAAATGTGAATGGCATTTATAAGAAGAATTATTTGGTGATAGTCTCGACCAGGTCAGGTAACTACATCAGAAAACTACCACAGGACCTAACATTATGTATGGCTTGATTGGTTTAAATATAGCAGACTTATGTCACTTATATAGGGTTTCGCACAATTATATTCATAGATCTATCTGAAAGCCTGAAGAACTTATTTCTTCTTCTTCTCTGTCAAACAACAGGATAGATGTATGAAGACAAAACGCTTACCTGGTCAAACCAGCTAGTTTTGTCCGGAAATCATTGAAATCTTTTGATGGGCCTTCTGCATTGAGAAACTGAGCCAAGTCCTTCTCTACGCATTGATGGAGCCTCTCTAAACCTGACTCAGCTTCCCCTGAACAATAGGAAAAAGTTAAGATGCTTCTGAAGAAGAAAAAGATATACAATTAAATGAAGGAGGGTTCTGACCTTGCAAATACTCGAAAAATTGTCGTTTGGCATGTTCATGATCAGGTAGGTAGTATCCATATGCGTAAGTCCATTTCAAGACTCGCCTACATTCGATGATCTGCATCGGTAAAATCACATGAGAAACTGTTAAAACAAATGCTATGGAGAAGTCTCACTTAGTTATTTGAACACTTTTATTTGCTTACCTGAAGCCAAGCTTCTAAAATGAATTTGAGCTGAGATTCTGGTGTGCACTGTTTATCACTAAGCTTCTCAAGCTGGCAGAAATTAAGATGAGTCAAGTATAGATAAACAGGGTATTAGAAACAGCCAAAACGGTTTACTTCTCAAAATAATTTCTACTAAAAGAACCTCCCCCACCCATGAATAAACACAATAGTTTCAAATGCATATGCCGATGCTTTATAAACTTAAAGAGCAGAACAAAGTGCAGTATGGGTTTTAAGACCAGGAAACATTTGTGAACGTTGAATTTTATAAAAAAACCGAGGGGATTACTCAGTTTAGCGAAAAGACCATGTTTGCCTTCCATTTACATCTCCTTTCAAAGATAAAGACTATAACTCACTCAGATAAAGAGATTCAGAAAGAAGCAAAATTCTAAAGAACATAACAAGTCTTACATTCTGCGTCTGCGCTTGCTGCAGATCTGCCATAGCCTTTTGCCTCGACTGCCAAATCACCCAAAACAAAGAAATAAATAGTGAGGACCTAGAAACTTCCTCAGGCATCAGAAGTGTAGAATTATGCATACCGTTTGATTGCTTGCCCAGCGTTCATAATAATGCGTGTATCTCTCTAGTGAATTTTTGGCCATCTCTCTCCTCCTTTCTGTCTCATCATACTAACAGGCAAAGATTAACCAAAGTCAATATTCAGTAAAATCAGCGCAAATAACTAATAAGAAACCACCAAAGACCAAAAAAGTACCCGATGTCTTACCTGTCCTTCTTGCTTGGCCACCTCGTACCGGTTACAAGCATAAAAACCACCAGTTCTTTCCCCATGATCCATCCATGCACCAAGACATAGCCTATAGGTGTAAATATATAAACAGCATTATTAGCATTGAATAGACCACATTTCTCGTAAAACATTGCAGAGGTACAGTTTCAACCAAACTAAGACGTTAGAGATGGAATTGAAGCATTACCAACAAAATTCATATTTACAAGGCGGTGTGCATGTCATGTGCATACAGCCCTGATTCTTTTCAATTGGCCGCTTACATCTCGGACAAGGCTTTGAATTGGCAAGTATCCTGAGCATAAGAAGACAGAGTTTGATTACCAGGAAATATTATTAAGATACACTAATGAAACAATTATATTAGTAAGATACAGAAGGCAGGTGGTAAGATATATGTCTCTATGTACAAGCCAGAGATAAGAGATCAGGAACACGAGTAAGAGAAACAGATAGAGTGGATACCAATTCATATTTTCAGATTCAGCGCTGTTCTTTAATATCCATTTTGAAACTGTGCTACAATCCACAGGTCGGTGAGCCTCCTCAGTGCACTACAATTAAAATTTACCACAGCGCTATTGATCTACCGAATACATTGAATAACTAGGAGAAATCAAATCAGTGGGCTTTGACTCAAGACTTACATTCCAGCAAAAGCTAAACGAGCACAAGCAGGAAACATCATAATTTCCAGACCCTGCAACAAAATCAATCGCATAATCACATCCCGGGGCAGGACACCACTTCATCTGAACCAAATAACATAAGAATTAGAAACATCGCATCATAAGAATAAATATGGAGAGAGACTAATATGGTTTGCTACTTTGCTCAAACGTAAAGACATCGAAGGTAATTTGAGAATACAGAAAAAAAATTATGAAATCATGAAAAGAACAGAATCTTCTAAGAGATGACAAAAACTTCAGGATGCTCAACAGACAGAACCCACTATTCCTCAAACGGAAAATAGTGTCAATCATAGAACAAAAGGAAGGAGAGTAAGACGTTTCAAGTAAGATGATATGATATCTCAATAAAAGAGCCTGCGACATTAATACCAGTCTGTGTGATATAAATTTTCTAGGGACCGTTTACCTTTCTGTTGTCTTCAATATAAGACCTAAGAAAATATCTGTTGTACTTCTCCTTGTCTTCTTCAGACGCTAATTTGTCAACCATATCATGACCAACAGCAGCAAGACAAGATGGGTCAGGACATCTTAGCATCAAACATCCCGGACCATCATTAATGGTTGTGGTGATATAACCTGCAAAACGTATACAGTAAAACGTAAGTTACCACTCAACAAATATTGTGGTAGAAATATGGGGCACACAGGTTTGTTTCAGAAAACTCAAAGATGGGAGATTTTGAAATTAACAACTAGATTAGAAGGAAATTACCTTTAAAATTACAACTAATTAACTAAACCTAACCTCAGATAATTACAAGGAAAATGAAGCGGTTCCCATTCTTTGATAGAACTAAAGATGTAAGAGTCTTGAGGATGCTAATGAAAAAAAAAAAAAACAACTGACCTGTCCAGCATGTAGTGCAGAAAGGATGGCCACAAGAAACTGAAGCGATTTTCTCAGGAGGGTACGAATCGAAACAGATTCCACATGTAAGCTGAATACATGATGATGTGTTAGTGAGACATGCATTGTCAAACGAGAAACATGTAAAACCACTTCAGATACTACAATTTAAAGGACATACTTCACTGTCATCAGACGGTGGAACAACAGGACTCTCCAAAATGCCAACAGTCTTCCGAACTCTCTCTTCATCAGCAAACCACTCATCATGAACTCTACCGACACTCCTGAAATGAGAAGTTTCTCATTGCATCAGGAAGCTAGAATAATCACACAAGTATGACCATGGATATACATTCTCGAAAAGCTAAAGAGATTTGATACTATCACTCCAAAACAAATTGAAGTAAACAAGGAATCAGATATATACAAATGAAACAATGAGAAACACATAGTGTTAATATCAAAGAGTAAACGTAAAAGGCGTTTACCAGTGAAAATGGCGTAGCAGAATACTCGCTTCGACCTCAGTTATCGAGAGGACAACAGAAACTCGTTCAATATCATCCATTTGGTGCCTGCGAATATCTTCTTCCCTCAGAACACAAAAGTTTTTCTGGAAAGAAGTAACATTATAGTTATAATGAGTCACTGTTCACAGAAAAACAAAAATAGACATGGAACTAAAACAGCAGAGAGAAATTCCATGCTACACTTTGTAGCCTCAATTTTATCATAGAAAGCCTCGAACTTTCAACATTTTGCCATTAGACAAATCATAAAACATGCACAAGTTCTCAAAGCAATTAGCTTCAACAACCAAACCAAGTAGAACAAAAAAAACCCACCTGAGAGCGATGAGAGGCGATCATGGCAGAATCATCAGCATCTTCCTCAACAAACCCATAATCAGGTTCACCATCATCACTATCATTACAATCATCAGTTCCACCGCTATAGAAATCATCCTCACCAGATTCCATATCGTGTGCATCGAGCATATCTTCTTCAGAATCCATGATCAGCGAAAACGAAATGGCAAAAAGAAGCGAGATTTATACAAATTAGATGAAACCCCTCTTCTTGCAAATTAGGGTTTGTCGGAAACACAAAATCGCAGGGGATAGTGAAGAGCTTTTTAAAGGGGAAGAAGCAAAATTGAGGTTTGATGGGAGAATCAATTAGGACATAAGTGTCCAAATTTATGCGGTCTGATCGAGAAAGGGAATCTAAAGAGACTGGATCGGTTGGGTTTGCGATTACTGGAATAGAGTGTAGACTTGTATCACTCTACCACATCACATTTTTATTTTCCATAAAGCTAACCACAAATCTATATATGTCTCTCACCAAATGGAAATGATAATGATTTTGGAGGACTTTCTTTTTCTCTTTACTTCTTGGACAAAGTTATCAATTTTATATCTCGTAAATATCTTATCATTTGTTATATGTATTAGATCTTAGTATTTTGATATTTTCACTAAAAATCATAGTATTTTTATTTATATGATCAACCATATAAATGAAATTATAATGTTTTGTTGTGACATTCATTTTGTACTCACTTTAGATGGTGTTCTAGTATCAACAAAGATATATATATAATATATATATAAATAACCGAATTATATTAATAGAATTTTTCTAAATTATTTACTAAAATCTTTCAACACATTATTGTTATAAGAATCTAATTCTTATTTATGTGATTGATAATACTACAATAGCATAATGGTGAAAAGGTAAAAGTTATTGTTGTTAATCTATTCAATAGAAAACTCATATTATTTGGAATTTTTATTTTGAATCACACCATAATTAAAATTAAACTTTTTACATTGGCACTTTGCTCTTAGAAGCATTGTGATTCTTCCCCCGCCAACAAAAATTCATCTAATACCATCAATTATTTGGATTATTAGAATTTTTTTGTATTAGAGAATTATATAATTGAATAATATTAGAGAATTATATAATTGACCTAATTCTTGTATACTTCAAATCTTGATACTAACCTTTTACTAACATGACAAAACATAAAATTAGGCAAATAGTAGAACTACAAAAAAAAATGCATGAATCATACATTCTAGAACTATATTAGAGGCTAAAGTATAAGAATTAAAAATAAATTAAAAGGAAAAAAAAGAAAAAAGATTTTAAGAGAGTTATAACAGTAACACACTTGAAAGCCGATGTTGTTGTTCTTCCTTGGCACAGCGCCGCGTTTTCTCTCCTCATCCTCTCGATGAATTCCTCTCAAGCTTGCTTCTTCCATTTTCCTCTGAGACCAATCTCGCTTTCGCATCCCTCCTATGCTTTCCTCTCTAAACGTAAGTTTTTCTTCCTCAGATTAAGTAGTTCGGAATCAAAATCTTAAGAGATTGTTACCTAGACTAGTTCAGGATACAATCGTTAAAAGTTTCGTTGCTTCGAGTTGATAAAACCCTAATTTCAAGAGCACCGACATGGGTTTTTCACTGTTCCTACAAAGTTCATAACTTTTTAACTGATACTATCTCTTGGACTAGTTCTCTTAACCCTGCAATTCTCTCTCAAATTATCGAACTTTATTCTCATATTAACAGAAACAATTGTTGAGGCATGTGTTTGACCTTGATGTTGTTTTTGCAGGAGACCCATCTCTGTGTTATCAACCTTTTCAATCCAGGAAATGTCTTACAATGAATTTGAATTCGTCAAGAACAAGAGAAGGCCATTTTATACAGATGAACAGAAGACATCTCTTTACTAAAGAAAGGAAGAGTTTTTCGATAAATTATTCCGATAAGTTCAGAGATGATTCTACGAGCAGCGTGGAGATGCATACAGATGCTTTGGATGTGGAGATTACTCCACCAGACTCACAGGACATTCATATTTCACGGAATTCTACTGTCTCCAGCACTCTACAGGATGATAGGCCAAAGTCTTTTAGAAATAGGTTTCTTGATTTTGTTCGCATAAGTTCAGTACTCAATACTGCAGCTGAAAGATTCTTTAAGAGCGAGATAAGGAGGAGGTTGTTTGTAACGGCTGTATTGCTTGTTCTTAGCCGTGTTGGATATTTTATCCCTTTACCTGGATTCGACAGAAGATTAATACCTCAAGATTACCTTAGCTTTGTCTCGGGGTCTGTGGGTGAGTGTTCTCATGCCATCATTTGAGTCCTATAACCCCTTGTTCGGATGACACATCGAAGTTTGTGGCTAACTTCTGTATTTTTGATAGAGGAACTGGGTGAGTTTGGAGCAGAGATTAAGCTTTCGCTTTTCCAGCTTGGGCTCAGTCCACAAATAATAGCATCTATAATTATGCAGGTTAAGATCTCCCCCTTGATTTGATATGTTTGCCTGAATCTGTGGATTCTTTATATATTAACATTATGATTGATGTTAAAAGTGATCATGAAACACCAGGTGCTTTGTCACGTTCTTCCATCGTTGGTGAAACTGCGAAAGGAAGGCTTAGATGGTCACGAAAAGATCAAGAGTTATATGTGTGTTTAGTTTCTTACCTCTCAAGCCGTGAGATGAATTCTTCACATGCAATTACTTTGTTTGTAGATCTTGTGACTTATTTTGCTTCATTAAACAAAGTTACTAAATCGCTGTTTTCGGTCTTACTTTTAGATGGTGGCTATCGTTTCTCTTTGCTATAGTGGAAGCATTAGTGGTGGCTTACACTTCTCTTCAATATTCAGTTTTTGCAGCCACTGCTCAGTAAGTTAATTAGGATTATTCATGTTTGGAGTAGCAAAAATGATGCTTGTAAATTCTATCATCCATTTTGCCACAACTGATGCTAAAGTAAGAATTCATGCTTTTTCAGGGTGAAGCATGTAATGATGACAGCATCTTTGCTAGTCTGTGGTGCAATGACAATGACGTGGCTGTGTGATACAATATCAGAATCCGGATTTGGTATTTGATTCTCTCTCTTCTTATCTCTATAACCATTGGTAGCTTAAAGTGATGCAGAAATGGAGTATTTGGTGGAACTTGCTCATTACATGTTTCTATGCATTTTACAGGTCATGGGTCATCTCTAATTATTTGTGTGGGAATATTGACGGGCTACACAGAGACCTTACACAAGATGCTGAATCAAATCTCAGGTACCTTTGGTTTTTCCTGCTTTACATTTCTCAATCTTATGGTTAGTCTTTACCTTAGACCTGCATGTCTTCCACATTTCCTGGAAGCAACTATCATTCGCCTATCTTCTCAATTAATTTAGAAAAAGGAAGAGTTATTCTTTATTTTGTTTTTGCAGGAAGTTTCTCGAATTGGTTGCCTTACTTGTTAGGCTTGCTGGGCATTTTTACGGTAGTAACTATGTTCGCTGTTGTTGTTACTGAGGGCTGCAGGAAGATAAAACTACAATATTATGGTTTTAAACTTGCTTCTGCTTCGAGGTAATATATATTGCTCATCATCAGTATTTTGTTGAAAAGATTGTTGTATATTGTAATTTTTACCAATATTGCTTGGAGTAGACTAGGGTTAATATACATTTGGATGCAACGTGTGTTTTACTCATATTTGTTTTTATGCTATGTTTTCGCCATTTGGGCAGAGAAGGTTCTCCGATAACCGAGGTGGAGCCTTACATACCTTTTAACATTAACCCAGCAGGAATGCAACCTGTTCTCACAACCACATATCTCTTGGCATTCCCCAGCATTCTTGCTAGGTAAATCCCTTGAAGATTCTGTTAGGTTTATATCATTCTTGTTTCTTACTTCTTTGTGTTATTATTACCTCTAAAGCTGTCTAATAAGGTGATATATTGTTTTTAGTATTGTGGGTTCACCTTTCTTGGTACACGTGAAGGAGATATTTAACCCGGAAAGCACGGTTGGAGCACCGCCTTGGGTCTATTACTCAATATATGCGTTTTTCGTCTTTCTCTTCAACATCTTTGACATTGTGAGTAATTACCCTTTTTCTAAATCAGAAGTTCAATCTTCCAATGAACATTAAACATTACATGAACCGGGTTTCTTGTTTGTTATGTAGGCCAACTTGCCAAAGGAAATAGCCGATTATTTAAACAAAATGGGAGCAAGAATACCCAATATAAAGCCCGGGAAAGCCACAATCGAGTACTTAACGAAGATACAAGCATCAACTAGGTTTTGGGGTAAGTTAGTTGTTGCGGTTTAGATCTATTTCCTATATGGTACAAGTGTAATCTCTAAAAAACATTTGATTTGGTTTGATTCAGGTGGTCTTCTGTTGAGCTTTTTGGCAACAGCTTCTAGTGTACTTGACCACTATCTACGCAGCATCAATCAAGGCTTTTCTATCGGATTTACATCGGTTTTGATCATCGTAAGTGTTCTTTCCATGTTCAATATCATTCAATTTAACAGTACCGACTTCAATGTGTTGATAATCTCTATTGTTTGTCTACAGGTTGGTTCCATTATTGAACTCAGAAGATCTTACCATGCCTACAATGTAATGCCTAGTTTAAGCAAAGCGTTGAAGAGATATGGTGTATAAGGAGATTCGAGAAACATAAGAAATTATAGATATATTATTGTGGTTTAGAGTTTCTGTAGCTCTTTTCTTTAGTAGATTAGGAATTAGATGATTTGTATTAAGAATCAAAACACATTACCAATTTACAATCAAAATCATAGAATCTATCAAGCATTTGCGGAATTTATAAAAATTAACTCAACTGATTTTCTTTTCTTTGTTTGTCAACAAGTGAAATTCAAATTAATTTGTTGTGGCATATTTGGCTAAATTTAAAAGCACAAATAGGAGCCAAAGTTACATTTGATTTGATTAACCAAAGTCCACAAATAGTCTCATAAAGAAACAAGAAAATAACATTGTGTCAGTTTTGCAACTCGTGATGACTTAAGCCTGGAACTTCCCACGAATCTTAGGATCCAGAAGATTGCCTATGACATTATAGGTAGCTTCCGATGGATGAATCGAGTCAAAGAACATAAATTCCGACCGATTCTGACAAGTAGGAGAGAAAACATTACACATGAAGCTCGTCTCCAAGAACCCTGTTCCACAACATCCTCTCTTCGTCTCTTTGAACCCTGTTTTAATTCCACACACACGAATCATATATATAAACAATGCTCAATAGTACTATCTCATAAGATAACTTTCGGAACAAGAAAGATGTTTAATTGTTTATATGTACATACCGTATTTGCTAGGGTTTTGCATCATCTCCATCATAGGATTATAGACATCGGCGTAAAGGATTTTGCTTCCTTTAAGAGATGCTTCGAGTTGGGGCAAGAGATTCTGAAGTTTCTGATTGTATAAAACAGAGTCTCTGTTATGTTGTTCCAAGCAGAATCTAAAAACGTTGCGGAATTTAAGAGTCATGTGGATCGGTAAACACCCCATTGGCGGCAAACCTCCAACCAAAATATTCCGGGAACCTAGACTGTAAAGCTCCTGCATACACACCGGAGAGATTAACAAAACAAATAATCATAAAACTTCAGTCACTATAGTCTGCTCCAAAACCCTAATTGTGTGGTAATATGAAGAAATAAATATCTTAGACGTTACCCGCACGATATTTTCAAGCCTTTTAAGAATAAAGTCTTGGTAACCAGAAATGAAAGGATACTCGAGACGCCTTGAGGGAATATCGTAATAGTTCAAAATGAAATCGTTAGGCCCTGCACTGATAACCACTAAAGCATTGTTTATGATCTCCATTGCTTTCTTGTCTCCTACGATACCTTTGAGACGAGTAATGTAACTCTTGAACATGTTTGGTTGTTCGGAGACACGAATGGCTTGTGTGGAGAGACTGGTTAGGTCGTCGTAACCGGCACCAGCTGATGCGAAACATACTCCGGTTAGAATGTCTTGGTCGGAGAGATTTGGTTGTAAGAAAGGAGGAATAAACTCTTTGATGTTGAGTTTGGTTGCGATTATGTCGGAGATAAGTTTTCCGTTTGAGAATCTTCCGTTAGCTTTGCCGTCTGGAAGATCCATGCCGTAAGGAAAGTGTTCAGCTCTGAAGATTGTTGGTAAAGGGTAGTTGTTGTTGCCTGTGTCGACGGTTGAATCACCGAAGATTAGAATCGCTGGGAAGAGCGGTTTTGTTGTTGCGTTTGCGGCTGCGTTGCAGGACGCTAATAATGTTGTTGTGATGAAGAGAGTTAAGGTTATGGTTTTAGAAGTCGTCGACATTTTTTTTTATTTTGGTTTTTGTTTTTAGTTGATTTGAAGAAATGTGTTGTTTGGTGATGAATTTATAAGGTGAATTTTCTTTTGTTACCTTGCTGGCTTTGTGAGTTTGTTTTTCTTGAAAGTGAATAACAAATGGATAAAGTCAAGAGATTTGAACCTTATAGTCTAAATAAAGGTTTTGTTAAGATATTGATGAGCGTTTCACACAATGCAAAAAAAAAAACTGAAAAACAATGTGGTCAAAAGAAAAGAAGCTTCGTTGGTCGAGCAAAGGTAAAATAGAAAAGCAAACTTTTTATTTAGCGTTTAAGAATTGATAATGTGAAAAACAAATCGATAAACATACAAATGAAACAAACATATATTGACTCCAACCGAACTCCAATTCTGAAATCTGGTTGAACAAAATGACCTAATTCATATGATATGGACAACATCAACATTTAACGCATATAAAATGTTCCCACATGAGGTACTTACTAAACACGAATCTAGAGAAATTTAGAAGTGTCAAGAAAAATAACTTATACCAGTATTTGAAACCAATATCAAACTCTCTATATTAGAGCATACTTCCGTTTTTGTGGCTAGCGACTTGGCGCATAGTTTTCTTTAGATAAACCCAATAATTTATAAGATGAAAAAAAAAACAATATTGAAATTACACATTCTATAAACTAATGGGCTACATTTATTAACTAAAGGACCGATTTTAACATTGCTTGATGACCAATGACACCATTGCTTGATGTTGTGATCATTTATGCTCCTAAGGAAGAAGATGTCAAATTCATGTCTGCTCAGGTTGCTGCTCTTGTGCCAGAAGGCTCCATTCACAACCGTAGATTATCCTGAGATGATTCCCCCCGTGGCCTAGAAAAGACTTTTTTTACTATTACTCCATCAGATTTCCTTTCAACTTTTCTACCTTTTGTGATCAGTTCAGTTTTTTCAAATTGTAATTCTAAAATTATCTTAAGCTTCCAATGTTGAAAGGTATATCATATTCTATTTTGCAAACTAGAACGAATTTATTCAATTCATTGCTGAAAAAAAAACCTCGGAATATTATGTTTTTAAAAAAGATCACAATAATTTGAAATTAAATAAGATTAATATCATAAGTAACTCTTTACTTCACATATTTAAAACATTTTTATTTTAACCAATATCGCAATATTATTATAATATATAGTTATAAGTTTCAGAATAAAAATAGTAATACCTTCTTATGTGAATTATGGGAAGATAACGAAATGAAATTTACTTTCAACCGTTGTTGCTCGAGTTATACCGAAAGAACCACCTTAAACCGGTGTTGTTGTCCTCATCTTTAAGAAACCAAATTCAAAAATAAAACCGGAAGAACCACCTTCAACCGGTATTTCTCGGTAAGTTGAAAATATTCACAGTGTGGAATTTGCCAATGTGTGTACGTACAGCTGTGCAAAGCTGGGCATTTGAATTTTTATATTTTTTGAACCTTATTTTGTCTTGCGATCTTTCATTTTCAAATTTTGAATTTTCCTATATAACGGAATCCCTACATTTTCCTTTTTGCAAAATGTCTGTAGAAGTTGAGTATCGGTGCTTTTTTTTTCTGGCGATCAAACACTAGAAAGGGTGTGTTCTCTCCGTTCGTCTAAGTTTATCGATTCAAAGGTTAGTAACACGATATATCCTGCTCTCGGATTTAGGGTTTCGATAATTCTGATTCCAAAGATTGATTTGTTTATGAATTGTGTTTTTCTGTCACACGAGAGATCACAATCCCGGAATTAGGGTTCCGTAGAGGCAATTCCGATCATTCTGAAATGTTTATGAATTGTAGTATTTGTCTGTTACTTGATTCGATTATTGTTACACGAGAGATTAAAACTCCCCGAACTAGGGTTCCGTCGAGGCAATTCCTATAATCCTGAAATGTTTAAATATTGTGTGTTCTCTGTTACTTGATTCGATTATTGTTACAGAGAGATCCGAATTAGGGTTCCATCGAGGCAATTCCGATAATCGTGAAATGTTTATGAATTGTGTTTCTCTGTTACTTGATTCGATTATTGTTACTTAATTTATCCCAATCGGTATGTTAATCTTCCTGCTTGTATGAGTGGAGAGGTCGATCGATTTTGTATTTGATCGATACCATCTCTATGATAGTTTTGTGACTTGTTTGATTTGTTTTTGACAGATTGCGAGAATTGGAAGATCAAGGGCACTCTGATTCGTGATAATAAATCCTCCATGTGATTCTATCGAAGAGATGATCGAGAAAAAACTTGATGGTCGTAGCTTCAACGTGAATGTGTTAATCGAAGATAAAAAATAGTTTTGTGCTGCTCTGTTATCGGTTTAGATTTGTTCTGCATCATTGTGTCTCCGGTTTGTTACTTGTTCTTGTTCTTATGGTTTACTTTTTTGATGTTACAGATCGTTTCAAGTTTTCTTTGCTTGAAGAAAAGAGACATGTACCTAAATGCACACATGCATTCATGCATATATGTACACATGCATTCATGCATACATGCATACATACATACATACATGGATTCTTTGTTTACTTCACCATTTCTGCTTTCATTCCTTGCTTACTTCATCATTTATGCTTTCATTTCTTGCTTTCTGGTTTTCGTTCTTCATTCCTTAATTTGTTTTCTATTTCCTAGTTCCTTCCTAGTTTCCTTCTTTGTTTGCTTATTTTCTGCTTTCTATGCTTGTACACATTCATATTTGCTTCTCTGTTTATTTGATTCCATGATTCATTGTTTGATCCTTTGTTTACTTATTTTCTGCTTTCGTGCCTTACTTGCATGCTTATTTTTTCTTCATTATTTGCTTCTTGGTTTGTTGGTTACTTCCTTGTGTCCTTGCTTCATATTTGCTTCTCTGTTTCTTTGTTTTGGTGTTTACTCACTTGATTCCATGATTCATTGTCTGATCTTTTGTTTACTTATTTTCTGCTTTCGTTTCTTACTTGCATGCTTACTTTTTTTCTTCATTATTTGCTTCTTGGTTGTTTGTTACTTCCTTGTGTCCTTGATTGGTTCCCTTACTTACTTGCTTCTGTATTTTCTTCCTTAATTCCTTGGCTAATTTGCTTCCTTGTTTCCTTGCTTACATGCTTAATTTCGTACATACTGTCTCTTAATTACTTGGTTAATTTGCTTCCTTGTTTCCTTGATTACATGCTTAATATTTTACATATTGTCTTTCTACCTTTACTGCTGAACTTTTTCTTTTTTACTTCCTTACTTTGTATCCTTAAATTGCTTGCTATTTACTCACTAACTGTCTCAGTTTATTCTCCACTAAAATATGTACTTTGCTTTAGATAGTTCTAGGTTACTAATTAATCTTTTCCGGAGTTCACACTACTGTAATTGAGGATCGTTTTGATGTCGAACATGGAAGTGAAGAGTGGTACAAGAAATTGGGTCTCCATTTTTAGTGGCTTCTTGATCATCGGATCAATCCATACTTTTGCAAATAGGGTGATGGCATGCAGGTCATGACATACAACTCACCACGGCCTGGTATATTACAAATCGTCTTTTGAATTCTTTATGCACCATTTGTACATGTTTTGTGTTGTGCAAGCTGATCATTTTGCTTCAAACTCTTGAGTTTTTCATTTGCATTCCACTTATTTTCCGCAGCCGATCATCTGAAATCAGATGAATACATCTCTGATCCAAGGCTTGCGGCTTATGTAGTATCATATATTACTTTTACTTGTGGGGTGAGGTATCTTAGTGCTTAAATCAATTTTCCATTAGTGTGTGGTAATAGGAAAATTCTAAGCCATTTTTATATCTCATTATCCATCTTTGGTGTAGTTGACATGTTGTTTTAGTTGAAATTACTTATTTACAGCTTTAAATAACAATTATAACTTGTGGCAGCCACTGAATATGGAGCACTTTGATAGCGTTTCCAAGATGGCCAGTGAACATTTTGCCTATGCCCCAGATGCTCGTGTTTTGACTACATAATATTGTGGTATGATTCCCTTTTTCTGGAATTCACATGTGCTAATTGATTCCATTATAAATAGTTATTGTGATTGGCTCTGTCCTTCTATTAGACTTTTGTGGTGTTGATATCTTATTCTTCTTTTCAGTTTAGCTTGCCGAGATGGATCTTGAAGAGATTGAATACAGGAGGATCTCTTGTAAAACCAGAAACTATATCTCACTTATAGAGCTTTGTATGGAAAGAAAAACTTGAAGGTTTGTCGAAGGGCTTAAAAGCCTCTTTTATTCTCAAATAATGTTCTGTTGATCACTTATTATTTTTTGCCTTTTTCTTGAGTGGTTAATCTCATTTTTAAGTGGTTCTTCATCAATTTTCATTACACATAGGATAAATCTGTTGGGCAAGGTTCTTGAATTTGATATGAAGCTTTATTTCATGTTGCCTTGGAATTCTTCAGATGAAAGCTGCATAAGCCCATGTCACAAAACCTCTGTTTTGATTTTCTAAGTATTTATCAGTTTGATGATTCTTTTGCATTAAATTGTTGTGTAGGAACTTTGACTTTGAAAGAAGAGACAGAAGGGTTTATAAGAACTAGACAAGTCAGTGGAAATCCTGGTCCGGTTGGAATTGAAAAAATGGGCAGGTATGCTTGTTATTCCATCTGAATCTTCTTATATGTATTTTTAGAACTATACTCCCCCAAAATCATTTAAAGTAGTACATGAGCATATTATTTGGAAATACAGGTTCATCAACAAGTCATTAAATCATCACTGACATATCTTCGACTGGGAAAAAGTTTCTAAGAAGTGTGTCGTACTTTGCATTACATGTTAGTAATATGAAGAAAAAGCTAGCTTCAGTTGATGAAAGCTGTATTCTGATGTCAGTTCTATTTTTTCTTGCAGAATTAGTTTTTAGCTCATTTTCCTGAGTTTTTGTTTTTATTTCCACTAGTGATCGAGATACAGATATAAAGACACGAGCCTCTGCTATGAAGTGCCATATTGCTTTCTGAAAAGCAGTTGGTCCTGGATTTGTTTCGATAGGGTATGTCCTGGTTCGGTTACTTTTCTTTAATTTTTATTTTAACCTGATTACAATGATGATTCATGGCTATTGTTTGTAGCTTAACAACATCACAGAAAGAGCACAAGAATCTCAAGGTTCTTAGTTTCGGCAGTTGATGACTTTGGTGTCCCACTTTTGAAAACTTAAGGTTTTGAACCCTGATTTCACTGTTTATTAAAAACCTGCAGTATCTAAGTTATTTTCATTATGACAAAAGAGCTTTTTATGTCGATTTTGATAGATTTTAGTAAGGATGTTGGGATGCAAGCTGGCACCAAATATGCTACAATCAAACTTTTGGTCCAGGTGGCTATGAATTCCCTTAAGCTGCTTCGCTTTGTCTAACTTGTGTTGTTAGAAGAACATATCTTAATATCTGATTAAACTGTGTTATTTCTGTTTGCAGATAACAAAGGGTTCTGAAATGTTGTCAAACCTGCACTACTAAGTGAACTTGATGCCGAAAATGAGAAAAAATCCTTTGGATTGTCTTAATTTTTTGGATTTATTGTTTTTCTTGCTCCACTTATATTCTTTTCATCAGGGGACTGCGGCTCTAAAGAGAGTTGTTAAGACGTCTGTTTCAACATCAACCTTTGCAGGAGGTCAGTAGCAAGATTAGCTTAATGATATGAGAATCTTGATTGGAAGGTGCTGTACAAATTGGAATTTTCTTTTGTTGTCTAAACCTAAAATTTCTTTTGCAGAATTACACAATTTTATTTTAGCTTTAGAGTTGAAACTGAGTCTTGTAAACTTCTGTAGATGCGTTTGGAGTCAGTTGAAGCTGTAAATAAAATTCTTCAAAAGGCTAATAAACTTTGACTACCATTGGAGGTGTTGCAGCAGCTATGGGACCAGCTATCGAGAAGGCGAGCAAGGTTGGTGATACATGTCAAGCATTACAAAAAAAATTTATACTGTAATATCACTTCCTGCCAGTTTTACCAAATACTTGAGTGATCTACTTCAGGGAATCTCTCAGGGACAACAAGAAGCACATGAGAGAATGTACCTTGACTGCTCGTGATTCATTTCTTAGGAGGTCAGGGCACATGTCTTCTGTTTGTTAATATCATTTCGTCAACTTAACAGTCTTTTTTATTCTGTTAATGCATATTCCTAACAGATGGAAAAATGGGAGTATAAGGACGTAAAGATCTTTTTGATTGGTTGAAAAAAACAGCTTGTTGGATTAAGTGACTTGGTGGATGCTATACATTACTAAAACCTGTAAGCACCGCAACTCATCTAAAATTTTATACTGCCTCATCAGCTTTAATGATTAATTACATCTGTTTATAATGTTTTCAATTTGCTATGCTTCTATGAATCTTTCCAGGAAAAATCAGCAAATTTGCAAAAAACAGTCGAAAGATGCATTTCAGAGATCTTGAGAGTCAGTGGACGAGAAACTGTAGGTATTCTTGTGTTAGCTTGTTATATTCATTGGTTAGATCCCAAAATCTGATTAGTCGTGTACATTTCTCTCAGATTGTAAAGAATATCAAAGATATCTCAAGCCCGGCAATAGCTCTTATGCTTGAAATAGTAAGACCATGATTTGTTCAAGGTAACTCTCCATGATCTGGTTGTCTAATTAGCATGCTCTTTCCTCTCCATTCCCTTTTTTTGTTCATGCTAACGATGTGTTTTTTCCTAACCATTTGAATCATCAAAAGCTTTGGGGCCAGAGTGTCAAAAGGTGTTTCAAAAATTTCAAAATCAACTTCTAGTGGTACATTGAAGCAATGAAATAGACCAGTAAGTTTCTGACTCTTGACATATTTTCTTCTGTATTCAGTTTTTTATTTAATGTGTTGCCCAAAGATTAGAAAGAGTGATATTTGGTGGCTGGGTGATAGATTTGTTGGTAAGTTGATATCTGATTCTCTAAATAGTTTTATTAAATCTCTATTTCAGAGCTATAACACTTAAAGATGCAAGGATGGTAGAGTTGGGAGAGGCAAACATTTTCTTAATACTTCATTTTAAGGTAAGTTGTTCCTCAAGTTTCTTTATCATTAAGAGTGAAGTAATCTTCTCTTTATTTGCGCTCATATTTGATATCTCTCTTGCTTCATGCATATATGCACAGGTCTTTGAAGAGTCAGGTAAAATATCTATCTCTCTTATCAAGGTAAAAAGTCAACACAAACACCCAAAACACAAACAACAACAAAAAAAAACTTCAGGAAACACTCAACATAATCACAAATACATAACAAAAGACAACCAAACAAAACAAAGACTTCACACAAAAATCGACAAAAAACTCCACAAACTAAAAACTTCACATGCCACGAAACACAACACAAAAATCGACAAAAACAAACAAAACTCAACAAATTCACAAACTAAAAACTTCACATGCCACGAAATACAACACAAAAATCGATATGTCATATCTAGTCGCAATTCAATTTTATAGTGATGTAAATGAGATTATTAGTGTATCTCTTCCGCAATGCACTTTTTAATTTATCATTCACTAGAAAAATAATATATCACATTTTAATACAGCTTTTTTCTCCTTCTAATTACTATACAAATTTTCACAATATTACTTTATCTTTCTCGATGTGATTCAGTGTTTGTAACATTATTGTTATTAATGTTTTTTTGGTAATGTAAATTGATGAACAGTCAGTGTTTTAAACTTCTCTATGTAAAATTATCTTCTCTGGATGTAGGATTTTGTTGTTGTTGTTGTTGTAATGTGATATTTATTAAATAACAAAAACGTTTATACAAAAAGGTTTATAGCAACTTATATTGTTTTTCTTTATACTGCCATCTAAAGAAAACAGATGTCCATAATTAAATAGCAGTTGAAACTTGAAAGACAAACCGAGACGAATCCCAAAACGGAAAGACTTAACTCAATGCTTCTCGAACACATATTTCATGGAATTATTGATTCGTTTCCATATGGCCCCACAAAAAGATGGCATATATACAACAATAATTGATGCTTCTACGTCGCCGCTTTTCTAAGAAAGAAACCATCTCCTTTATATAATAATCTCTCCTCACCATTCATTTCCGATAACAAAAACAATCACAGAGAGAAAAACAATGGCTTGTATTCACATCGAATCATCACATCCATGGAAGACACACTCTGTCCAAGTGAAGAAACCAACAAATGTTGATGTTACATCGAACACAGTCTTACCAGAACACCACCACGACGGTGGGGACGGAGGAATCCAAGAAACGTGGGCTGCGATCGGAAAATCCGGCGGCGGAGGAGGAGGCTATTTCGCCGGCGAGAGTAGGAATAAGAAGCTGGAGAAGAAGAAGAGCCAAGTGTTGCTTGAGGGATACGCGTTGGATGATAAAGATGATTTGACGAGAGCCAAGAGTTTAACGGATGATGATCTTGAGGAGCTTAAAGGTTGTTTAGATCTAGGGTTTGGTTTTAGCTACGATGAGATCCCTGAGCTTTGCAACACTTTGCCTGCGTTAGAGCTTTGTTACTCCATGAGCCAGAAGTTCTTAGATGATAAGCAACAAAATCACCACAAGTCCCCGGAGATGTCTTCGGGAGAGGATTCGCCTCCACCACCGACCACGACCGCTCCAATTGCAAATTGGAAGATCTCTAGCCCTGGTAAACCTCTTATTCTTTGCTAGATTCCAGTGATTCTTGTGATGATGAAGAACATTTTCTTGATTTGAATGTTGCAATTTTTTGATTCAGGTGATGATCCAGATGATGTAAAAGCTAGACTCAAATATTGGGCACAAACTGTTGCTTGCACCGTACGATTGTGCAGCTGAACAAGAACCGATCTTCGTGTATTCGTGTTTGTGGTTGAACCAGAAAAAGACCTTTTTTGCAAGAATGAAGTCTCTGCCATTGTTAGCTGAGAATAGACCTGCAAATGGGTCTGTTGATGAACTGGTTTGGCTTTTACTTTAGCATGCTATGTATGTTATGTGTTTTAGTAGTATTCTTTGTCTTTATGATTATAACGATTTGGAAATAAATGTGTCAAGTGAATTAAAAAAAACTTCAAATTCTTTGTCTACGATTTCTGCTGACTGTTTTGTTTGAGTGCAATGTGGTTGCTTTAACATCTAACATCTGAATTAGGGTTCTTGTCCTCTCATATGCAGTGATGAGATTTAGAGACAGAAATCAATCTCCAACTGTTTTTTTGAAGACCTCTGCTTTTGGCTGAGGTAACTGATCTATCTTCTGTATGCTTTTATGATCTTGATCTTGATCTTGTTTTTGTATCATCGGTAATTAGGCTTATATGATTACTTTGGTTCAATCACAAGATGTCAACAAAGAAAGCACATGACCTTTCTTTTATGTTCTTTTACATGTGATTCTTATCTTTTTGTCCCGTGGCTAGGAAAGAATCAGAAACTTTTTGTGGTCATAAGTTGTGAACACGCTTAAACGTGTCGTGTACGATAGGGCAACATCCTTCACATGTTCTTTTTTACGTATACAACTGTCTTATGGCCCAATAGAATTTATTATTCAACTTTTAATGTTTTGAGCTTTAAACGAGAGTCACATGATAATATGATATATCATCCCATGAAAAGACATCGAATACATCAATTATTTAAAACAAGAATGATAGATTTAAAGAAAATAAGTTTGCAATGTTGATGATTCTAAGTTCACTTGGACCAAACGAAAGTTCTTGAAACTTCTTCTGATGATCAAGAAGAAGCCTGTCCCAACAGAGTTTGAATGTCCTTCTGCATAAACCGAAAACAAACCGGTCAAAATTAAGATGGTTTGTGTATGGATGGATTCCGGTCTAGGTGAAAGCCAGGATGGTACGTACCTCGAATTGAAGAGGAGAGGTTCTGGGAGAATATCTCTGTAAGACTTTGCCATCAGGAGAAACCAAGAATTTGGTGAAATTCCATTTGATGGCATCAATGAGCAAACCTCCTTTCTCTGCTTTCAAGTATTTGTATAACGGCGCCGTGTTTTTCCCGTTCACATCCACCTACATTGCCATCAACATTTCCGTCAAGTTATATACACTACTCTTTTTCTTTCACTATTAGACAATTATCATTCCTCATTAAGTTACTTATACACAAACTCACATCTCTTAATAATGTTGTAAAGATCAATCATTAGTAAAACATTAATCAATGAAATAGAGAAGTGTGATAAAGACAAAATGAATTACCTTGTCAAAGATGGGGAATTCAGCTTTGAACCTGGTGCAGACAGTTTGTTGAATCTCTTCATTGTTCCCTGGTTCTTGTCCTAAGAACTGGTTACAAGGGAATGCTAATATCTCCAACCCTATTCATTTTTTACATGAATTAAATTATAGTCACAACAATTAAAAATCCTAATTAAAACCAGGTTTAGTTTTGTGGGAGTAAGTATATAAATCACAGACCTTGCTCCTTGTATTTCTCGTACAGAACATTCAGTTCCTTGTAGTTGGCATCAGTCAGACCACTGCAAGTTAATAAGAAATTTTAGTTTTGATTTCATCTATTTGATAGCAAAATCTTGAAATTTGAACAAACGAAGACCAATATGACTAGAATCTTTGTTTATATATTTTAACAAAGCAATATCGCAGTTAAGAACAAAGGACAGGTACTAATCAAACCAAACTGAACCGGATTGATCAACTACTAATTTCACAAGATCCTTACGTTTATATATATTTTGAATCTGGTAGATTACAAATACTATCTTGTATAATTAGGCAATGGCTTCTAACAAAAATAAAAATAAATAAATTGACAGTGAATTAGGATTTTTACCATTTGGAAGCAACATTTACAATCAAAAGTGTTTTGCCTTTGTATTGGTTCAAACTCACATCGTTACCTCCGATATCCTGCCATGTTCATGAATAAAATATAAACGCATTTTTTTTATAACAAACCTTAAAATTCTTCATCTATATTCTTTTGCCTGAGATCGAACTTTGAAAATTTCGCTATATTATTTTTGGATCAAACCTTATGGTTTTTTTTTTTTTTTTTTTTTTTGTAAACCACCTTATGGTTTTTCTGTTTATTTGAATTAAGAATCTAAGACTAACAATAAGGAAAAAAAAAAAAAAAAATTGAGAGAAAAAACCTTGACGGTGAAGTCGTAGATAGACTTTGGAGATTCATCCGCCATTTGCAGTGTCGATGGTCTCTCTCTTTGTCTGAGTTTTTAGTTTTGAAGAAAGAAGAGAAGAAATATAAATCTTTTATTAACAAATATTTGTATTTATATATGGTTGATAAATGTTATAAGATCAGAATGCTTTAAATGACGAATCTCTTGTGACGAATGGTGGGGTAAGCATCCACGACTTCATATTGATTGCTTACCCATCTTATTTTTGTATTTTTCTTATTTTTGTCTTTCATTTGATTAATTGGTACATGAATACAAATATATGGTTTAAAATTAAGAAATGTCAAATATAAAGGGAAACATATAATTCAATTTTTTTGCGTGTTAACTTACACGAAATTTAATTAATATTAACGGAATTGGAAATATCAAATTGCCACCTTTCAAATATTCCAAATGACCACTACAATTCACTTTCATATTAGCATTAACGATGATTAATGGAAAAATCTGTAGTAGGATTCCCTACCAATTATGGTTTCCAATGTTTGACCTGATTTTTCTTAATAATAGCTTGTTCAAAAAGCAAGAAACCTTGTAAATTAGGAAAACATCTAGAATTTTCAGATTTTAAGTTATTATAGCAGTTGTCACGTAAAAATAGTATTGTAACAAAATATCATTGGCTTTTTTCCATGTTTTTTTGTTTTAGACTTGAGAGACCAGATCAAGAAATTTATTATATCTACTAGATTCAGTTATTTTTCTGTTAAATTGATATACTTAAAAGTAATAAAATCAAATCAATTTCTTTTTACTCATCACTTACAATATACACATTTTTCACCAAATGTATACATGTACATAAAGTCGGATTTAAAAATGGAATGAGAACAAAACATATTTCAGAATCTAACCACCTTACTTGAAAATTTTAGTCTGTAGGTCTTATCAAGTAGTTGGACCGACTTAATAATAGACATTTGAATTACTAGTATACAACAACATGATAGAAAATTATTAATAATACTCTCTCTATTGACTACATTTAAAAAAAACAAATGGAGAGGATAAAGTTACTTTTACGTAACGCAAGAGAAGTTAGCAGTTGGTCGGTGCACAGGTATGGTGTGAATTTAATGTTTTACATATCTCTATCTCACACTTGAAAGATCATAAACATTCAATCTCATATACATGTGAACTAAGGTTTAACTCGTATAACACATGTTGTTGAAAAGAACTAGAGTTGTACGAATTGGAGATTAAGAATTTGCAATAAATTAATCTTACAAGTGAAGTAAAATACTAAAATGCAGCTGTTTATGAGCAGCTAAGAATGTGTGGGTGTTCTTCCCAGAAACAGCGTTCGATGATGTTGCAATGATCTACGACCACTTCTCCTTCCAGTTTCTTCCTTGAAACTACTCCATTCTCAGCTTCCTGAAAAGAATATTTCAGACAGCTGTTTAACAGGTAACTACAAAGATTAAGAAGCTCTGCAATGAAGAAGATGTTCCACACTGTTCAAATGCTTGATGAGTTTGATAAGAAACGAGTAACAAACCTCGGCGGGTAGTTACATTACAGGTTTGGTATATGGATTTAGCCATTTACGAGTTTAATAGCCAAAGGTTTTAATTGATTTATACGATAAGAACAGAGCCAGTTTGGCACTTATAAGTTTCTTCAGCCAGTCCACTGTATCCTAATGTTTCTATGCATAGATTTAAAGTTTGATAATTAAGGCAATACTAACCTTTCGGCGGAAAACCGAAGAACCCATTCGAAAGATTACAGGTAATGCGTTGTACTCAATTCCAAATTGACGGCTAAGCAGCTCATTTTTTTCTCGTGTTTGGGTACCCTGGAAAAGTCACTCACAGAGAGCAATATAAGAACTGTTTTAAGCATTGACTAGTACTTGAGAATGAAATTTTTATCCATCATAACAAAGTACCTTTAAGTAATCTTGGGATTGAGTTTTGGTTTTTCCAGACTTAACAAGCATCCAGAAACATGTATTGTACTGATTATTGATGTGGCCTGCCAAACGAAAATCAAAGAAAACATGAGACTATTCATATCTAAAATTTTGCAAAGATATAGATGATTCCAAATCGTTTATCAGAGTGTTATTATACTCACAGTCAACTTGTCTCCACGCCAGATAATCCAAGAGAATATTATATGTTGGATAGCATACAGCTCGTCCATCGAATGATGGAGGGTACTTCAATTCTTTGTGAGGGAAAAATTCTCCCCATTGTAACACATACGTCGATGTAAAGAAGGATGTGATTGCGGATTTTTTTTTACTGCAATGCAATAATAGAAATTAAGACAAAAAATTAGGGAGATAGGAGTGTAAGGGAAAAGCGAAATGTAGTTTAACCTGGATTGTCTTTTGTAGAGCTCAGATTCTTTCTTCAAAACAAAGCTGCAACCGATGATGAACTTAATTAATATCTAAGATATGTGAAAGCTGAGATAAACAGGTTGAGAGATGGACACCTGTACTCATCACTGACACCATAGGCAAAGTGAATATCCTCAAACTCCTCGAGAACAGCCACTGCACATGAATTCATAAGTTTCAGAGCTTGCTCATCATTTGGCTTCTCAAATTCATGAACGTCAGAAAATCTATCAAAATCCAAGCAAGCTCCATGAGTTTCCTTTGCAACATAGAACACTAGTAAATAGTAATCAGTAATAAAATGACTTCTTCCTGAAAATGCAAGTTCAGATTCAAGAATCAAAATATTCCCTAGACAAAAGCAACCACAACAGAACATATGAAAACTGAACAGGCCAGCCTAGCTGAATCCTATGGACCGCTATGACTTCACTAATCTAAGGCTTCAATGCAATAAAATGACTGACAAACTTATAAGAGATCAAGATGATAAGCTATAGAAAATTACCTGTGAAAATGACAGCCATCAATCCTAACCACGACCCACGTTAAAGGTAACAATTTGTTCTCAAACTGAAAGGACCTAATAAATTCTGGTTCAATTTTTCCAATGTTTTTCGTGAAGTGGCCAAGATCATTATATAGAGAGGGCTGCTCATTCCAAAAGCTTCTTCCGGCAATATTCTCCGAATGTACAAAAACAGCCTTTCTCCTCAATCTTTTTACAGGATTTCCATTCTCATCATGCTTTACAGTTTCTTCTACCTGAATGAAGTTAAATGAAAGTATGTTACTGGAAATTTACAATAAGTCTTAGGTGTATAGCATCAAGCAAATTTATTATGAACATCAAGCAAAATGCAATGACAAGAGAAGATCTGACTTTTTAACATACAAGAAGATCAGCTAGATACATCAGTTTTAAACCTGAACATCAACTAAGCTGAAGTAATAGTCTTCTTCTACACATGGCTAGATTTTACAAGGGTTCAGACAACTGTAAATTACAAATTACAATGCATAAGCCTAAACGTACATGTGTACCAACAATATTGTTCAACAAACTAAGATTACTAACATTCATAGAGACTCAACTTACAACTGGAAGGCCTAAATTTCTAAATACATACACATCACATATCAAAGCAAGTGCTGTATATATAATTTGTAACAAAAGATATAAACTATCACCTTTTTCTTGAAAAGACAAGATCCTTGCCGAAACAATTCAGGAAGCGTTTTGTAATTTATACCAAATTTCTGAAAGAGAAGCTCATTTTTCTGCTGTTTTTGTGTATCCTGCAGGTATAGATAGAAATCGTGTGATCAAACAATGTAATATCATTACTAAGCATGAAACTAGGCTTAAGAAGGTAAAGGGCCATTTTGACATCTGTATTAGAAAATAATAATTATAGTCGTAGTGTATCCTGCAGACAAAAAACATTGATCTCTGCCATAGAAAAGCACGAACAACACACCTTTAGAATCTCTTGAGTTTCACTTATGCTCTTTCCACTTTTAACTAACATCCAGAAACAAGTGTCATACTGATTATTGGTGTGGCCTGCAACCAGAAAACGGAAGTTGTTATTAGTTCGCGAAGATAATTCATGCCAAAAAGTATAAGTAATATCTGGAACCTAAATTATCATGAATTTGTGTCGAGTACAATATTTATGATGTCAGAATGTCTTACAGTCATGTTGTCTCCATGCGAGATAAGCTTGAAGAACTTCTGCGGATGCACAACTTACAACTTTTGAACTGAAGGAAGGAGCATATTCTAATTTCTTTTGGGGAAAGAACTCTTTCCATTTTGTTACATAAATAGCAGCAAAGAAGGAAGCTACCAACGACAAAATCTTACTGCATATAAACCAAAAACAAGAAAGTAAAAAACTATGAGTCAACCAGACAAAAGACTCTATACAATTGTGTAAAAGTGTCTCTTCAAGTAAACTCGCTTCTGAACAAGAAACATTGATAAATTTTAATGGAATCAAAACCTGGCTCGTCTCTGGTAGAATCTTGATGTTCTCTTGAATACAAAGCTACAAAAGACATGGAAACAATTAAAATCTTGTACATGACATATACATGTATGGGTAAAGATGTAAAAATCTAAAACAAATAAATCCAATGAAGTGAATTTAGGACCTGTATTCGTCACTGTATCCATAAGCAAAAATGATGTCAGGAAACTCTTCCAAAACCGCAGCTGAACATGAATTCATCAAATTGAGGGCTGTTTCATCATTAGGCTTCTCAAACTCATGAACTTGGGAAAATCTATAGTTACCAAAGAAGGTAAGCAGGTGTCAGTAAAAAGCCCAAAAAAAAAAACATTCTTTTAGGGACAATGTGAAATCATGCTTCCAAAATCCATTAAAGACGCAGCCTTTAATCATTATTTTCCCTCAAATTATTCCAGAGATGCTACAATCTACACACCATCACCATTGACATTGTATGGAATAAAAGCGAGGAAAAAATTACCTAGAAAAATGACGACCATCGATCCGAACAACCATCAAGTTAGGAAGCATGACTTCATCCTCCACTTCGAATGACTTCACATACTCGTATTTGCTATTCGCCATATCCTCACGAAAGTCTCTGCTTCTTCTTTCTTCTTTGTTCTACTCTCTCACTTTGAAACTTTCAGCAGACACAAAAAAAAAAACACTGCAATCGAACCGGATACTAAACCGAAAGCTGAGCCGGTTCTCTACACCATCATTATCGTTAATCCAATTTTTTTTTTAACTGAAACCAGGCAGGTGTGTGTGTTCAGTTGACTAGGGTTCCATCGGTTCGATTGAAACCGGTTTCTTGCTATTAATATTGAAAACCGGATTACATCTAAACCGGTCAGATTTGGTTCTCTTTTAATTTCCGGTCGTTGCTTGAGTTGTGACCATTCCGGTTCCCCTTCAAATTATTTTCCTAAATTCTAAACCGGATAGCCAATATTGAAGTGTTCCAAGTTTTGGCTAGCCATAATTTCGAAAATACAATTTGTCAATTGCAATGCCTCGTTGCCTGAGTCTCCCATTGGCCATTAGACCATTACAATTTCACATACGCTTTTCACAAGTAAATTGTACAAATGATCAAAATTGCAACAAAACTGAAATGGACATAGTCCAAAGGTTATAATGAGTTCCAACACACAAGTTTAGTGTTTGTGATTATGGATCTATTTATCAATAAACTACCACTATCTTAGCTACTATACCCTACAGAACAGTGTAACAAAACCTCTCTTAATAGCTCAGCGCAGATAAACAACATCTGATACCTACAGGACACTGAAACAAAATCTGTAGAAGAATCAGAGCGCAACATATAAGTTTTATTTCACTTCTTAGAATCATTAGGCAAAGATCCTCACCTTTTCCCTTCTGGACATACACTGAAATAACTCCTGGGAACGCTAACAGCTTGACTCAGCTTGTATTTTCTTCTTTTACTACACTTTTAAGTTTACAATCCTTGTGTGGATTTTTTCGTTTTGCTTGAATATGATGCACAAACGCAGCTACTATAACATGGAGCTTTGGGGGAGGCTTGCTTGTTGAAGAGACATTGTGACCAGCATCCTTTAAAGCTTTAGCAACATGCTTTTGGGCTTTCTGGAAGTGTACATTACAAAGTACAGGAACAGTCGACGCAAGTGTTGGTTTTCCACAAAGTAAGGGTCCTGCTGGAGCTCTGAATGTACAATCCAAACAATGCAGAGTTAGGAGAGAACAGCTTAAAATATCATTATATATGCTAATTACAACCAGTAAACAAAATTACCTATATATGAAACCTAGTATTATTAAAACCCAAATCTGAATCCTGGTTTATGTTTTAATACTACCCACAATGGGACTATTCTAACTCAACTACATTTTCACAGAGTTTCATCCCGTTGTTCAGTTAAAACTCATTGTTAAAGATGAACTAGTTATGCTAATATTCATAATCCTACCTCATTTGCAAAGACACATCAATAGAGACATCTTTTGTCAGTTATGTATATCAACTGGAATAACGCAGCACATCAATCAAGTTTATAAAACACAGCCAAATCTACAAAAATGGTTACCGAGGAATACTATATCGGTGTCCAAAGCTAAAACATCACCCAAACCCTATGGAAAACTTTGAAAAAAGAGCCAAGTGTCAAATCCCAAATCCTTTCTGCATACTTGAAAAGGAGAAACAATTTACATAACACAAACTGTCTTGCCGTTTTAATTCATCAGCACTACAACACCTTAACCAAATATAATATGTAAAGAACACAACTTGAAGCACCAATTACTTTGGTTTATACGAGAATTTCAAAACCAAAGAAAGGGAAACTGAAACAAACCGTTTAATGACGTTTGTACAACCAGTGTAGAGCTTCTGCTTACTATCCTTAAGAATATGCAGCTGACAATACTTCGTAAGCGCCATAGCTTTAGCTTTGCATCCATACATACAACTCCCACTATTACTATTCGCATACTGATCACTCTTAACACCATTACCACCATCATTGTTAGTACCATTGTCTCCACTACCTTCAACAGCATCACCATCTCCGATATCTCCCTCTTGACCAAGCCTCCGTCTCTTATTCGATTGATTATGTTCGTCTTTAAACGGACTAATCCCATACTTCCACCAATAATCCCTGTGTTGTGCCTTGACACCCTCCATTATAGCCCAATAATTGTCTCTATAACACTTGGCGAGCTGCATCAGGTTGCGTGATCGGCGATGGAGAAGCTCCGGCCGGGTTAGGTGACTGGAAAGTGCGAGGATTTCATCTTCTTGTGACATCGTAATCGGTAAAGTCGACGGTAAAACGTTTGTGCTAGGGTTAGGGTTTAAGGTAGGGTTTCGAATTTGGGGTTCGGCTGAGGTGGAGGCCACGGCGGAAGTAGATGCACCGCCGGAGGAAGACGGAGGTCTTGGTGGTTTCAATGAGAAAGGGTTTTGCTGTATGTTCTTGGAAGCTGACGCCATTGCCGTCGTCGGAAAATGACAAAGCTTTCAAAATCAGAGATTTTTGTCGGAAATGAAACAATTTTAATATATAAAAAATTAGCACTTAAATTTTAAAATATATTAAAAGCTCATTAAATGTCCATTGGGCCGAATTATTCAACAAATAGGCCCAAATTCAATTGGATGTGAAACCTAAGTTTCTGAATTAGGTCAATATAAATACTAAAATCATATCCGATAGCGAACACGAGCTTACCGATTCTCTTCTGTCTCAACATTTAGGGTTTCAGAGATCGGCTTCCGATTTTGACATCCACAAACATGGCGACTCAAATCAGCAAGAAGAGAAAGGTGAATTTCTGATTTCATTTTTTGGTTTCAATGGATTTCTCTAGCTGTGTCGTATTGGAACTGATTTGGTTACTGTGTTTGTAGTTTGTAGCAGATGGTGTATTCTACGCTGAATTGAATGAGGTTCTCACTAGAGAGCTTGCAGAGGATGGTTACTCTGGTGTTGAAGTTAGGGTTACTCCAATGAGGACTGAGATTATCATCAGAGCTACACGTACTCAGAATGTTCTCGGTATGTTTGTTGATCATTTCTTCTCTTTCGATTTAGGAACTGTGAGAATTTGTTTCGAGATCTGATATTGAAAATGTTGGGTTCTTAGGTGAGAAGGGGAGGAGAATTAGGGAATTGACATCCCTTGTTCAGAAGAGATTCAAGTTTCCAGTAGACAGTGTTGAGCTTTATGCTGAGAAGGTTAACAACAGAGGTCTCTGTGCCATTGCTCAGGCTGAGTCTCTACGTTACAAGCTTCTTGGTGGTCTTGCTGTTCGTAGGTACGTCATTTCTCTAGTTTGTTTTTATGTATTCTCTTGCGATTTGTATATTACTTGTTTGATTAGACATAGCAATTGAGACTGTTGTTTAGCTATTGATTAGACATAAGCAGTTTATCAAACCTAATAGTTAAATGTATATGTAAATGCACACGCTTTATGGTTTCTGTGTTATTGTTTTGTCTCTATCTACTGAGCACGCTGGTCATACATAATGTTTCGACCAGGTCTTGTCTATGTCCTGAGTGTTGTCATCTCTTGTTTCACTTGAACTTCTAACCCCCAAGATGTTTATATTGCAATGGTTGTTTGATGTACAGGGCTTGCTATGGTGTTTTGAGATTTGTTATGGAGAGTGGAGCAAAGGGATGCGAGGTCATCGTGAGTGGAAAGCTCCGTGCTGCACGTGCTAAGTCGATGAAGTTCATGGATGGTTACATGGTTTCATCTGGTCAACCAACTAAGGAATACATTGACTCTGCAGTGAGACATGTTTTGCTTAGACAGGTCAGTTTTCTCCTGAGTTTCTTATTTTCCATATAGTGAGTTAGTTATACCGGCTTTTTCTAATATTGTCCGCATGTGCAGGGGGTGTTGGGAATCAAGGTGAAGATCATGCTTGATTGGGACCCTACGGGCAAATCAGGACCGAAGACACCATTGCCTGATGTTGTGATCATTCATGCTCCTAAAGATGATGTTGTCAACATCGCGCCTGCTCAGGTTGCTGCTCCAGTTACTCTTGTGCCAGAAGCTCCACTCACAACCGTAGATTACCCTGAGATGATTCCTCCAGTGGCCTAGAGAAGACCTTTTTTACTATTACTCCATGGGATTTTGTTCTTTTTGTTATAACTTTTCTACTTCTTTTTGACAGTCGCTAGTCGTATCTCTTATATCCTCCAAGCAGACAAGTTTTTCTCATGTTGTTTCTTAACCTATGTCAAAGTTTTCTGGAGGTTGAATGCTTTTAGTTCCATGAATCTTTTGGTCTTAAGACTCTTAATAATAAGAACAAGAATGACGAGTATGCTTGTATATTTGTTGTACATGATTAGTACTTGTAACAAGTAACTTGTTAGACATATTGAAAAAGAATAATGAGACAACAAACACATTAATACAAGTTTAACATTTGGATTGCTGGTCCTTGTAAATATCTTACGAGATTGGCAGAAAAATTGTCAAAGATTTTAGATAATCCATTCTATCCTATGATGATATAATTATTTATTCACTGGTTAACTAACATCTAGTGCAAATAATCTCAAAATGTGTTTTACTCAGAAGACTTTATTCGAACATCAAAAACTAAATATTTGGAGCTCTCATTAAATGGTCTTTTATGCTTTTACAAAAGGGTAAAGCTCATATCTAAAAGTACAACTCGGATTCAAAACTCTTCCTCCTTGTTTACCGTTGCAACATCTGGGAAGCTTCGCAATAATCGAATCCAAACACACACTGCAATTTTTAACCGATAAGTCTTGTGTACACTGCATCATTCCGTACAATTTCATCGTCCCGAGACTTTCCTCCCCCGTCGCATACATGTAGTCTCTTGTGTAAGGCTCTTGTTCTTTACGAGTTGCTTTCTCCTTCAGCTTATATAGAAGAGCCCTTGTGTTCTTGTTGAACAACTTTGTATTGCCGCTCACATCTTTGGCATTGTGCAAATACAAATAGTGCTTGTAATCGACCTTCTGAAAGGTATATATCTCGGAAATGTAGAGAAAACAGTTGTCGTACCATATTATCCTCCCTCTGTTGCTCGGACATCTCCTAAGAATCTGTCACATATTTACAATATATCTAATTATGTTCAGACATATTTCCTAAGAAATGCTAAAATATAACTAAGACTGATGTATGCATGTGCATTTATATATGTAAGTATATGTGACAGACAGCTATTCGATAATATTGAAATGACGTTACCCCAGAGAAGGCGGTTAAGAGGCAAGAGCGGCACTTGGATTCAGAGGCATCACCCCGACATTGGACCTTGATGTAGTAGCTCTTGGAACCCGCACCACCTACACCGTGGACGAAACCGTAGTCTAGCATGTTAGACATAATGTCAATATGATCTTTGAGTTCGCTCTCGTATGAAATCTTCTGCTTGTATGTTCCTTCACTGTTGATGCATATGTGTTGCAGATACGAATTGGTCTGGTTTAGGGACAAAACATTGTGGATAAAAGAGAGTTGCATGGCTACCACGGCCAAGATAGAGATCGATACAGAGGACGAAGACATCATATCGTACGTGTTAGATTTTTTGATATTTGCTTATTTCAGTTTGTAGAAAAAAATGTCGCTAGTCTTTTAAGTGACAAGAGAGAGGAGTTTTGGGGTTTGAGACTTGGTATTTACGGCGAGGGAAAAGGAGGACCGATGAATAAGTCAAAAGTTGAAAAGTTTTGAAACTATTAAAATCTGAATTTACTCTACATTAAAATTTCAAATATGTTTCCGGTTATATAAGCCTCCATGCAAATCAATGTACATCTCAAATGACGTACCAGCCAAATGTATAAGGCAGCTTATTGTGATATAGTCGATTAACAGAGTAGCAAAGAAGAAGACATGGTGTTATGTTTTAAGCTCATGGTTTTTTATCTGATCACAGAGCAGAGAGTTCGACTTCTTGAGTGGAAGGTCGATAAGCTACGAGGTGCTATCAGTTGAAAAAGAGCCTGGATTGAAACATGTTGCTCCCCCAAATTTGCAGACCTTTTGCTCACTCTTATCACCTAATACTATCTGTTTTGCAAACAATAACAACAAGTCAACAACAATCCTTTCTTGTTTTAAGGCGGGTTTCGCGCTTCCAAACTTGGTGGAATTGGATCCATAATAAGAAGATTTAAGAATGTACCGTGTGAGGAGTTGGGTATAGTCGTAGACAGTGATCATAGTTCCAAATGATTGGTTGAACCAAGAGAGGTAGAGGACATAGATGGCTCTGATGAGTTAATGTGGAGACAAGCTGAACCAACACATTTCACAAGTTTCAGATTATTCGAAAAACTGTAAAATCAAAACTTGGAAAATAATGGAGACAAGCAATGTGTTTACGTGTTCGAAGGGGTCGTTAGTTTCTTCTGAGGAAGGGTTTATTAAGCATGAACTGCTCATCCGGTACACAAGGTCTTGTTGGAAGAACACAATCTCCTGATTGTAGAACTTAACTCTGCATTTTACAAAAAGAAGATCATTTGCTGTAGCTTTTGTGTCCATAAGACTAAAAACCATAATGATGAACAATAGAGAGTACTTCACAAGCAGAATAGATAACTCACCTGCAAGGATTGCTTGAAAATATCGCATTGGGAATAACTTCTCGAAGCTCTTCGGTTGAATACTCTGGTAAACCGCATCTTGGCAAGACTGTCAAGGGACCTGTCGGATATAATGAGTTTTTTATTAGCCATGTCTCCTCATGGTGACCCTGGCTTTATTTAGATGATGATGGAGATTGTACCTGCGTCATCAGGACCTGGAATGAATAAAAACCGACTGTTTGCTTTTAGCCCAAGTTTACCAAACTGCTTCCTGAAAATGAAATGGATGCACGTCCTCAAGAATATGTGTATAAGAACAGATTCTCGATATCACATTTGAGGAGATTATAACTACAATGATCTCTTACCTTAGACTTGAATAAGAACCAAACAATAAGTTGCATGGGCGAGAACAGAAGTTTCCCATGAAAACACACAAAGTGGGCACTATCTCCACACTTTCAGAACCATCAAGAACCGTTTCCAGCTTCCCGAGAATCTTCATTACGGACAAAACATTTTGACCGATTAAGCAATGCTCTTTAAGCACAAAAGGAGGCATTATAACAAAGATTGAAGCTAAAGATACAGTAGTTAGTACTCCAACTCACCTCTTCATCATCCAGCCATATGTTGTGATCCGAATTCAGAGGCAAAAAGAACATATTTATTTTCTGCTGTATGTAAAAGGCATCAGACTGGAAATTTACAACTTTCTCAATCCAGAAAAACAAACGACGACTCAGGGATTACCATCTCGTCTTTAGTTGGCCTGCCACATCCAAAGAAGTCGTTTTCAGAATGTATCCTTGGTGTTTTATCCCTGTCTTCTAAAGAAGGAAATCCGCATGCAATCACCTTTACCAAACATGAGGGGAAAAAAAGACTTCAGAAGAGGACGAGTTAGTCAAAATATGTTCACTAATCTAATTCTGAGATTTGTGACAGACTGACAGGCAATCATCATTCCACTGATGGGAACATACATTTTCATATTCCATTGAATCTATTCAGGTGTGTTTTTGGAGACTTATGTACGTATTATTGGTAACAGAGGAGACCATACACACGACTTAGTTCTATATTCCCACCTAACTAACATCTTAATAAATCAAGATGAACAACAGTCGATTAAAGATCGTAGATGCTATGAATGTGCACTGTAGCATATTCTAGTTTACCTGAAAGATACCATTGTGTATTTCACCTTGTGCCAAAATGATAGTATTCTCTGTGAAAAACCATGTGGTCTTCTTGTACTGATTGTCATAGAAAAGTAGTCATAATGCAATTCTTTGGCTGTAATGTACTACAAATCAATCTCTACAGAACCTGAAAGGTCTTCAAGGTAGAAATGTCCATCTTCCAAGTGTGATATCATGCCCATCACCCATTTCTTCCCCATTTCAAATATTAGAGATTGGATTGAAGATATCTACAAGAAAGAACATGTAATTACACACACACATTTGACAGGAAACTTATAAAACCAACCTCACGCTTATTAAACTGCAGCATTTCAGCATCAAATATTGTTGGCCTAGAAAAATACTCAGCGCGAGAAACTCTCTGCGGCAGCCTCACCGTGAACAGGCAGATTACTCTCATGCCTGGAATCAATATAGTACACAAAATTGTTTATGCCATCAACATCGACATCTACCAAGGCACGAGGGGACATTTTCTCTGCACTTTATCATTCTCGCACCCTTTTTTTTTTTTTTTGCTTTCCTCTCTCTTTCTTTTCTATGTATCTTTTGAAAATCCCCAAGTCGGCGGGAAACGTGTATTCGGAAGTATATTTACATAATTGCCCTCCAGCGACAGTGAAGCTGAACCGGGTTGGCTTTTTGATAGGTATACAACAATGTGTAAAAAAAAACGACTCAGATTTCATTTCCGGTTAAACGATTTAATTTACCACACAAAAACACTAGTAATGTTAAGGATTAAATATAAAAAGCCGGTAAGCTTGGAAAGTTTGACAAACCAAACCACAATTGGCACTGCAGTTGTCTTTAGGAGACTGCGGTTCCAAATCTGAAGTAGTTGGAACCTTCAGAAAAATATTATGTTATTTTTCTATCCCAGTTGGTCACTGGTGAAATATCTCTTTTTGGGAAAGGACTCAAGTTTAAGTACAAGCCTCGAATTATAATGGCTTTACAAAAAAGAGTCACTATGAGTCTATGACCAGTGGCCAGTGTAGTTCTACTACTCACTAATTAGTCTCTCTGTACAAAAAAATCTGAGTGTTGCAAAGCTAAACAATAACATATGCTCTCTCAGTGTAAAGAGCTACAACATTATAAAGGGATGATTGTTACTACCTCTATAGTTTTAGTCAGCCTATTAGTCGGTCCAGTCTATTAGTTCACAACGAGGAACACAGATTTTCGACTGTTGTGCTTCTGCTTCTGTATCATTCACAACACCTCGGCACCCTTGGAACCCACATGAACATGAAAGGCGTTCACCAATTGAAAAGAACCTGTAAATTACAAGATCAGCGTTAGTAGAAAGCAGATGATTTATAAAATATCTCAAATGATTTAAAGGGCATAAAAATGAAACCTATAGTCATAGGTCAGCTCTTCCCACTTAGGGATATCCCTCTTTGCGAAAATGATAATGTGTTCCTCTCCATTAACAGTGATGACTCTTGAATAGCAATTAGGCTGCATAAGTGGCAGGCAATAAATGCTTACATTTTTTTTTGCAGATGCTAACCAAATTGAATACAAGCAACTAAGTTTGACGGATCATAGTCATTACCACACAGGAATGATTAATCAGGTGGGCAATGCTTCCTGCCCTTGTAGCATCTATGACTCGCTTATCATCAATTCTAAACATGTAAGTCCCTGCACCCTGTCACATTAGAATTTTTTCCTTTTTCTCAGATATTGATTAATTCATCGGCATCCAAGATTTATACTATTAAGGGAATGCTATGAAAGAATATTGCTCGAAGAAGAAGAAAACAAAAGGTAAGGAAAATACATAAAATTACTGTTTTAGATTATGAAATAAAGGTACAGGTTAATCCGACTGATTGTTCCATTACTGGTTATTGAATTTTACGTCTAGAACCAAAAAGTCAAAAGTTAGTAAAGTCAAAAATACGTACCACCATTGAATTGTAGATAAGACGTTCTCTTTTGTCAGCTATAGACGGTCTAACAAGTTCTCCGGTGTATTCAATCATCTGCACAGGAATCATAAAATGTTTCATGAGTGACACTTTCTAAAGATGAAGAAATGTCCAGTTCCAGGTATGCTCACCATATCTCCGGCCTTGTGCGGAAGTTTTGCGAATATGCCAAAACCATGAATTCCTGATTTCCCTGAAAACAAAAAAAAAAGGAACGAACTTCTAGAAGATCTTTCTGAAAGAAGCATAGGATTGTGACTAGATCATTCTGAAAGGAATCCTACAAACTATTTTATCTTACAGAAATTAAAGAAGTAAGAATGCTTACCAAATGCCAATCTCTTCCTGTATGTTTCCTTCATGTATCTATATTTTTCAGCCATAGAAAGAATGTTGCTTGGAGTATTCATCTGTGACACCTTGGATCCGTGAATGCATTCATAAGTTGAAAACTCAAGTTTAGAGTAACCACCAATAACATATGGCTGATTCTCAACAAATAACCGCTTTGAAGAAGCAGCAGCAAGAGCTTCAGGTTCCTTCCGCCCTCTTCTGCCAAAACAATTATAAGGCTCTGCAACAATAGAGGAAATTATGTCGAAATTATCATCTATACTGACCCATAGTATGCAAACACGAATAAAAGTAGAAAAGAATGAAAACAAAAAAATGCATAAGACTAGAACTTTGTATCAAATATAAAAAATGTTTGTATAGAAAATAAGAAACTACTATCTTAAGAGGATATGTAAGAACATGAAAGAGAACAAAACACACATGGCCGTATGCGAGGTAAAAGAATAATGATGAAATAATCCTATCCCAAGAGTGTGGTGTAAATCTAAATTTTAAGCCTAGCATCCACAGATCAACGCAGTAGCTACATACCAGTCCGAGCACAGCCAGATGGATTAGGTGGTGGGAGATACTCGGAAGTTTTATGAGTAACGGATTTGATCCTGTTCTCTGATCCTAGGCAGGCAGTTGATGTTTGTCGATGCCTCTTGCAGAATGAAAGCATGCGGATACACTGATCTGCTTCTTCATCCTCCACTGACTGAAGAAAAAGTCTATCCTCATTCTCAAGCTACATGGACAGTCAGGAAAGCAATAATCAGTTAGAAACATCTCTTCTGTGGATTTGCTGTGTTTGAGTACATGTGTGTAAGTGCAAAAGCAAAATTTCTGATTCCCTGTAAGATATGGAAAGTACCTCAACACAGAGACCAGCAGCTCGCGCGCAGAGTGGATGATATGCCACACGACAAGAATTGTTCGAACACTGAAAAGAGTCATTTTAAAATTATATATATATATATATATCAACTCTTGATGGCCTTTGACTGTCAAAATTGCATGCACTGATGCACAGCCGTTTAAATAATATATGTAGCGACATTCCATTATTCAGAACAGGCACGAGATAACTGACAAACATAACTGTAACTTCAGCAGATATCACAGTGCACAATTTTAAAAATATAGATCAATAAGGAAACTGCATGGGACTTAAAATCTCAAACAGTGGACAGAAAAAAAAAACAATATATAAGTTCTAATATATCCGCTGAAAGACTCATAGATTCCACATTACTGTCAAGTGGACTTTGAATATGCATCATTTCTCGAAAAAATCCAATAAGTTGATATTTCTGTAAAAGTCACCAACTTCGGAAGCAATAGAAACTCCAAAAGGGTTTACAGGAATGATCAGAAAATCATGCTACATTTTTCTACTGAAAAAGCCAGTAATATTGGCAGCATTTTCGTCAGGCAATTTCAACTAGATTACTGTTCTATGTGAATAGAACACAATGCATAAGAATGATTCAGTTTTCTCTTAGCAAAGAACGAAATCTTACTTGGATACAAGCTCCATAAGATACCCCGCAGATGGTGCACATTAATTTCCAGCGATCCTAGTTTTAAGAGTAAGGAAAAAGAGGAAGAGGGATAAGAGTTTTGAAAAGGCCACAGTACCAAGGTAAAGGAATCCGGAAAAGAAAATGAATACGTACCTTACTGACTTTATTCACCCCATCAATCGGTTCCATCTTCTTGACATCAGATAAACATGTTTCTGGATGAAATAACAAGTGTTAATTTGTAAACAGGAAAATAATACGGCCTCCTATTCTTCAGTAGAAAGACTTATACAGAACAACAAATCATTAAGATTGAACCTGGGATCCATATAGCACAAGCAAGATGAGCCCAGCGCCCATCAGTTGTCTGCTTCATAGCACCCCCTAAAAGAAGTATCAATTATTCACTAATGAAAGCACATAAAGACTCCATACACCAAATGGTACGGTCAAATTACCTACTAAAGGACAAAGACAACACCGTGGAGGTACATCAGGAGCGCCAGGACGACATAAGTTGCATAACCACAAAGCACCATCACAGGGTTCTAGCTCTCCATAGCATTTAGCATGGACCTAAAAAAGTGGACCAGAAATTTCAAATTAAGTCATACCCAAGAGAAAGAAAGAACATAAGGCACTATAGAGTATACATCTAAGAGATATACGATATCTAAAAAAGCTCAGAGCATGAGCAATACCATCATTCTACATTTATCACACTGCAGGAACAAATTGTTCTCATACTCCTGCAGACAAAAAATATATAAATCAGAACTAACTTTTTAAAGAGCAAAAGTTTGAAATCTCATGGGAAACAAAAAAAAATGTACCCTTTACCTCATCCATGTAACAGACATTGCACTTATCGAGATCTTTCCAGTCCACACGGACAGGTCGATAACCAGTAGCCTGACTTTGATGCCTTCCCAAACTATATTTGCACATGGAAACATTGGACGATGGTCTGGATTTTGATAAATCCTGCTAGGTAGATTGGTTTATTAGGTGAAACATATATTAAGTGTAGTCACTAGAAGCTAAACAATATGTAATGGTATAAAACAGGGAACATGCACCAAGCAGTATAAAGAGAATTAATCATAAAAGTTTGCAAAATCTATCAACCATCTTGATAAGTATCTTCCTCATGAAAAAAGAAAAAAGTGATATGTTCTACAAAACGTGGTTTGCTATAAGACTGCAGAAAAAGAACACACTTTAGTTTCACTAAGAGCACAAGTTTTCTTACAATCAGTCCACATATTTTATCCTTAAAAACTCTGTAAATACTTGTGAAGCTGGCTTCAGTTAAGAGCTTTTAACGTAATTTAACAGTTTAACCACAGAAGAGAAAGCAACCGTGACAACTAAAGAAAAGAAGTCTTACTCACTAGACAGAAATGATTATTTCGTAGGTGAAGTAAGTGCTGTCTCATTGATGAATATGTGATTCTAATATGCTTTTGGACCGAAAATAGCGACTTAGAATACCCACAAACCAATTAGCAAAGAGCTGCATAGAAATATTTAGTGCACAAGCTTGAAGATCTTAGAAGAAAACTTGGTTTTGAGCATTAAACATAACTGAGACCCGCTTATACGTTTTAGAGACAAAACAGAAGTCAGCACCACAAAATATTCAGTGTCCAGACAATTATATGATTCTTATGACTTATGAGACTGAAATGCATGTGCAAGCAGATTATCATGAAAACACATGCCCACCACTACAAACAAGTTTTACATGCAACGACAAGATACCTGTACAAGTTTAATGACTTCCGGGTTGGAAAGACCAAACATATCTGTACCAGATCCATTTAGTTCCTCCCCCAAAACATTAGGACCATCAGTAGTATTCTGGACCTTTCTTATCCTGTTATATATCTTATTCCAGCAGGCCGAGGGAGTAAGCCCTTTGAACTGCCAAAAGATTAGTTACCGATGTTAGCCAGAGATACACTCTTGACCTGGCAACTTCAATAAAACAGATACAGTAAATTAGATATGTTTAAATCACCTGCTCTCCACTATCTGCAGTCACTCTAAACAGAGGGCGAGTCTTTGACTCGGCATCTCTGAGAACTTCCATCTTGTACAAAGCAGACACACTATGATCTGCTTAAAACCAAAAGTAACAACCCACATCACATTGATGAACTAATCTCAATCAACCAAATATGGAAAATTACTGATTTATAAGGAAAAGCCAAAAACTGATTAACAAATAACCTTTTAGTGATGTGAACTTTCTCATAGCCGTATACCCTTCAGGCCAAATATGATTCTCATCCTTGAAAAACTGAGAGTCTGTCACAACCTTTCCTGTAAGACAAGTCATACGCCCATGCATGATCAATGGAGTTCATATCTATAGCCAACTAAAATAATCAACCATTGAATGAAGGATTATACACCATACTTATAAGTTTCAAGCCTTACCAAGATTTATTATTTGCAGATCCCCTATTGTATGACGGAAGTCTACATGTTCTGTTGGTCTCAACCACACTTCTCCATCATTAAAAAGATCACCACCCAAGTTTCCCTCTTCTGTACTATTAGCGATTTCAGAATCAACATCAGCTCCTTTTTGAAGTTGACTCATCCTTTCTGGAAGCCTATGTTCCTTCAGATACCTGGGTGAGGCAACATAACAGAAATTTCAGGACAGGCAACATGTCCAGGTTTCAAGAAACATCAGGAAGAAATGATTGGTCTAATTGTTAACGCAACATGTACTGGAAAATCAAGAAAGCAGAATGCCAAAGAAAAGCGAGAGTGACTTGCATTTTTGCTTCCTGCATGCCCTCTTCAAAACGCGGTTGTTTGCACTTCAGGTGAGATGGCGAGAGAAGCCCTTTGATAAATGAGATTGCTTGCTTTACTTTTATTCTATAAAACCAAAGGAAGTTAACTTCAGCTTGATAATGTGTAACATTCATCTCAACAACTCAGTAGCAAAACTAGATATGTAAATATTTAGATAACGCTGACTAACCTAGCAAAATCATGAGTGCCAAAAAACTGGACCAAGAGTGATCCTCCTCCAGATACCTTGTTGTTTAGACCTTTCCGCTCTCCGATAACGGATTCATCTACAATAACTGCTGGCCACATAGCATGACCTGTCCGAATAGGAAAGCAAACGCTTCTATGGAAGTCAATAGGTAGTTTTCTTTTTGTGTATGCTTCCAACAGCATCAACTTGCTGATAGCATAAAGAGGTTTTTTTTTTTAATATATGCATAAAAAGCGGAAATCAGTTTAGTACAAACCAGCTAGTTTCGCCCATACAATGTCTCCAGGCTCAAAATCTTGACATCCCTCCAGAGTAGCTGCCAATACAACCATCTCATCATAATCACGGCCACCAACAGTTACATCACTAGTACACAACTTCAGATGTAACAGCTCCATCTCTTCACGAGAAACCAAAAATTTGATCATTTCACGATCAAGAATTATATCCTCATCATATCCATCCCCATATTTAGCCTAAGGAAGAATTCACCCACGGTTAGAAAATGAGCTTTTATATATTTCATAGCTCACGAAAAGACCAACTCAGAACTCAAGTAGAGAACTACTTACAGTGTGACGCTTTCTCTCTGCACTATATCCAACAATAGCACCTTCATACCAAAGAGCGTCCAGCGGCCAAAAAACCTAGGGATTAAACGACAATCAATTGTTAAGATGTCCCCTTCACAAAAAAGTGGAATGCAATAGCTTAAAGTGGAAAATTGTCTAGTTAAAACACTTGCCTTGCATTGCAGCCCTATGAAACTTGTAGGATCCACACCATCATAACTCAACCTGCCACATCAAAACTCCATCATACCAGACCCAAAAAACAAGGAGTTTGCCCACTAACAATAAAAGGTCAACACATTTCAAAGTCTGAACTAGGAAAATCGTCAGTGCAAAACAACAGCTCGGAAAAGACCACACAATTTACAAAGTCCATGAATTTCAACAGTTAAAGAGATGATAGATAGACCTAACCTGACCCATTTCTTAGTTGTACGAGAAGCTAAAGAAACCTTGTCCTGATTCTTGATAGAAGTCCCCTTCCTTCGAGATGATCCATTTTGCTTATTTCCACTAAACGCATTGTTATCCTTACACCTTCTTAAACCAATAGAATCCATACCCGATTTCACCAACTCGGAATTACCAATCTTCCTTTTCTTCTTCACCTCAAAACAATCAATTTCATCAAGCTCCACGCTTTCAGTCTTCACAGCCACCGCCTGATCTAGCAAAAAATCCCGTCGCGGCTTCTTACGGCGACGATAGTAGACACGAACAATCTCAGGACGCTGAGTCCGCAACTTGTAATCATCCGAACGACAACAATCGGCACTAGCACTCACATCGCTACTTTCAACCTCAAATTGCTCAATCATCGGAAGCTTCTGGGCCTTAACCTTCTTAGACATCAGACTGTGAGAACCAACGGCATTAACACAGCACAATACCGACGAGGAAACAGAGTACATACTCTCAATAGAATCGTAGCGAATTGGAGTTTCCACGAGGTCGTGGACATCAATTTCGATCTGGGTTTCGTTCGAAACACACGCCATGGAGATTATTCGGAGAAGAAAGCACAGGGCTTCGTAAAGGAGACACCTTTGCTCACACTCACCATCCTTCCTTCACTAAACCCCCAAAAAAATTGCTAGGGTATTTCGTGGATGAGAGAAATTAGGGTTTAGAATGGTGAATCAGAGAAAAAGGGGATAAAAAAAAAGAAAAACAGATCCTTTGGAGGGAGAAGCTAAAGGCTTTTTACGTTTCCCGCCGGGTTTATTAAGATGATGACAAGTCTTTCAGATCTGATGCTCTGTCTCCTTTTATATCTCCGCATACATACATTCATAGTGTATCTATATATATAGAAAATAATATCTGATTATTAAAACTAAAATATAATCCTTATCTAATAATTCACAAGTCAATTTACAAGTAACTGCAACCTTCTCCATCTGACATCTGGCTTAAGTCCCAAATTTTCATCTTTTACCTTTTTAAACAATTAAAATTTACTTTTCAATAGAACAAAAAAAAAAGTTACGATATTTTTTTTCTTTTGATACAAACGCTAACATCTCTTCTCCCACGATCTCAATATCAATCTCCACTTCTCCTCTAATTATTCAACAATGGAACAACAACATGGCTTCATAGAAAAAACTTTAAGATCTCTTCCTTTTCTGTTTCGTGTTTTCTCCAGCTTTGATCGGGTAAATTTTTTTAATTTCTTACATGTTCTGATTTAGGGTTTCATCAATGGCATCTCTCTTCTAATTGCAAACGCAACTTCTACTTCAAAATCTTTCGATTTATAAATTCTGTGTTTGAATTTCTCAATTCTGGTTTAGTTTGTTCATTATTGTTGTTAATGCCCATCCAATTTTCTATTTCACAATTTATTCTTAGTCTTCATAATTTCTAATTTTACATTTTGATTTGGATTTGCAGGTTCATATTCCAAACTCCATTCTCCAGATATGCTACTCAATATTACACCTATTTCCCAGTTAACTCTAGCCACTAATCCATGTAATATCAAAGTTCGAATTGTCATGCCACTGCCCACGATCTCAAGATTTTTTTTTTTTTTTTTTTTTTTTTTTTTTTTTTTTTTAATGTTTAATATAGTCTACTGAATTGCTTTATTGACTTGAATTTTACTGTTCGTACATTTGCTTTGAAGGTTAATTTAGAGTTGAACAATCTTCCAATTTATTCATTTTTGTATCAATTTATTATTAAAGTTGTTCTTTTTTGTGTTAGGATTCAAAAACAGAGGAATTATGGGGTAGTCATATGCTCGAATAGGAAGTCATTACCTGAGAAGATATGCAGTGGCTCACGGTTTACTCTCTCCCTCTCTCATATGTGCGCTTTCAAGGTTGACCAGATCATGTTATACACACAAAAAATTGTGATCGGGGTGAACAAGGTCAAGCGTGTGATCGAGAGAATGAAACACAACATCGATCATATGCAAAACACTAGAGAACCTCCTGTCTAACTCCAGGCGATGATAGTTGCAGCCGAAGCATATGCCATTCACTGAAGCAACCTAAGTCATGAAGATCTTACTCTATTTGAAGGTAATCTCTCACTGAATTTATCTTTCTAATCACTGTCCTTGGTTAAAACTTTACACAAACTTCTTATTATGTCTCCTTTTTCGTTAAAAATCTTTGAACAACGGAATCATTCTCACAATTAAAGGACTTCATTGAAAACAATCATCAAAGTCAGTGTCTTTTTTTATTTAGATCTTTGAGCATAAGTGAACTAATTTTTACACACATACCTTCCGTTAATGATTCTTACTAAACATATTTATACTTTTGATTACATGTTTTTTTTTTTTTTTTTTTTTTTTTTTTTTTTTTTTTTTTAGATTTAAAGTAAACATATTCTTCATTATTACATGGTATGGGACATATAAGACATAAAAAGGGCTCTTGAGTCATATATTTACTTAATGTTTTTCTGTACTTTGACAGGATTCCAATCTAAATTCACTTTGGGATTGGAAAATTGCCTCCTTAACAAATTGCATGAGAACTTGATATTATGAATGCTTAGATCTCTAGCACTGGAAGAGGCAAATGAAAGAATTTCTGCTTTGGCAATGAGACGCTAAAGTTCTTAAATCAAAGAATGAAGCATTAGAAATTTTTTAAGAAAATGGTGGAAAAAACTGCAAATGACTTCATGATTTAGTGAAGTTACTAAAGAAGAAAGTAAGGAAGGACGAAAAAAAAAAAAAAAAAAAAAAAAGAAGAAAGTAAGGAAGTCAAACGAGAGGTTGAACTCTGTAAAAGGGAGAGCTACCATGCATGAAGAGGCAACCGAATTATCTTTCAGTTCTGAATAATTTGATATGTTCTGTAGAATGTGTATGGAACCAAATTTTATGTTTCTTTTTTTGACAACTTAATGTTTCACGCCCATGCAAATGGAAACTGAAAATAAGAACGATATTGTTGATGACAACATGATTAGTTTTGTCTCAAGTTATACTCAAATAACAATTAATAGTATTTGATAATCAAATTTGTCATTTAATTAAATTTAAGTTAAAAACAATTTAATTTTAATTAAAAACCCTAAAGTCATTTTCTCCCGTGCAGAGCACGGGCATAATACTAGTATCTGTTTTATTCTCAGATAATTGTTGTTTATCAGTTTTTGAGTAATCTTTTGTTACATGGAAAATTTTATTTTATTTTATACATACATTTTTTTGGGTTTTAGTCTGTTAAGTATAGTGTTGCATAAGACATATTTTTCTGGTTAATCCAAATTAAATTCCATTGCAAAAAAAGGCAAGAGAGACTATAATTTGAATGAATGTATAGATTATCCGAGTTACACAAAAAAATTTATTTTCAATTGGGATTCTTCTAATATTACTACCTATTTTCTCAAAGAAGAAACTTGTTTTGTCAGAAAATTCCAATGATTTGCTCCCTCGGTACTAAATTAGTTTTAGATTGTCCATAACTTTTTTAGACAAATATATTTTAGCCTATAAACCTAGTTTATTGATAAATAATAGTCAAATATATATGAAGGATCTTTGTGATGGATACAAGTTTTTTTGTATCAGACGAATGGAAGTCTAATCCAGTATTTTAGGTGTGAAAAGTTGAAAGAAATACATGGGTGATGTTAAACGCATGTTTGAGTTTCTAGAGAAACATTCAAGTATCTTCCCTTATCTTCATTTTGGACTGAATGGCTATTCATAAGAATTACTTGATTTGGGTTCATAACCAAATATCTGTGACTGTGTGGTAGGAGTAATCTCGCTAAACTATAACTATAGAACAATAAGCGATCGACTGTAGTAAGGTTTTGCTAGATGGAAAATGCTGTTGATAACTCTAGCGCGTCCCAATAACTTTTGCAGTGTGTCATATATGTTGAATAAGGGCGTAATCATCATGGTTGAATTGTAGTTGCATTTCTTATGCACTAGCACACAATGCTCACTAATGCTCTAAATTGATTCACAAATGGATGTTTAACACTAAAGACAAATATTTAAAAAAATAAGGGTAAAATACTTGCTTTCATGAGCTTTAAGATAGGTGATGGCGTGTACCTCCAAAGTTCTTGCCATCAATTAGGCATTGGAGTCGTTTCCTAGATACTTGGGGCAGATTGGCGGCTTCTCGGATAGAACTTTGATACTTGGAGCAGATTGGCAGTTTATCACTTCTATGATAAACTTTATTGTCAAAGTATGCACATATCGCATTCGTTGGTTGGCTTTTTCTGGATACCCAAAATTTTTACACAAAACACAGTATACAAGTAACTGCAACCTTCTCCATCTGACATCTGGCTTAAGTCCCAAATTTTCATCTTTTACCTTTTTAAACAATTAAAATTTACTTTTCAATAGAACAAAAAAAAAAGTTACGATATTTTTTTTCTTTTGATACAAACGCTAACCTCTCTTCTCCCACGATCTCAATATCAATCTCCACTTCTCCTCTAATTATTCAACAATGGAACAACAACATGGCTTCATAGAAAAAACTTTAAGATCTCTTCCTTTTCTGTTTCGTGTTTTCTCCAGCTTTGATCGGGTAAATTTTTTTAATTTCTTACATGTTCTGATTTAGGGTTTCATCAATGGCATCTCTCTTCTAATTGCAAACACAACTTCTACTTCAAAATCTTTCGATTTATAAATTCTGTGTTTGAATTTCTCAATTCTGGTTTAGTTTGTTCATTATTGTTGTTAATGCCCATCCAATTTTCTATTTCACAATTTATTCTTAGTCTTCATAATTTCTAATTTTACATTTTGATTTGGATTTGCAGGTTCATATTCCAAACTCCATTCTCCAGATATGCTACTCAATATTACACCTATTTCCCAGTTAACTCTAGCCACTAATCCATGTAATATCAAAGTTCGAATTGTCATGCCACTGCCCACGATCTCAAGATTTTTTTTTTTTTTTTTTTTTTTTTTTTTTTTTTTTTAATATAGTCTACTGAATTGCTTTATTGACTTGAATTTTACTGTTCGTACATTTGCTTTGAAGGTTAATTTAGAGTTGAACAATCTTCCAATTTATTCATTTTTGTATCAATTTATTATTAAAGTTGTTCTTTTTTGTGTTAGGATTCAAAAACAGAGGAATTATGGGGTAGTCATATGCTCGAATAGGAAGTCATTACCTGAGAAGATATGCAGTGGCTCACGGTTTACTCTCTCCCTCTCTCATATGTGCGCTTTCAAGGTTGACCAGATCATGTTATACACACAAAAAATTGTGATCGGGGTGAACAAGGTCAAGCGTGTGATCGAGAGAATGAAACACAACATCGATCATATGCAAAACACTAGAGAACCTCCTGTCTAACTCCAGGCGATGATAGTTGCAGCCGAAGCATATGCCATTCACTGAAGCAACCTAAGTCATGAAGATCTTACTCCATTTGAAGGTAATCTCTCACTGAATTTATCTTTCTAATCACTGTCCTTGGTTAAAACTTTACACAAACTTCTTATTATGTCTCCTTTTTCGTTAAAAATCTTTGAACAACGGAATCATTC